CCTGGCGCCTCTGACACCGTCATGGTTTCCCTAAGACACGTTGTCACCTCTGCTCCAGGACGTCCTGTCGGAGTGGTGAACACACACCACTGAACCCCCTAAGGAGTTAGGTCCCGTCCACTCAGGACTACATCTCCCAGCATGCACCTTGGCCCAGCTCAGTGCCTGAGGGCCAACCCAGGAGGGTTGGACCGTGGAGAAGGATTATAGACTCACCCAGGCCTGGGTTCAGGGTGATCAGGGAGATCAATCAGTCAGTCAACAAATATCCCCTGTCACCCCCATGGGCCATGACCAGTGTTAGGTGATGCTGGGCTTCCAGAGACAGTCCTAACCTGGATATGTAGTTGACCCTCAAGGGGCCTCTAGGCTAGGGGAGAGAAAACAGCAGATTCTAACTCACTCTGCTGTGTGGGGCCAAGGCTTGGGAGCAACTGGGGCTGAGGAAGTTAGATTCAGTCACATAGATCAGAGAAGGGGCATTGCAGCTAGGGTCATGACAGATATGTAGGAGTTGGCTGGAAGGGGATCATGCTTTCCTGATGGTTGCATAAGTTCCTTCCTTGTGCACAGGGAGATGGAGCCCCAGGGCAGCAGAAGAGTCCTGGGATGATGGTCCCTAGAGTAGGAGCCCTGGGGTTTGGATCAGATTCGTCCAAGTTTCTGTGATCTCAGTTTCCCCATCTGTAGAACAGATAATCAGCCAAATAGGGACATAAACCACCAAATAGGGACATAAACCCTAGCCAGAGAAAAGTAGGAGGTAAATGGAGTGTGGTTGCCGGGCGTGCTGGTGCTTGCCCAGCATCCCAGTGCCCTGGAGGCTGAGGCGGGAGGGCTACCCCCAATTAGAGGCCAGCCTGGGTGACATAGCAAGACCCTGTGACATGGCAAGACAAACCACCAGTCAAGAGTGGCAAGCCTCATGGAGACAGTAATACCAGCTGTTAGCAGGCAGTGTCAGAGGTGGCGTCTCTGAGGAGGTGCCGTTTGAGTTGAGATCTGGAAGATGCCAGGAACAAGTCATGCAGATATCTCGAGGAGCAGCACTCCAGGCAAAGGGCATGGCCCGTGCAAAGGCCCCGGGGCAGCATGGAGCACGCAGGGAGGAAGCCTTGTGTGGCTGGGGCAGAGGGCGTGAGGGGTGGAGCGGGGGCGGGGGAGGCGGGGAGGGAACTGAGGGCTGAGCAGGGCCCTGCGGCTGCAGGGGGACTCGGGCTTTGGCCCGGGGAGGTGGGAGCCAAGGAGGGCAGAGGCGGAGCAGGGAGGAGCCGACTCCGCGCCCACAGCGCCCTCTGGTGGCCGCTGAGGAGTTCAGGCGCGGGGCCCGGGGCCAGGTGGAGGAGGGGCTGGGCTGGTCCAGGTGACCCCGCTGCGGAGGGGTCTCCTCCGCTTTGCCTGCTGAGAAATGTGTCCCCTGAGGCTGTCGCCGGCGTTGCGGACAGATGGCGCGTCGTGAGTGCGCAGTGGAAAATGTCAGGACAGACGGCGTGGCCTTTGCATTCCTCCGCCCCCGCGTGCGCTGTGTGACCACGGCAGAGTGGCCTGACCTCTCTGAGCTCAGGTTTTTCTGTCTGCACAGAGAAGAGGCCGCGGTGGGCCTCTGAGTGCGGATGGGGGGTCCTGGCGAGCATTAATAGAGCGCCTCCTGTATGCTGAGCACCCCCAAAATCGCACACAGCAGGCGCCTGGAGGTCGGCAGTGAACGTGTTGGCACCGCTCACATTTTTGTATTTCTTGGTTTTCTGGGAGAGGCTCGCTGTGCAGTCCAGGATGGCTGGGAGCGCAGGGGGAGATCTGGCTGCCTCAGCCTCGAAAGCCGCTAGTTTATAAACAGGAGCTCTTCCTGGGAGGTTAGCTCAGCAGGTGTTTGTTGACTGCCCACTGTGTATTGGCTTAGGAGACAAGCGGGGACCAATCTGCGGCCCCGCCTAGATCCAGAACCCAGCACCTGTTACGCATCAGCTCTGTTCTCCCCCGCTGGGCTCACTGATGGGGAAACCGAAGACTGGGGAAGTTGGGGGGCCTCTCTGCTGGGCCCCCTGGCCTCGGCCGAGTTCCTAGACAGCCTCCGGCTGGCCGGGCGGCACCGGGGCAGAGGCAGCTGTAAGCAGAGCTGTAACCAGACCTGGACGGCGTGGGGCCCTCGAGCTGGGCCGGGTCACCCGATCCCCCTAGGGACTGGGCCACGGGAACCGGCCTCTGCTGTGGAACCAGAGATGGGCCCTGTGTCCACCCGGGAACCGGGCTCCCAGCCTGGCCAGGGTCCCTGACAGAGAGGCCCAGAGAGGGCGGTGGGTGGCCTGAGGTCACACAGCAAGGTCACTGCACATAAAGCAAACCCGTGTGTCCTGGATCCCGTTCTGCTGTCCTGGGTAATTTCTGACCAGGACGAACATGAGGTACAAAACACAGTAGCTGGGTGTGGTGGCACACGCCTGGCCTCCCAGCTCTTGGGAGGCTGAGGCAGGAGGGTCTCTGCAAGATCAAGGCCACCCTGGGCTGCACAGTGAGACCCTGGCGCTTAGGGCGCGATGATAGGGTCACCTGGAGTTTACACACCGAGAAACCGAGGCCCAGCCCCGGTGACGGGAGGGGGGAGGTGCCCTGTGCACGGATGTGACACGCGTGGCACAGGACCGCGTGCTCACGTGGCCGCTCATGCGCGGGGCCAGTTTGAGCAGGCTGGTTTTTTTTCCGTTTTGGTTTTTTGAGACGAGGTCTCGCTGCGCAGTTCAGGCTGGGCTCCCTCATGCAGGGAGCCTCCTGCCTCGGCCTCCAGAGAGCAGGGCGCCTGGCGAACCGAGGCTTTTTATCTGATTGCATTATCTGTCCATCCCGCTCTCTGGGCCTCGGTTTCCCCAGGGGAAGGTGGACCAGCCTGTTCCCCATGTGACCTGAGCTCTGATGACCAGAAGGCCATGCGTGCGGGGTTTGGTCTTGGTTTCCTGTGGTCCCGGCACCCTCGCGCAGTGTCAAGCTCATACTGTTTCGGGGAGACCCAGCGCCCCAGGCTTTAAGGGCGTGCAGCTCTCGCGAGATTGTGCGGTAGTGCGGCTTGGCTGGGCCAGGTCTGCAGTGGGCGGGGCTTGAGTGTCGCCCACAGCCCTGCAGGAGCCCCCGGAGCTGCTCCCGGGCACACTGTGTACAAAGGGTCGGAATTATCAAAGAGCCGTGGGAGTGGGATGTGGGCAGGGGTCAGCTAGGAGGACAGAGACTGCCCATGTCCAGTGGGCGGGGAGGTGGGGGTCTCCAAAGAGGCTGCATTTCCCCACCCGCAGAGACCCCAGGGAAGGCAGTGAGTTGTGTGGGCCCACTGCAGGCGGAGGTCACGGACGTGCAAAGGCTCTGGGGCAGCATGGAGCCCAGAGCTGCAGCTCAAAGAGAGGAGGGGAGGCAGGAGAGGAGAGTCCAAGCCACTCCTGGAGTGGCCTGGCCGGGAAGGATTAGCAGATGGACGTGATCTGGTTGGTTCACACAGCCCCATTCCAATGAAGATCCCACGGGTTTTTGTCTTATTTGCGTTGTGTTTGGGAATTTATAAGCTGACTCTAAGGTGAGCCGCATGTGGGAGCTAAGAGGAACCCAGAAACCCAGGCCTGCGTGCGAGTAGATGGCAGGAGCCCCGGGGCTGGGGCGAGGGCTGGCGTCCCAGGGCCCAGGAGGCTGAGGCGGGAGGGTGCCCAGCTTCTGGGGCGGAGACATCTCTAACTCCCCTGAGTGAGGTTGCTGCGCAGGAGCAGGTGGGGGGCAGGCCCGGGCTGGAGACGCCCTGAGCGGATTCAAAGCCGCTCCCTGTCATGGTGTTGGGTTGCGGTTTGTTGAGACAGTCTGTCAACCAACATGGCAGTCCAGGCTGACCTTGAACTCGCTCTGTGACCCAGGCTGGCCTCAGGCTTGCCGCAGTCCTCCTGCCTCAGCCTCCGGCGTGCAGGGACGAACAACGCCTGGCTTGACTGTGTATTTTGTTCACAGCTGTGCTGTGAAATTCTTTGCAGACTTGGGGCGACACCTGCTGGTGTCCCCACAGACACAAATGCATGTCCCCGGGGTTGTGGGCAGGAGCTTCCCCGACACAGGAACACGTACCCAGACACCCTGTGGGCCCCGAATGCCATAAGGTGCGCGTGAGAGCCACGCGACACCCAGCTGGGCTCCGGCGGTGGCTGGGGTGACGGCCAGGTGCTGGGCGGCCGGCCTGACAGGTGGTGGGGCTGCTTCCGGCGCCAGGCAGCTGCTGAGAGAGGCCTCGAATTTCGTGGAGAGAAGCAGATGGTCCCGGGGGCTGGGGGAGGCTCGGAGGCCTCCAGTTACCCAAGGTCAGCCGGTAAACTGAGTCCTAGTACTTTGTGTCAGCCCCAGAGTGGTTCAGACTCCTCCCAAACATTTGGGGCTCAGTTCTGAGTTACCATCACAGTGAGCAAAACTTGGTTGGTAGTGGGCGTGGTGGTGCAGGTCCGTCATCCCGGCACTCAGGAGGCTGAGGCAGGAGGATTGTTGGGAGTTCAAGGCCTGCCTGAGCCACATAGTGAATTCAAGGTACTACAACAGTGCCTGGCACACAGCAAGTGCTGATTTGCTGTTCTGTTTTTTTCCTTTTGAAATGGGATCTCACTGTGTAGCCCAGGCTGGCCTCGAACTTGTGGTGATCCTCCTGCCTCAGCCGCCCAGGTGCTGGGATTGCCAGTGTGCATCACCGTGCCCAGCTGCATCCCAGTACCAGAAAAAACAGAAAAAACAAGGAAAGCCACAGGGCCACAGGGCCACAGGGCCACAGGGCCAGGTGGGAAGGGCCGGGGTGGTGCGGTCAGCGGTCAGGCTGCCCCTGCGAGGCCCAGGGCAGGCAGGGGCTCCAGAGTCACTGTGACCCGAGAGGCTGCGGAGCTGGGCGGGGCCGGGAAGGAAACTCGTAAGGCGGCCGGCTGGGAGCTCAAGGACCCGGCATCCGTCCGTCCGCCCGCTGAGTCACAAATCCTGGAAGCCCCGGGTCAGGCCGGGCGGCCACGATTCCCTCCGGGCTTCCTGTTTTGTGGCCTGCACAGCTCAGCGGCAGCACCGCAGGGGCCCAGGTCCCCGGGTCGCCCTTACCTGGAGCCACCAGACCTCGAAGGTCTGGGAGGTGGCCCAGGCCCGCCAGAGTCCTCCCTGGACGGCCACACTGGCCGCACCGGCCACGCTGCCAGGACTCGCAGTAGGAGCTCCGGGGACCAGATGGCACCCCTTCCTGGTAGGGGGTGCCCTGAAATGGGGTCCCCGGGCGCGGAGGGGGCATTCGGGCACCACCGGAAGGCTTTGCCAAGGTACCTGGAACAGCACGGGGAAGAGACGGGCCCCTTGGAGGTAGTGAGGTGCCCGTCACAGAGGTAGTCAAGCTGTGGACAGGAAGACAGGACTCAGGAAGGACGTCAGAGCCCCCGGGGTCCCGAGGCTCCCGGACAGCGTGAATTCCTAGCTTTTCCCCCCTAATTCTGAGTCTTTGATTTTATGTTTTTGAGGCTTTAAGAATCTTGTGTTTCCAATCTAATACTTTTTAAACGATGTTTTGGGATTTTTTAAGAAAGATGTGCACCTTAGGTCTGGGCGTGGTGGTGCCTTTCTGTGATCCCGCACGAAGGGAGTCCTTGGCCCCCAGGCTGCAAAGTCAAGCCTGAGCAATTTACTGACTCAGCAAGACCCTGCCCCCCAAATGAAAAGGATCTGGGGTACAACACAGGATGCCGGCACTGGGTTCAGTCCCCAGGCCTGCGTGTGTGTGTGTGTGTGTGTGTGTGTGTGTGTGTGTGTGTCTCGTAACTGTCTTGTTGATTTCATGTTTTGTTCCAAGCCGTTTCCTGTGCTTTTACTCCCATGTGGTCACAGAGTCGTTCTGCTAACTAAACAGTAGTATACAGACCTGGTGGCCTGGGACTGTGATCTCAGTGCTGGGGAGGCTGAGGCAGGAGGGTCTCTGTGAGTTTTAAGGCCAGCCTGGGTTACTTAGTGAGTTCAAGGCCAACCTGAACTACAGGGCGAGACCCTGCGTATTATTATTGTTGTTGTTATTATTATGGTCTCCATTATTGGTTATTTTGAGTCTCATCCCCGCGGGCGGGCGGGGCGGGGCGGGGATGCGGGTCCTCGCGGTGAAGGCGCCGGGAGCGCTTAGCGCGCCCCCTCTCGGTGGCTCTGGGAAGTGCACGCAGCCGCGCTCACGCGCGCCCTGTCTGTCCGCAGCGGTGGCCTCCCGCCGCCTGGCCCTCGCCATGCTGACCCCGCGGGCGCCCCCTCCCCGCTCGGCCCTGTTGCTCCTTCTGCTGCTCCTGGGGGGCACCCACGGCCTCTTCCCCGAGGAACCGCCGCCGCTCAGCGTGGCCCCCAAGGACTGTGAGTACTGGGGGAGGTCGAGTCACGAGCACGGGTCAGCTGGGCCCACGGGGAGGGGGCTCCCCACACTGGGGCGCGACCTCAGGCCAGCGCGCCCCCTCCCAGCCCTCGGCTCACCCCACCTCCCACCCCCACCCCAGACCTGAAATTCTACCCCGTGTTCGTGGGCGGAGGCCCTGGGCGCCCGGGCCCCGCAGAGGCCACCGAGGACCTCCACATCCAGCGGGTGCTGCGGGTCAACAGGACGCTCTTCATCGGGGACAGGTGCGCGGCCTTTGGGGACGGCGCGGGTGCTGGGCCGCGGGGTTGTTCCAGAGCTGGATGCCAGTTCGTCCTCTGGGGTGCTAGGTGCTGAGTTCTCAGGGTACTGAACGCTCGGTGCTGGGAGGCTGCAGCTGGCTTAGGTGTGTAGGTGGGAAGGTGGCAGTTTCCTGAGATCCTGCTGGTCCCACCAGTCCTAAAATATGAAAGGTGGCACTGGAAAGGGGCTGATCGGGAGGGCTTCTCTGGCTGTGCCTGCTGCCTGGCTGGCATTTGGGTTGAGAGCTAAACAACTTTTCAGCCATAGGGAAATCTAGACAAGGATATTCCTTTCCAGGTGGCAGGCACAGTCAGTGCAAAGGCCCTGGGGCAGGACTGAGCCTGGCATTTTGCAAGGATAGCGAGGAGTCCGGGTGGCTTGAGCAAAAGGAGGAGGACTTGGGCTTTGGCCTCAGGGAGGTGGGAGCCCTGGAGGGCTGAGGGCGGAGGGAGGAGCAGACTCAGTGTCCACAGCGCTCTCTAGTGGCTGCTTCGGGAAGGACAGGCTGCGGGGACGAGATGGGAGCGGGCCACCAGGTCCTGGCCTTGCGCTGTTCCGGGCTGATGGCTAGCGATTGGGCCATGTGGAGACCGTGGGGGCGGGGGGAGAAGCAGGTGGGTTCGGACAGACTGCGGACAGAGACGACAGTACTGGGCGATGAGAGAAGTCGTCTGAGCCCCCCAAAGTGTGAACGTGTCTTTAACTGAGATCGGGGTTGTGGGGGTTGCAGGTTTTGGGGGACAGATCAGACACAGAATGGCCCTATAGAGACACTGGGGATGTCCGGGAGCAGCCGAACCCCAAGGATGGAGCTTGGGGAGCGAACGCCTATCCTGGAGATAGATCCGGGCATCATCTGGGGGACACAGCTTCAGAGTCCCCGAGGGTGTGGGTGGAGGAGGGCAGAGGTGTGGAGGGGCTTGGAGACGCAGGATGGAAGCCGGGCTGGCGTGGCGTCCCAGGGCTCCCTGAGACTGGGGTTCCTAGGAAGCGGGGTGACCCACGGGACCAGATGCTTTGAGAGGAAGAGGAGGGAGAGGCGTCCCGGATGTAACGCGGAGAGGGCAGGGATGGACGGAGGGGAGGAGAGGTAAGAGCAGGCGAGATTCTGGGGCGCTGGGCGCCCCTGGTATGACGATGGGAAGGGCCCGCCGTATCTGGCGTGTAAATGTGCAGTGGGGGTCAGGGCCCCGGGATGCATTCAGGCAACTTGGGGCCGGAGCCCGCTGCACGGCGGGAAGGATGGGCTCAGGCAGGGATGGAGCCCCCGGCGTCTCACTGGGTGCCCCCGCAGGGATAATCTGTACAGAGTGGAGCTGGAGCCCCCCACGGCCACGGAGCTGCGGTACCAGCGGGTAGGAAGGCGCGCAGGCGGGAGCGAGGGTGGCATCCGGGGCTCCCACCAGGGGGCGCTCGGGAGCTGGGTGGAATTGGTCCGGCCCAGCAAGGGTGGGGGGTCACAGAGCTACTGGGGCGAACGCAGCTGTGCTCACCAGCTCTTTCCGCCTGCAGAAGCTGACCTGGCGCTCTAACCCCAGCGACATAGACGTGTGTCGCATGAAGGGCAAACAGGAGGTGCGTGACCCTGGCCCCACCCCTAGCCACGCCCCAACCCACCCCAGCCACGCCCACACGGAGCCATCCTCCTCCTTCCACCCAGACTAGGACCTTGGTGTTGCCATGGTTACGCCCAGATCCGAGCACACCCCAAGACGGTTATCAGTCACGGCTACACCCACGACCCTGACCTCGCTTACATTGCGGTTACCAGATTCTATCCTTGACTTGTCTCCTCTTTGGGTCACAGAGGTGTCCCCAGCCTGTGCCCAGTTCAGCCTCTGCAGTGGCCACGCCCTCACCGTGCTCCCCATTGCGGGCCTCTCTGATCTGGGCGGGGCCTTTTACTCTGGGCCGCTGGCCACACCCTGGGCACGCCCGCAGCCGTGACCACGCCCACCGCCAGGGCCACGCCCACAGCGGCTTCCCCTCCCCCCCATGCACCCCAGGGTGAGTGTCGGAACTTCGTGAAGGTCCTGCTGCTCCGAGATGAGTCCACGCTGTTCGTGTGTGGTTCCAACGCCTTCAACCCGGTGTGCGCCAATTACAGCGTGAGTCTCCCCGCCCTCAGCCTGGCTTCACCCTCCTCCTCCTGCGGTCAGGAGCCCTGCCACCTCCTACAGGGAGCCCTCTGGGATTGCCCCTCAGCCCGGCTCCGCAGGGCCAGTGGCTTCTGCAGAGGGCCTGTTACAGCCAAGCCAATCTCACTAGGCCTAGAGTCCCATGTCGGAGGCCTGGGGACCCATCAGTACGTGGGGTTCAGAGAGGTTAGGTCCCTGGCCAGGGTCACACAGCTGTGGGGATGAAGGCAGGCTTCCTCCTGGAGTTGGGGGCTGGGAAGCCAGGGCCTCCAGGCCTGTCACTCGGGCCGTCTTTCCTGCAGATGGACACACTGCAGCCTGTCGGGGACAACATTAGCGGCATGGCTCGCTGCCCGTACGACCCCAAACATGCCAACGTGGCCCTTTTCTCCGGTGAGTGTCCGACTCCTGAACGCCCGGAGCCCTGAGCACGTTCTGGTGCTTTCCGTGCGTTTGAAGCTGAGGTCACTTGGAAGGTAGTTGGGGGACCCACCCAGCTCTGGGCCCCAAAATCTAACCTCTCACCTGCCTCCCTCACCCCTCCCGGTACCCAGATGGGATGCTCTTCACAGCCACCGTGACGGACTTCCTGGCCATTGACGCTGTCATTTACCGCAGCCTTGGGGACCGTCCCACACTGCGCACCGTAAAGCACGACTCCAAGTGGTTCAAAGGTGGGACCTGGAGGAAGGGCAGAGAACCCTGATTAAGATGAGAGGGGTAGCCTGTCATCCCCGCACTGGGGAGGCTGAGGCAGGAGGATCGCTGTGAAGTCGACTCCAGGCTGAGCTACACAGTGAGCTCAAGGCCAGCCTGAACTGCATATGAAATCCTGCCTCAAAAAGATAAACTAAGAAACCATGGTGAGGCCTAGAAGCACACTGAGCCTAGATTTAACAGAGCTGACCTCCCTCAAACCCCCCTACCAGAATAAGAGACCTGGGCAACCGAGGATGGGACTCCATCTCATCCCATCGTGTTGGCTGGTTTATGTGCTTGTGCTGTGCTGGGGACGGAAGCCAGAGCGAGTGTCATGGATGCTAGGCGAGTGCTCCCCACTCAGCCGCACCCCCAGCCTCTCCTGGTGTTCTGGAGGATAAACTGAGTGGAAAGATTTGGGTCTAAAGTAGAACCTGCTGGAAGTGGGTGGCTGGGAGCCCAAAATGGAAGGACCAGTGCGGCAGAGCTGAGCGCTCCAGCACATGAGGGAGGATGGGGACAAAAAAATAGCAGATCTGCCATTTGCTGGGGACTTGGACACAGTGTCTCGGGGCTTCCCGACTCCTTTCCCCCTCAAAAACAAAACAACCCGTCATCCCAGCACTCGGAGGCCGAGGCAGGAGGATCGCTGCGCGTTCGAGACCAGCCTGGGCTGCATAGTGAGCCCAAGGCCAGCCTGAGCTGCAGAGCCAGACCCTGCCTCAGAAAGACAAAAACCAGCCAAACCCTGCGCGCAGCTCACCTGCCCGACGGCCGCCCTGTCCCGGCCGCCTGTGACCCGCTGCCTTCTGGCCCCCCTTCCCTCCCACAGAGCCCTACTTTGTCCACGCCGTGCAGTGGCGCAGCCACGTCTATTTCTTCTTCCGGGAGATCGCGATGGAGTTTAACTACCTGGAGAAGGTGAGCTGCTTGCCCAGAGGCCTGTGTGCTGGCCAGGCGCCCGCATGTCCCTGCACCCCCCGCCCTCCTGCTGTGCACCATCCATCCACGCACACAGCCCTCCACCCCTCAGTCCGTCCCGCCCCCCAGACGTGCTGAGGCGCACAGACCATCACTGACCACTTTGCCTCACCCTGGGCCGCTCGCTTCCCTTCCGTTGTGCCTCAGTTTCCCCATGTGTCCCGCGGGAACCCCTGCAGGCCACCCCGTTCGGCGTGTGGGAGGAACGTGCCCTCTGAGGGCCGGGCGGCAGGCGGCAGAGTGCACTCAGGTGTCCTGGGTGTGACCGCCACGCGCAGGTGGTGGTGTCCCGCGTGGCCCGGGTGTGTAAGAACGACCTGGGCGGCTCCCCGCGAGTGCTGGAGAAGCAGTGGACGTCCTTCTTGAAGGCCCGCCTCAACTGCTCAGTGCCTGGTGACTCCCACTTCTACTTCAACGTGCTGCAGGCCGTCACCGGCGTGGTCAGCCTGGGTGGCCGGCCTGTCATCCTGGCTGTCTTCTCTACGCCCAGCAACAGGTGGGTGAAGGGGAAGCACTGGCCGAAAGGCCTCGTGTTCACTCACAGATGCCCCAGCTCCTGGCTGGGCAGCTTGGGGCGGAGGTAGAAGCAAAGGTGTTCTGAGTTGGGTGAGAGCAAGTGCAAAGGTCCTGAGGCCGTCATGCACTGCAGAGGAGGTCTGTGTGGCTGAGAAGGGAACAGGAATGGGGGAAGGGAAAGGCGATGGGAGGAGAAGAGCCTAGACTTTCTTCCAAGGGCACTGTGGAGCCACGGGAGGCTAGAGAGTGAGAGAGGAGTGAGGTCAGATTTGCATTTTTAGACAGTCTCAGGGCAATGAGTGGACAAGCTAATATCGTCCCTGGGAGACTGGGTGTCAGGGAAGGCCGCAGTGCATGGCCTTCGCCAAGCCCAGCAAGGGTCCAGCTGAGACTGCGGAAGTGCAGTGGCAGATTTGGTGCGCAAGACGGGAAGGCGGCACCTTGGGCACGGGGGTGGGGAAGGCTGAGCGTCCGTCAGCAGCCCAGGACAGGGTCTCCCCGCCGGGCTCACCGGAAGCCCCCGTCTGCACCCCAGCATCCCCGGCTCGGCCGTGTGCGCCTTTGACATGAGGCAGGTGGCCGCTGTGTTCGAAGGTCGCTTCCGTGAGCAGAAGTCACCCGAGTCCATCTGGACCCCGGTGCCGGAGGATCAGGTGCCGCGGCCCCGGTGAGCACCGCACGCCACCCCACTGGGCCTGAGAAGGTCCCCAAGGGGATGCCGGGCACCAGGGCATCGGGCTGGGATTGCCAGGCTGTACCCATTTTGCAGACGGGGCCACCGAGGCTGCCCACGTCCACCCTGACGCCCCCCCTCCCTCCCAGGCCGGGGTGCTGCGCGACCCCGGGCTCCCAGTACAACGCGTCCAGCGCCCTGCCCGACGAGATCCTCAACTTCATCAAGACGCACCCGCTGATGGACGAGGCGGTGCCCTCGCTGGGCCACGCGCCCTGGATAGTGCGCACGCTCATGCGGTCAGCGCCGGTGGCGGGGAGCAGGGGACGGGGGACACACGGGGCCTGGGTGGGGTCACACGTGCAGGGCCTGTGGTCTTGTAACCAGAGGCCGCCCCTGCGCATGCGCACATCTGGGGCCGTCACGTGCCCTGGCGTGGGCGTGGCCACGCGCCCCTATAAAGCCCGCCCCACGCCGCTTGGGCTTCGGAGCCCCCTCCGCGGGGCCAGCCTGAGGCAAGGTCCTGTGCTCTCTGCAGGCACCAGCTCACCCGAGTGGCCGTGGACGTGGGCGCTGGCCCCTGGGGCAACCAGACCGTGGTCTTCCTGGGCTCCGAGATGGGCACGGTCCTCAAGTTCCTCGTCTGGCCCAACGCCAGTGTCGCGGGCACCACTGGACCCAGTGTCTTCCTAGAGGAGTTTGAGACCTACCGACCGGACAGGTGAATGGGGGCGCTGGGCGGGGCAGGGGTGTTCAGGACTCGGGCGGGAGCGGGTAGATACATGGATCAGTAGTCCTGATTCTCCTCGGTCACTTTTGTGGCCCCAGGTGCGGACGACCTGGCGGCAGTGGCAGCGGCGCTGGTGAGACAGGGCAGCGGTTGCTGAGCCTGGAGCTGGACGCGGCCTCGGGTGGCCTATTGGCGGCCTTCCCCCGCTGCGTGGTCCGTGTGCCTGTGGCCCGCTGCCAGCAGTACTCAGGATGCATGAAGTGAGTCCCCATGCACCCAGGGACAGAGGAGGGAGGCAGGCACCTTGATGCGCTGATAGACTAGGTTTGTGCAAAGGCCTTGGGGCAGGACGGAGTCCAGTAACGTCCAGGAGCAGTGAGGAGCCTGTGCGCCTGCAGCAGGGCCATGGGGGGGCGTTGCATAGAGGGATCAGGGGAAGCAAGGAGAGGACAAACGGTCGTGCAGGGCCCTGCAGGCTGCAGGAGGACTTGGGCTTTGGCCCCAGGGACCAATGGAGGGCTGAGAACCGAGAAATGGAGCTGGCTTGGTGCCCACGCGCGCCACCTGGTGGCTGCCTTAAGGGCACCATCCTAGCCTTGCTGCCTGGGCCAAAGCTAGGTTCCGGAACCCCGGTTTCCTTATCCCTGAGTGGGGCAGCTCCTGGGTGCTGAGTGACTGTCCTTTGGTCCCTTATAGAAACTGCATCGGCAGCCAAGACCCCTATTGCGGCTGGGCCCCCGACGGTTCCTGCATCTTCCTCAGCCCGGGCACCAGGTAGGGGGTGAGGAGGGGCACTCTGCATCCTGCCCCCCCACTCCGCTGCTGAGGGGGCACCTGCTGACCCTCCTCCGCCTCCCTCCCTCCACTAGAGCCGCCTTTGAGCAGGACGTGTCCGGCGCCAGCACCTCAGGCTTAGGGGACTGCACAGGTGGGTGGAGGAGGGGTGGCCTCGGGCCTGCTGACCCCCTGGCCCTGGGGGTCTCTTGGCCCCTGTCACATGCACCCAAGGGGGCACAGCGTCCATCAGGACTTTGGGAGGGCAGGGCCGTGGTTTCTGGGATGACGTGGGGAAAGACAGACTCCAGGATTTAGAGCACCAGAGAGGGGACGGGGAGCTCAGAGAGCTCCAAAAAGGACAAGTTCTGAGAGGCCAGACATGCTGGGGACCCGTGCCCAAAGACAGACAGACTGACGGACTTCATAATGTACAGAGTGAGCTGGCAAAGCTCGAACAGCCAGCTTGGGAGGCTGAGGCAGGAGGGCTGCACACCTGAGTGCACCATTGGTCGCTCTGCGGGATCCCGTCTCAAAAAATACCGAAAGGATTGGGGGTGGAAATCTCTGCAGAGGCCCTGCGTTCAGTGCTCAGGACTCCAAGAGAGTGGGGGAGGGGACCCCTAGAGGGCAGCGCAGGGGTGAGCACTGGCCGCCTACAGGCCCGACGGGCAGACAGCAGGGGGCGCCCGGCGCGGACCGCACAGGGACCCACGCCGGCCGCTCGCGCCCCGCCCCGCAGGCCTCCTGCGCGCCAGCCTCTCGGAGGAGCGCGCCGGGCTGGTGTCGGTGAACCTGCTGGTGACCTCGTCGGTGGCGGCCTTCGTGGTGGGCGCCGTGGTGTCCGGCTTCAGCGTGGGCTGGTTCGTGGGCCTGCGCGAGCGGCGGGAGCTGGCGCGGCGCAGGGACAAGGAGGCCATCCTGGCGCACGGCGGCGGCGAGGCGGTGCTGAGCGTGAGCCGCCTGGGCGAGCGGCGGGGCGCGGGGCCGGGGGGCCGCGGGGGGGGCCTGGGCGGGGCCGGGGTGCCCCCCGAGGCGCTGCTGGCGCCCCTCATGCAGAACGGCTGGACCAAGGCCACGCTGCTGCAGGGCGGCCCGCACGACCTGGACTCGGGGCTGCTGCCCACGCCCGAGCAGACCCCGCTGCCGCAGAAGCGCCTGCCCGCGCCGCACGCGCAGGGCGGGGTGCACGGCCCGGGGCCCCGCGCCTGGGAGCCGCACGGCCACCCCGCGCTGCTGGCCGCGTCCGCCTCGTCCTCGCTGCTGCTGCTGGCGCCGGCCCGCGCCCCCGAGCAGCCGGCCCTGCCCGGCGACGGGCTCCCCGACGGCCGCCTGTGCGCGCCCCGGCCCGCGCGCGCCTCGCACGGCGGCGACTTCCCGCTCACCCCGCACCCCAGCCCGGACCGCCGGCGCGTGGTGTCCGCGCCCACCGCGCCCTCCGAGCCGGGCCCCGCCGGCGACGGCCCGCCGCGGCCCTGGAGCCCGCCGGCCCCCGGCACGGGCAGCCTGCGCAGGCCCGGCCCCCACGCGCCCCCCGCCGCCGCCGCCTCGCTGCGCCGCACGCACACGTTCAACAGCGGCGAGGCGCGGCCCGGGGACCGGCACCGCGTGCGCCCCGCGCGGCCCGGCTCGGACTCCGCCCACCTCCTCCCCTATGGGGCGGGGGACAGGACTGCGCCCCCGGTGCCCTAGGCCGGGGCTCCGCGCCCCACTGCCTTGGCGGTGCCGGCCACGGGAACCAGGAGCTCCGCTGGGGGCTCGAGCCCCCACCCCGGCCTTTCGGGGACCCCCCTCGGCCACACGGAAGCACAAGAGCGCGCACCCCGCGGCGGCGGCAGGCAGCTGGGGTGCAGGACTCTGAGACCGCCGGGTCGGGCGGGCGTCCGGAGGGACCTGCTGTGAATTCGGGGTTGACCTTCTGCGTAGACGTTTTTTTTTTGTTTCTTTTGCAGTTTTTCTAAGGAATTGCACAACGCCCTCTTCGGGGTGGTGGCTGAGGGGGTGGCTCTGGCCTGGGACGGGGAGTAGGGGGGCGCAGCTGCAGACCCAAGGCCCTCTAGCTCCCCCGAAAGGTCCGTCCCCCGGCCGGCCCCCGGCGTGTGTGGGTGTATGCGCGTGTGCATGCCGTGTCCGTGTGCAAGCGCCGGGGAGGCAGGTACGTGTGTGCGCACAGGGCCACCCGTGCTGTGCGTGTGTCTTAGGCGTGAGTGTGGGGACCCCAGCGGCCCTGGGGTCGGCCGAGCCAATGCTGGGGCTTCCGAGGTGGCCGGTCAGGAGTTTGGGCCCCGCTTCTGCGAGGGGAGCACGGACGGCCGGGTCCAGGCGAGGAGATGGGGGAGTACGTCCACGGGTCACGTGGGCAGCAAGCAGGTCCTGAAGGGCTCGGGGGGTCTGGGGGCGGTGGACACAGACAGGGCCCCTGTAAATATGGCCCAGGGGTGGTCAGAGCATCCCAGGCCACCCGACCCCGTGTGACCTCCCCCGACCTCCAGCTGACTGTGCATGCCACGTGGCCACTGAGGCTCGGACCTCCCTGGAGTTCACCTCCCCCGGCCCCTCCCCATCAATAAACTCTGTTTACAACCACCGGCCCCGTGACTCCGGGCCTGCTGTGTCCTGGGGGTGGCCGGGTACTGTTGAGGGCAGCTTCGAACACACAGGTGCTGGGTCGAGCGCTGTGGGGGGTCCCCACCTATCATGGAGGAGGCCGAGGCAGGAGGATTATAAATTCAAGGCCAGCCTGGGCAAGTTAGTGATATCGTGATTGAAAATGAAATTACACGGATTGGGGTGTAGCTCGGTGGGCAGCGCTTGCCTCGTATGTGTGAGGCGGTGGGTTCCACCCCCGGCACTGCAGAAGAGGAACTGTACTTGGGGGAGAGGTTTGGGAGGGTAGCTAGGGGGCCCTTCTGTGAGGAGGGGTCCTGTGGTCTGAGATAGCATGACAGGAGCAGGAGGGGTCTATGCACCGCTATTTTTTATTTTGAGATAAGATCTCACTGTTGTTAGGTCGTTCAGTCTCATATCTTGAACTGGAGATCCTCCTGCCTCAGCCTCCCAGAATTCTGCCACTGACCGTTAGGGTCACAAGGGCGAAACCATTCAATAGCATTAAGCATACTGACCTGCTTGTGCTACTGTCACCAGTCTCCACCTCCAGAACGTCTTCACCTTCTTAAACGACAGCCTGACCCCTCAGCATAGCCAGCCCCACTCTCGAAGCCATGGCAGAGGGTCCCAGACAGCGGATCTGCTCTGGCTTCATTTCCCGAGGTGGATTTGGGGACGGGGATGTGAGCGGGACAGGCCACAGCCCCGCTGCATGGGGGACCAACCGTAAACAGAGAGATTCATGCTGGGTGTGGTGGGGCTGCCTGTCCCCATCGCACTCTGGGAGGCTGAGACAGGAGGGTTACAAACTCAAGCCCAGACTGAGCAGTTGAGTAATCTTACAAAAACCCTGATTCAAAATAAAAAAGGGCTGAGACTGTGGCTCAGTACAGAGGCCCTGGGTTCCATCACTAGAGACAGACAAGACAGACAGGCAGCGCAGATTCCATGAAAACCTCGGAGCTGCCCTTGAACCAGCCCCGGGTGTGTTGGGTTTGTTCTGCCCTGGCGCCGTGGCCCCCTCTGCTCTGCACCCGGGTGCCTGGTTGTGTGTAGCTATCCTTGCCTGTGTGTGTGTCACAGCCACATGTGTGTACGCGCATGCGCACGTCTACCTGACAGCCGGGCGCGTGCGCCGAGTCTGGCTTTATCCCGTTAGGGCCTTTAATCCTCTAAAACCTGAGCAGCCACAAAACGCATGAGAGACTGAGCCCGGAGAAGGGGTCATGGCCAGCGTGATAACCCTGGGTGCAAGCAGCCTGTAATCTCGCACGTGGGAGGCTGAGGCAGGAGGATTCCCCTGAGTTTGAGGCCAGCCTAAACTAACAGTGACATGCTGTCTCAAAAAACCAAACCCAATCAGTCAATCCGGCATGAAGCTAATAAAAACCCACTATACTTGAATATTTAGAACTCAGTGGGAGCCAGGTATGGTAGCTCACCTGTCACCCAGCATTTTAAAATTACCTTTCTTTTTTTTACATAGGGTCTTGCTTTTCAGAGACAAGCTGGCCTTGAACTCACTAGTCCAGCCTGACCTCAAAGTCGCAGAGATCCTCCTGCCTCAGCCTCCCAAGTGCTGGGATTACAAACATGCACCACCATGCCCGGCCCCACCCCAAGATTCTTTTTTTTTTCACCCCAATATTGTTGAAGGCTGAGGCGGAAGGATCACAAGTTCACACCCAACCTGGGCAATTTAGTGACTTATCAAGCCCCTGTCTTAAAAACTACAAATGGGCTGGGGAGGTAGCTCTGTGCAAAGGCCCTGTGTTCTTACCTGGGTACCTCTTCAGGGGAAGACAGGAATAGCAGGAGGGGCCCTTGGAGGCTGAGTTTAGCTTCCCGGGGTGGGAAACTGTCTGGAGACTCAGCTTTAGGCCCCAAGAGCACTTGTTTAAAAAAAAGATCACTTCAATTAACAAAAGGAAACAGAACGCGCCTGGCATTCCAAACAAGGAGATTTTTTCTTTTCTGTTAGCATTGTGGTTCATCTCAGTGAAATTCCTGCTCCTCCTGGTAAATGGCATCTCTTGCTCAGAGCGCCGTCCCCCTTCCCCCGGGAAGGTTCCTTGAGGCTTTGACCCCTGAATTCTGGATCAGGGAGGGAATGGCCCCCAGAAACCAGAAAGCACAGGTGAGGAAAAAAACCGGTTTCAAATTCCGAGAAGGGGCCGGCGGCGGTTGCCAGGAAGCAGTGGTGCAATCCTGCTGCCCGCTGCTGCCCGGCTGGGCTGTGACCCTGAGAGGAACCGGACCACGGTGGAGCGGGCACTTCCTCTCTCTCGGCTGGAACCACACCCCTGGCCAGGCGGGTACAAGACCACGGGCCCCAGGCCCAAGGAGTCCCGGAGGAGCAAGAGGCCAGCCACCATGTCCTGCCAGAACAGAGGGCAGCAGCAGAGGTAGGTCCCCCCACCCCTGCCCATCCCGGGCATGTGGACATCTCTCCGACCCTCTGAAGTCACAGAGAACAGACAGACAGACAGACGGACAGGGGCTCGTACACACACATGTGTGCATGAGTCCAGGTGGGCCCCAGGCCAGGTAGGGGTTGGGAGAACCCCCATTGGAGACCCCAGGATTATGATGCCAACAGTAAACCACCCCTCCTGAGACCAAATGTCCACCCCAGATCTGCAAGACACTTTCATATTTATGCTCCTCTCTTTGGAGCTGGAGCCCTAAATTTAACTTAAGTTAAATGCTCTGGAGCATTATGGATGGAGGAGGCGCTCAGAGCAGGAGCTCCTTGGTCAGAAAGAAAGAAAAAAAAAACTGCACAGAAAAGAGGGTATTCAGACTAGGGATTTGCAGGATGAGAAGGAGTTTGCTGGCCGTTCCATTAAAATACAGAACTAGAAAAAAAAGGACTAAGCCTGAAAACAAGAATCACAGTGACTATTTTGGACTAGGTGAGGAGCAAGGGGCAGGCTCTGGGCCTGTTTGCGCTCTGGCTCACTGTACACTTCTCATCGCTCACAGACCAGGGGGCCTCAACTCCCGTCTTTCAAGAATCCTGTTCCGGCTACTGCTGTGTGTGGCCTCAGCCCAGGGCAGCTTCCCCAGCTCCCTGACCCCCAGGTCAGAAGAGTGCCTGACCTACCAGTCGGTCAACAGCAGCTCTGTGGTCTGCTTCTCACCGGCCACATTCCCCAGCCTCCTCCCCAATGACACCACGCTTCTGGCTGTGGAGTTTTCCAACCTGACCCAGCTGCCGGCCGAAGCCCTGCGCGGGGTCCCCTGCCTCCGGGAGCTGCACCTCTCCAGCAACCGGCTGGAGGAGCTGCCGGCCAAGCTCCTGGCGCCGGTGCCCGGCCTAAAGGTGCTGGATCTCACCCACAACGCGGTCACTCAGCTGCCTCCGGGCCTCTTCCGGGGCTCGGCTGCCCTGGACACTCTGGTGCTGAGGCAGAACAGGTTGGAGACCGTGCGGGTCTCCTGGCTGCGCGGCCTGAAAGCTCTGAGCTTCCTGGATCTGTCTGCAAACCGCCTCCGGTCGCTGGGCCCCGGGCTGCTGGCCCACCTCACCGGCCTGCGCCACCTGCACCTCGGGGACAACCAGCTGGAGGTCCTGCCGCCTGACCTCCTGCGGGGCCCGCTGGACCTGGAACGGCTGCACCTGGAAGGGAACCGACTGCAGGTGCTCGAGGAGGACCTGCTGTCACCCCAACCCGGCCTGCGTTACCTTTTCCTCGGCAACAACTGGCTGACCACGGTGGCGGCCGGCGCCTTCCGAGGCCTGAGGCGGCTGGACCTGTTGGACCTGTCCAATAATCAGCTGAGCACCGTACCCAGGGGACTGTGGGCACCGCTGGGAAAGCCCGCCCGGGACATGCTGCACGGCTTTGACCTCTCTGGCAACCCCTGGGTCTGTGACGGGGACCTGGAAGACCTGTGTCGCTGGCTGGCAGCCAACAGTCACATGATGTTCTTCCTGAACGAGACCCGCTGTGCTGGCCCCGAGGCCCTGAAGGGCCAGACGCTGCTGGCCGTGGCAGGCGTCCAGTGAGGTGCTGGGCCAGGAGAACCGGGCCACCCGCTTTGTGTGAGGGAGACGCCGGGGTCCCCGGAGCTACCGGGACCCATTTCAGCCCCGCTCCCCCAATTCCTCGGTGCACTTCTGGGCTTTCTTGCCTTTGGTCACGCTGTGCCCTTGACCTCCAGTGCTGCCCCCTATTTCCAGGATCCCGTGGTCTCTGCCTGTCCCCTCGGCCCCTGTCCCCCTCTCTGGCCAAACCCCGGCCACACTGGAGTTTCTGCCTCAGCTTCCCTCAGCTTTGGGGGTTCCTGAATCCCAGGCCTGAGGCCCAACCCGGGGGAGCCAGAGTCACCCGCTGAGTTAATAGAGTTAATAAATAACCGTTGAGCGCAGTGGGAGAAAACCACATTCGGTGTTTTTGTGTGTGTTTGCCTGTCACCGTGAGTTCCCCAGGATGAAAGGGGAAACAGAGGCACAGCGAGCTGGGGCGCAGGCTGGGGGTACAGCGACCTGAGTGCAGTTGGCCTCTGGCCTCTCTCCCTCCCCCACCCTGGAGTGTGGTTGGAAATAAAACCCTGAGTGGTGGCCGCGGTGTCACTTTACAGGTGGATTTTGGCCAGAGATTGTGTCCCAGCCTTCTCCAGACTCTGATGTTTCATGCCAGCCAGAGGCAGGCCGGGGGCTGGATGGGGCAGAGGACCTCATCGCGGGGACCAGGAGAGGCTGTTCCTGGATCTGGAATCCTGGGGGCGCCCCTGCTAATGCAGAGTCGGGCACGTGGTGCTGGAGGGAATCTTGGGGTTGCCTGGAGAGTTAAGTCATGTGTGGCTGGAAGGGAGGGGCCTGGACCTGAGCAGTGCTTTGCAATCAGACCCTTTCCTCTGCATGGACTCGGGGCAAACGGTTTAAGCTTTTGGGCCTCAGTTTGGTCGTCTGAATAATGGAGGTCCAAGGACCAGGCACAGTGGCACACACTTACATCTCAGGACTCTGGGGGGCTGAGACAGGAAGAATGCCAATTCAAGCCCAGCCTGGACAATTTAGCCATTTATCAAGACTGTATCTCAAAAAAAAAAGACCCGTGTCTCAAAAAAAAAGGAAAGAAAGGGTTGGGGGTGTAGCTCAATGCGAAGGCTCTGGGTTCAATCTCCAGTACCACAGAAAGGTGGGGATAGGGGACAGGGATTTAGCTCAGTGGTACACACCCCTCTGGCAAGCGCGAAGTTGTGAGTTCGATCCCTGGTACCAAAAAAAAAAAAATGGTGGTACAGGTAGGAACCTAGAGTGGACTGGCCTGGCTGAAGTGGATTAAGTAATAAATTTTTAGAAAGAAGATAAAATCGGGTGTGGTGACTGACACAGGTCATCCCAGCACTCGGGAGGCTGAGGCAGGAGGACTCCTGGGAATTAGAGACCAGCCTGGGCTACAAAGTGAGCCGTAGGCCAGCCTGAACTGCATAGGGAGACCCTGTCTCAAAAAGACAAAAAGAAACAATCTTTGGAGACTTGCCCAAGGTCATTCAGCCAGGCAGCGGGGGCTGCGATCACCCTCCCGCATCTCCATGGAAACAGCAGGTGACAGTACCTGACCAAAAGCAGCTCCATCCATGGGCATCCTGCGTCCCTGGATTGCTATGGCAACCGCAGTGTGCTGCCAGAGCCTAAAGAGAAGAAAGAAGCCTATGGCCCCGCCCCTGGGACACGCCCCCCGGGCGACCTAACCCCATTGGTCAATTCCCAGAAACTCCGCCCCCAGGCAGCTATAAGGCGGCGGAGCGGGCAGTGGGCGGAGACGGCGGGAGCTGAGGGTCCTCGCTGGCCCTGGTGGGGGCCAGAAGCCGCGCGAGCCCAGGTGAGTGCGGCACGGACGGTGTCCAGGGGCCTCCCCCAGGCTCGGGGACCCCGGTATGGGCGTGTTGGGCGTGGGGCCCGCGGCGTGGGAGGGGCTCGACGGACAGGAACAGGTGGCCGAGACCCTTGGCCCAGTTGGCGAGGGTCCAGGACCCAGTTGGGAAGGTGCCCGCGCGCCAAGGGCACGGGGGGGGGCAGGGAGAGGGCAGAGCAGCGGGCGGCGAATATGAGCCCCGATGTCAAGCTCCCTCCCGGAGGCGGCGTGGGTGCCTCAGTTTCCCCATCTGGCAGGTGACCTGTGAGGCTGATCCGGATCCTGCAGCTGTCGCCTCCACCCCTGTGGGGGTGCAGGAGGAGGCTGTGCAGGTGCAGCCCTGGCACAGGCAGCAGGGACCTGAACCACGGTACGGACAGGAAACAGCCCAGAGAGGGAGAGGAGCGCGCCCAGAGCCACACAGCAGCGCGCAGCGTGGGCCCTGCCGGAAGCCCCGGGGACGGGACTGACAGGGGCCCAGCCAGACAGGGGCCCAGACCCGGCGGGAGCCAGGAGGGCTGCCGGGGTGGGGGACCCCTCACTCTGACCTGCCCCTCCCCCAGGGGGACCGTGTGGCAGCCACCATGTCCGACAACGAGGCCACTCAAGACCCCACACCCAGCCTGGAGGAGCACCACCAACAGGTGGGCACCAGGAAGGGCGGGGGACAGGGCTTCAGGACAGGTGTCCTCTGCCCCGGCCTTGCCAGGAGATCCAGATTCCCAGGACCCGGATTATGGACCCCAGAAGGGGCTGGGAATGCCCAGCCCTGTTCTGCCCTCTCCACATCCCTGCCCACGGCTCTGTCCTGGTGTCTTCTGTCACCCGTAGTGGTCACAGTAATAGTAATGTTGCATCCGTGGTCCATTTCTTCTGTGGTCTTTTGAGACAAGGCCTCACTCTGTAGCCCAGGCTGGCCTTGTGTTCCTGGAGATCCTCCTGCCTCAGCCTCCTGAGTGCTGGGATGACAGGCGTGCAAGGCTCTAGTGTGCGGCTAAGCCCTGTGACTTCAGGGGTCCCTCTGGTGCCACCCCTTCCCGCAGAATGTCATGCAGCGTGTGGTGGCCTTGCCCCTCGTCCGGGCCACCTGTGCCCGTGTCTCCAACGCTTACAACGCCACCAAGGACAGGCACCCGCTGCTGGGTTCCGCGTGTCGCCTGGCCGAGAGCTGCGTGTGCAGCCTGACCACGTGTGCCTTGGACCACGCCCAGCCGCTGCTGGACCACCTGCAGCCCCAGCGTGAGTCCTGCCCCACGCAGCTGCATGACGCTCCCGGCAGCTGTCCTGAGTTGGGCGTCCCTCTTCAGCTGTCCCCCATCCCCTTGGCCTCTGATGTGCCACTTGCCAGGCATCTGCCTGCTTGCCCCCTTCCCGCTGCCCTCCGTCCCGTCCTGCTGTTTATTGGTGTCACTGGGGACAGAACCCAGGGCCGTTGCACTGAGCTCCACCCCAGCCTGTTTTCCCTTTGTGACAGGGTCGCACTGTGTACCCCAAGCTGACCTTGAATTTCTGGGGATCCTCCTGCCTCAGCCTCCCAGAGTGCTGAGATGCCAGGCGTGTGTTGGCTGGCTGTTAGCCTGACCCCTCCCCACACTTGTCCTCCTGCCCTGAGCCACCACCTGCCACATCTTGCCAACTGCAGGGTCCTCTCTGCAGAGAATAGAAAGACTCTTTGCCTCCCTGTGACAGTGATAGACATCACCAGGCTCCCAGCTCCTTCGCAGGGGCTCCTACAACCTTGAGCGGCCACCAGGGCTGTGGAGTCACCTTGGGGCTGGGCAGATGACTGAGGAGCCTGCTGGCCCACTCAGGGTCCCCAGGCCCACCAGGAGTTGGCCAGGAGCCGCCCCACCCTGTCCTGCTGTGGCCTGGCCTCCTCTGTCCACCTCCTTCTCCCCGAGTCCTGGCGCAGGGCCCGGGATCCGTGGCTGCCCGAGAGCCCCGGGGTACAGAGCTGGGCCTCAGCGGGCCACCAGCCGCCTCTGGGTGGAGCCGGCTCTTCTGCCTGCTCCCCGGCGTGTGGCTGCCACCCTCCGTGCCCCCTCCCTCTATATATCTGCGTGTGTCCGTCTCCTCTGCTCTCTAGTGGCCACGGTGAACGATCTCGCCTGCAGGGGCCTGGACAAGCTGGAAGAGAAGCTGCCCTTTCTCCAGCAGCCTTCGGACACGGTACCCGGGTGACTGCACCACGCGTGGGGACCTTAGCAGTTGGGTCACCCTTGAGTGGAGAGGGAGGGTCAGTCCAAGAGTCCCGTAGTAGGACCTAAGAGTCCAGCCATGGAGAATAATGCACCACCACACGCAGAGCCAGTGATGCCCTCTCCACGCCCTATGCGGGGCCAGGACCATTAATCCCCCATTCTATAAAGGAGACATTGACTGAGGCCCAGCCCCAGGGAGCAGGGGTCAGGGTCAGGGCCCAGAGCTAGAGACTCACGGTGCCCAGACCAAGGTCTTCCCCTGCCAGGTGGTGACCTCGGCCAAGGACGTGGTGGCCAGTGGGGTCACAGGTGTGGTGGACCTGGCCCGGCGGGGCCGGCGCTGGAGTGTGGAGCTGAAACGCTCTGTGAGCCACGCCATGGACGTGGTGCTGGGCAAGTCTGAGGAGCTGGTGGACCACTTCCTGCCCATGACGGAGGAGGAGCTCGGTGAGGCCCGGGTCCTCCCTCTTCCCCATGCTTCCGGTCCAGGGACCCTCTCTGGGGTGAAGATCAGAGAGGTCTGCGTTGGCCCCAGACTGCACAGCACGGTAGCAGGAAACAGCGCATGCTTTCAAATGTGTCAGTTTATTTTATATATTTGTACTAAAAATCCCAGTTTATGGCTGGTCCTGAAAAGTAAGACACAGGCTAAACAGTGTCTTTTCAGCTGGTCCCCCAAATCTCAGGACTCCCGTTTTACATCCTGTCTGCTTGATTTGTGTTTTGGTTTGGTTTTCTTGAGACAAGGTCTCACCATGTAGCTAGGCTGACATGGAACTCATAGAGATCCTCCTGCCTCAGCCTCCTGGGTGCTGGGATTTACAGGCATGAGCCACCACACCTAGATTTTTTCCTTTTTCTTTTTGATATATTCTTTCAGAGTCCATTTAATAGAATGCTTGAGCGTAGTCTGGAGCTGATGTGCCCGGGCATGTACCCCGATCTACCTTGTGCATGCTGTGGGGTGCCTTAGTTTCTCTCATGTGTAAAATGGGATTACCATAAAGCCTATGTTCCAGGGCTTGGAGAAGCTGAGAAGGGTTGGTGTGAGCAAAGGGAAACTACACCTTCGGGAGCCCATGGGGTGGTTCATCCTGGGGGTGGGTGACCATTGTGGGGGGGTCGCCACACTGACCCCCAGGGGACCCCTGTGCCAACTTTCAGCGGCACTGGCAGCAGAGGCCGAGGGCCCAGAAGTGGGCTCCGTGGAGGATCAGAGACGACAGCAGGGCTACTTCGTGCGCTTGGGCTCCCTGTCGACACGGATCCGCCAACTGGCCTATGAGCACTCTCTGGGGAAACTGAGGCAGAACAAACACCGAACCCAGGACGCATTGGCCCAGCTGCAGGAGACGCTGGAGCTGGTGAGGATTCTCCGCTGAGGGCGGCGCCGTCCTCCCGGGGAGCAGCCACGGCCTGTGCTGCTCCCTGACTGCTCCCGCTCTGGCCTCCGCTGCTGCTGTGGGCCCCACCTGCCGGCGGGAGCAACCTGCCAGGGACCCTTCTGTCCCACCCGGCAGCCTGACCGCCCCGCGGGGGCCACCAGAGGGCGCCCGTGAGCACCAAGCCGCCTCTGCCCTGCGCGGCCCCCCGCCCCTCCCCGCCTCCCCTTCTCCCTCTCCGTCCCTCCTCCCCCTGCTCCGCCACGCGGCTGCCTCTACTTCTCCCGCTTCTTCACTGACTTCACTGATCCCCATCTGGACTTTATTTTTTAAGTCACTACTGAGCCTTGAACCCAGGGCCCCGCGGAGCTCTGCTGCTGAACTCCGTCCCCAGCACAGCTGCTCGGCATTTACTGAGCACCTACATCACGCTAGGCCTGGATCAAGGCACCGGCTGCCCACACAGCTGGCAGGCAGCGGCAGGGCGCAGCGCCCGGGCAGGAGGCAGCGCAGTGCGTGCTTGGCACAGCATTGAGGGCTTTACCCGCAGTGAGCAACAGGCGCTTGCACAGGTCTTGCATTTTCTAACATCCGCTTCCTGTGCGGTCGGTGTACAGCACATAGCACAGGGTTCAGCGCTTAACCGTGTGTGTGTGTGCTCGCGCATGCGCGTGTTTGAGACAGGGTCTCTGCAGCTCAGGCTGGCCTTGAGCTCACTCTGTAGCTCAGGCTGGTCTTGAACTCACAGCGATCCTCCTGCCTCAGCCTCCCGAGTGCTGGGATGACAGGCGTGCGCCACCACGCCTGGCATTAGTGCATGATTTTTAGATGTGGCAATGCATTCTAGGGATGCTTCTGTCTCAGGTGAGGTCCGGGGGTGGGCCGTGGCCTGGACGCTGAAGGCAGTGGCTGCTTTGTCTGTCCTTTGGAGATCAGGGGTCGGCCCTGCCCTTGGGGCGGGGTGGGGAGGCTTCCTGCAGAGCTGAGGGATACTGAGTCCAGAGAGAGGGGACCGCGGGGCCGGCGTGGAGAAGGCCTGCAAGGACTGGCGGTGCGGCCGCCGGATCCCAGCGGAGCTCCCTTACTGAATGCTGCTGAGGGCAGATTTCGTTCTGGGTCCCCCTCCCCGCTTTCCCCTCGTGCCCTGACTCCCACCTACCCCCGTCCCCGCCTGCAGATCCACCGCATACAGAGTGGGCTAAGCCCGACCCCTACATCCCAGCCCGGGAAGGTGCACGAGCTGTGGGAGGACTGGAACCGGCGACCCCTGGAGAACGGCCGCCGCCGCCGGGACAGCCAGGTGAGGGCGGGGCGGAGCCAGCCGGAGGCGGAGCCTAAGTAAGGGGCGTGGCCGGGAGAAGCTGTGCGGGGAGAGGGGGCGGGGTCAGGGGGACGGCAGTGCTGGGGCGGGGCTGAGAAGGGGCGGGGCAGAAGGAGCCAATACCAGGGAGGTGGGCGGGGCCACAGGAGCCAATGAAGAGGCCGCTGAGGCTAAGGGAGCTGAAGGCGGTCCAGGAAGGGGTCGGCTGAGGGTGGGCAGCAGGGGCGAAGTCAGAGGGCGGCCAGGTGACGTGGTAGGTGGGTGAGGGTTGCCAGGTGTGGTCAAAGGGCAGGTGAGATGGCAGTAAGGCCTGGTAAAACGTAAGATCGTGGGGGCCCGGCCGAGCGTGGTGGCGCACACCTGTCACCACAACACTCAGGAGGCTGATGCAGGAGGATCGCCATGAGTTCAGTGGGCTACTTAGCGAGACCCTGTCTCAGAAACGAAACCAAAGCAGATACCAAACCCAGTCCTGTTTGTGTCCGCCCGGCAGGCGGAGCTGGAGACGCTGGTGCTGTCGCGCCGGCTGACCTTGGAGCTGCAGAGCGCGGTGGAGGCGCTGCAGGCGGCCGTTCGCGGCCTGCCCCCCGGCGCGCAGGAGAAGGTGGCCGAGGTGCGGCGCAGCGTGGACGCCCTGCAGGCCGCCTTCGCGGACGCGCACCGCTTCGGGGACGTCCCCGCCGCAGCGCTGGCCGAGGGCCGGGGCAGCGTGGCGCGCGCGCACGCCAGCGTGGACGAGCTGCTGGAGCTGGTGCTGCAGGCCGTGCCGCTGCCCTGGCTCGTGGGCCCCTTCGCGCCGGTCCTGGTGGAGCGGTGCGAGCCCCCGCCCGACCTGGAGGACCTGGTGGACGAGGTGGTGGGGGCCCCCGACCCGCGCTGGGCGCACATGGACTGGCCGGCCCAGCAGAGGGCCTGGGAGGCCGCGCACGGCGACGCAGCGGGGTCCTCCGGGGACGGCGGCTCCCGGGAGCCCGAGCCCCCCAGCGCCCAGGTCAGGCACACTCTGATGCCGGAACTGGACTTCTGAGCGGTCGGGCCCCGTGCGCCCCCTGGTGGCCACGCGTGAGCGCGCACGGCCGAGGCCCTGCTCTCCTCTAGGACCGGCTGGGTTAGGGCCCAGTTTGGGATCCTCCGCCATCAGGGTCGCGATGGGGCCTCCCGCTTTCCCTGCATCGCCAGGGCCTGGCCTCGAGCTCCTCTAGTCATTTTTACCTCTGAGCAAGGCTCTTCAGAGCCTGTCTGTGGTCCTATCCCCAACCTGAAAGCTAGGCACACGCCTGTCATCCCAGCACTCGGGAGGCTGAGGCAGGAGGATCGTTGAGTTCAAGACCAGCCCAGCGTGGGCTGCAAAGTGAGCTCAAGGCCAGCCTGGACTACACAGTGAGACCCTGCCTCCAAAAGACAAAAGAGAGAGAGAGAGAGACAGAAGAGTTTGAGCCCAGCCTGGACAATTCAGGGTCTAGAAGGAGACCTTGTCCAGAAATTAAAAATAAAAAAGGACTGAGGACCTAGGGATGTACCTCAGTCCTAAGGCCTTGCCTGGGTTCAATGCCCAGCACTGTGGAGGGGTAGGGAACATCCCCCGAAATTCACCCTTTGTAGCATGGCTTCTGTTTGGGGCTTTATATTGTTATTATTATTATTATTTCTGTGGGTGTGTGCGCATGTGTGTACGTTTCATTTTGGAGACAGAGTCTTGCTATGTTGCCCAGGCTGGTCCTGAACTTGCAGAGATCCTCCTGTCTCAGCCTCTTGAGTGCTGGGATTACAGGCATGTGCCACCATGCCTGGCTTATTTGGAGCTTTGAACAGTGAGTCCCCACACAACCCCAAAACGGATATCCCCAACTGAGGGTCCCCCAAAGATGCCTGGTGTGTCCACTCAGCCAACTGGGCCCACCTGCTGTGCTCGCTCTTGAGAATAAAAGCACTGTTCTCTAAGACTTGTAGCCTCTTTCCTCCTAGCGGGGTCTCAGAAGGGGGGTGAGGGGAGGTTCAAGGGGGTGACCCCAGGGACACGGCAGCACTCGAGACTAACAAGGTACATTTCTGCTCCTGGCCAGCTGGCCTGGCTTGAGCATCTACCTAGCGAGAAGCTGTTCTCACTTTAGTATAAATGAATTTCTTGGAAAGGGCGGGGAACAGGACAGAAAGAGGAGGAACTGAGATCTCCTGGCCCTCTTCTGCCCGCCTCCCCGGGCGTGTATCAACTAGTCTGGCCGCTATTTGTGCAGCTGGCCGGGAACGGGAGGAACAGAGGCAGGGCAAGGGCCGTGGCCGGTCTCCTGAGGGCCTCCTGTCCTCTGACCTTGTTCTTAAGCACCTCACAGGCCCCTATGACTAGACAGGATGTGAGGAAACCAGAGTCCAGCGCGGTGAGGTCAGGGTGGCCCCTCGCCCGCCTGGGAAGTGGTCCAGAGGACGGCTCTGGGAGCCCCGAGGTCTCCCCGCCTCGATGGCTGCACCCGCTCCAGAGCCCCCATGGCTCCCTAGTACCCTCAGACCGAACAGCAGCCTCCCAGCCTCCTCCTGTGCAGGTACTCAGCTCCCCGCTGTGGCCGTCGGGTCCGGCCTGCACCCCTTTCCTGGGCCTCCTGGACTTCACCCCCGTGGGGTGGGGTCCTGCACGAGCCTGAGGATCCACAGGACCAGGCCTGGGAATGGGGTCAGAAAGGCATATGGCAGTGGGGGTCAGTCTGGCTGGAACGGGGGGGCAGGGCAGAGGCCCCGGGACAAAGTGGGCGCGCCAGGTCCCCTCTGTCCACCACCTCTGCCCGGGAAGGGGCCGGGTCTTCCTCTGCGTTTTGTTAGCTTTCAGTTCTGGCTTTCCCCCGCCACGCTGGGCTGCGGCCCCCTCAGGAGAGGGAGGGATGCGTCCAAGGTTCCCCTCGCCACCCTCGGGGGGCATCAGCCGAGAGGACGAAGGTGGGGCACCCCCCCTCCTGTTCTCCGACTGTTTGGCAAACACAGTGACGTCTCCAAGGCAACGGCCCAGAGCGGGGCATCAGGCCAGGGCCGGACCCCTTCCCTCCCAGCAGGGAGCTCAGAGCCGCCCAGCCCTGCCAGCTGGCACACGGCTGGCATCCGGGTCCCCGGGGTGGGCTGGCATGGGCGCGGTGCCCCCCATCGCCCACTTGGCACAAGAAGCCTGGCTCTGTGCGTGATCCTGGCTCTGCCCCTTTCTGTCTGAGACCTCAGGAGCCAGGGGGCCAGGATCTCACTCCTTAGTGCCCCCCGGTTCTGCGGGCTCCGTCTCTCTGCAGCTCTCTCTCTGGAGACCAACACCCCCACCCTGCTCCTCTTAGACCCTCTGATTCTGCCTGGCCTATGCTAAACTGGTGTTTGTTGAGTGCCTAAATGAGACACAGGGGTAGGCAGGTCGCACCTTTGCATGATCTCATGTTTCAAACTCACAACCAGCTTGTTGCCCTGTTTAGCCACACAATGCCCAAGCGCCAAATGTGTGCCAGGTGGCACTGTTCTAGACGCCTGGGAGCAATACGGGCTTGGCTCAGGTGAGAGACAGGAGGAGCCATGCAGGTATCTAGGGGAAGGGTGTTCAGGGAGAGGCTGTAGCTGTGCAAAGGCCCTGGGGCAGGATGGGGCCTGGAGCATTCTAAGAGGGGCGAGGAGCCCCGTGTGGCTGGAGCAGGAGTAAGAGGAAACAGAAGGTTCAGGGAGGCTTCCCTGTGGGCCACAGTGAGGAGCGCGGAAAGGGAGACTGAGGCACAAAGATGCAATCTGACCATACCATTGCATTGGGACAGGGAAGTGAACTGTACGCCATCCCATAGAGGAGGCAGAGGCCCCCCAGGGAGTCTGGTGAGCCTGAGTCACTCTGCCCTCGGAGGGTAGGTCCGTGGGCCCAGCGCAGAGAGCAGGGGAAAGGTGCTGGGCCCGGGCCCATGTGGGCGGGCAGGCGGCCACGTGACCGCCACCCCCCACCCCCCACCCCGGCTGCTGGCTGCTTGGCCGCCTGCCTCCACCAGCCTGGCTGGGCCACCCGGACCCTATAAGGCCTGGGAGCGGGCAGGGCCAGCTGACAGCTGCGGCGTCTCCCTCCAGGGCGCCCGGGACTCCTGCGAGCCGCGCTCAGCCGCCCGGGGACGCCAGGCCCAGGTGGGTGTCGGGGTGTCGGGGCCAGCCGGGGCCACACGGGCATGCGGTGGGGAGGGGGCCTGGACTGACACCCCTTCTCTGCCCCTTCCAGCTCTTAACTGCTGCCATGTCTGCTCCAGAGCAAGAGGGCCGGGGCGCCCCTAAACCCAAGGGCAAGGTAAAGGAAAGGGAGGTCCCTGCGAGGACCCTGAGACCCCAGACCTCGGGGTGACCACAGCCGTGGGGCCCTGGGTCCCCCCTGGTGGGGTGCGAGCCAGCTCCCTTCTGTCCCAGGCTGGGTGGGGAGGCGGCCGTGCAGCCCCCAGAGCCTGCCCGGAGGGGTGGCCCCCACCTCTGAGCCTCAGTTTCCCCATCTGTGCGAGGGAGCCTGGAGGAAATGCTCCTCCCCTCTGCCTGCTCGGGCCAGGAGCGGGAGCGGGGGTGGGGTGGACCCGGGGCTCCCTCACGCCGCCCGCCACCCCGCAGACCCTGGGCAGCTTCCTCGCCTCCCTGCCTGGCTTCAGCTCCGCCCGGAACCTGGTGTCTGGGGCCCACAGTGCCTCGAGAGAAGCCAGGCCGCCCGCCGACCCCGCAGGTCCCCCTGGCCCTGAGGCTGAAGGTGAGTGACCGCCGTCCAGGGGAGACTCCGCTGGACACCCCTGGGGTGACCCCCGGCTATGTGAGGGTGCCTCGGACACATCAGAATCCCCTCACTAGACACCCGGCTTTCCCATCATTCAGAACAGGATGGGGAAACTGAGGCAGGAATCTGGAGAGCCAGACACAATGAGGGGGGTCAGAACGCAGCCTGTCTCCCCGCAAACTGCGCCCCCATCCCACTGCCTGCCGTGATCCCCGTTTCTGGCACCCCGCAGACCACCCTGGAGCCAATGGTGACCCAGCTCCCAGAGGGGGGCAGCAGCTTCCCTGGAGTCACGCAGCTTCCTGGGGTGTGGGGGCTGCTCCTGGGACCCCGGGGGGGGGGGCAGCCAGCAGGGCTGGGCTGCATTCTGGGCCCGGCGCCCTGAGCTGTTGACTTCTGTCCCAAATGCCTGGGCCAATGGGCTCCCCCTGGCCTGAGGACTCCAGGACTCGGGGAGGCGCCCAGCAGCCCACAGCCCCACGGAGCCCCGCTCCAGGGCACTGCAGCCCTGGGGGTCTGGGCCACCCTGGCCGCGCAGGTGACCGACTCTGGCTGTCCATGTCACCTCCCGCTGTCCCTGGCAGGGAGCCTGGCACATTCCTGACCTTTTGGGCTGTGCCCGGCAGTTGCAAAACACACCAGGACAGCTGAATCCCTCCCTGTCTGACCAGCCTCTGTCCCTGCAGTGGCCACCGACCCAGCAGCGACGGCCAGGGGCGCAGAGAAGCTGCCACAGCCTTCAGGAAAGGTGAGGGGAGCAGGGCAGGACAGCCCAGTGTCCCTGCGTGGGAGGTCACAGCACAGCCGGGGGCCTCCCCTCGAGGTCCCCTTTATCACCGCGGAGTGGGGGCCACTGTGTGTCAGCAACGTGGTGGCTCTGGGCTCCTCCCTCCTGCCCACAGCACAGAGGCAGCACAGAGAAGCCGAGCTGCTGCTCAAGCTCACACAGCAACCTGGCTGGGGGGTCTGACACCCCGCCTCCCCTCCGCAGCCTGTCCCAGCCCAAACCAACTGACACCCCGGGGGCCGCTGTATTCGGGGCACCAGGGGCCCCCCACTTCGCCCCCACCCTGCAAGGCCAGGACCATTTTAAAGGCTACTTTTGGGGCTGGAGGTTTAGCTCAGCGGCAAAAACGCCTGCCTTGGAAGCAGGCAGTCGTGAGTTTGATCCCCGGTACCGATAAAAAGGAAAAAGACAAAAAAATAAAAATAAAGACTACTTTTCTGGCAGGGTGTGGTGGGGTTCACCTGTGACCCCAGCTCGGAGAGGCTGAAGCAGGAGGATCACTGCAGGTTTGAGGCTGGCCTGGGCTGCGCAGTGAGACCGTGTCTCAAAAACAAAAACAAGAAAAATCTCACTTTTCAGTGCAGAGCTCAGGCTCAGAGAGGGGCTGAAGCCGGGCCAGGGTCACACGCAAGTTTGAGAAAGACCTATGATTTGACCCGCCAGCCCCCAGGGCCAGGGCCCGGGGTTGCAAAGAGCTCGATATCCCCGTGTGGGGGGGGCAGTATCACCCCAGATGAGACCCCCTAAAACCACACATTCCGGGCCACATCTAAGGGGCGGTAACTGCGGCGGTCACCTCTTCATTTCAAGTGTTAACGCGCACACATCTGCCCGGGGGAGGCCAAGGCCACCCACAAGCTCTGGGGTCTCAACGCAACCCTTTTATTTCTCTAGTTCCTTGTCTTCTTGGTGGCAGGGCTCGAACACACGACCTCTGCTTACTTTGCTAAGCCTCCATTACTTCCTCTGCTTGAATTTACTTCCCGATGGAGCCCGGCGTCCTCCTGTGCCCCTTTCTTTCCCGTGTTAAGACGGGGGCTCAGGAAACTGTGCGCTCTTGGTTTGAACCTGCGCAGTCCTCCTGCTCCACTTGGCTGATGCTGACTTTATGTTTCGTCTTTCTGAGGCAGGGTCTCGCTGTGCAGCTCAGGCTGGCCTTGAAGCCCAGGTTGGTCTCGAACTCCCAGCGATCCTCCTGCCTCAGCCTCCGAGTGCTGGGATGACAGGCGTGCGCCACCACGCCCGGCTTAATGTTGATTTTAGTGAGCAATTTGGTTTCTCTGTGGCTGGGTGCACAGGTTCAGAATCTGCCAGAGAGAATAGTCCAGCTGAACAGGCGTGTGATCCCCTAACTTGGCTATGGCCTGGGCTCAGCGGTATTGGGGCCTGCTTTCTATAATGGGGTTTCCATATTGGGGTCCTACAAGCCAGGTACAAAGGAATCATTTCGGCTCAGTGTGCCGAGAGCCTCAGAAGGCCAAGGAGGGCACTGGGCAGCGGGTGGGGGGCAGGAGGCACTTGAGGTTGGGGTGCAGGGAGTGGGGATGGCGGGGAGCCCCTCCGTCCTGCTGACTTATGCCTCCTTCCCCAGCAGGTGCCCAAGTCTAAGGAAGCCGCCTCCTCCGGGATGGCCACCCTGATGGATGCAGCCCAGGGGGTGGTGCAGGGAGGCGTGGACACCACCTGTTCAGCCCTGATAGGCGCCAAGGACACGGTGGCTGGAGGGGTCATGGGGGTGGTGGGCATGGCCAAAGGGGTTGTGCAAGGGGGCCTGGACACCTCAAAGGCCGTTCTCGTGGGCACAAAGGACACAGTGACCACTGGGCTCACGGGGGCAGCGAATGTGGCCAAGGGAGCTGTCCAAGGGGGCCTGGACACATCAAAGGCCGTTCTCGTGGGCACAAAGGACACAGTGACCACTGGGCTCACGGGGGCAGCAAATGTGGCCAAGGGAGCTGTCCAGACCGGCCTGGACACCACCAAGACTGTGCTGACCGGCACCAAGGACACCGTGTGCAGCGGGCTGACAGGAGCTGTGAATGTGGCCAAAGGAGCTGCCCAAGGGGGCCTGGACACATCAAAAGCTGTCCTCATGGGCACCAAAGACACGGTGACCACTGGGCTCACGGGGGCAGTCAATGTGGCCAAAGGCACAGTGCAGACTGGCCTGGACACCACCAAGACCGTGCTGACCGGAACCAAGGACACCGTGTGCAGCGGGCTGACAGGAGCTGTGAATGTGGCCAAGGGAGCTGCCCAAGGGGGCCTGGACACATCAAAAGCTGTCCTCATGGGCACCAAAGACACGGTGACCACTGGGCTCACGGGGGCAGCGAATGTGGCCAAGGGAGCTGTCCAGACAGGCCTGGACACATCAAAAGCTGTCCTCACGGGCACCAAAGACACGGTGACCACTGGGCTCACGGGGGCAGCGAATGTGGCCAAGGGAGCTGTCCAGACAGGCCTGGACACCACCAAGACTGTGCTGACCGGCACCAAGGACACCGTGTGCAGCGGGCTGACAGGAGCTGTGAATGTGGCCAAGGGAGCTGCCCAAGGGGGCCTGGACACATCAAAAGCTGTCCTCATGGGCACCAAAGACACGGTGACCACTGGGCTCACGGGGGCAGCGAATGTGGCCAAGGGAGCTGTCCAGACAGGCCTGGACACATCAAAAGCTGTCCTCACGGGCACCAAAGACACACTGACCACTGGGCTCACGGGGGCAGTCAATGTGGCCAAAGGCACAGTGCAGACTGGCCTGGACACCACCAAGACCGTGCTGACCGGAACCAAGGACACCGTGTGCAGCGGGCTGACAGGAGCTGTGAATGTGGCCAAGGGAGCTGCCCAAGGGGGCCTGGACACATCAAAAGCTGTCCTCATGGGCACCAAAGACACAGTGACCACTGGGCTCACGGGGGCAGCGAATGTGGCCAAGGGAGCTGTCCAGACAGGCCTGGACACATCAAAAGCTGTCCTCACGGGCACCAAAGACACGGTGACCACTGGGCTCACGGGAGCAGCGAATGTGGCCAAGGGAGCTGTCCAGACCGGCCTGGACACCACCAAGACTGTGCTGACTGGCACCAAGGACACCGTGTGCAGTGGACTGACAGGAGCTGTGAATGTGGCCAAGGGAGCTGCCCAAGGGGGCCTGGACACATCAAAAGCTGTCCTCATGGGCACCAAAGACACGGTGACCACTGGGCTCACGGGGGCAGCGAATGTGGCCAAGGGAGCTGTCCAGACAGGCCTGGACACAACAAAAGCTGTCCTCACGGGCACCAAAGACACGGTGACCACTGGGCTCACGGGGGCAGTCAATGTGGCCAAAGGCACAGTGCAGACTGGCCTGGACACCACCAAGACCGTGCTGACCGGAACCAAGGACACCGTGTGCAGCGGGCTGACAGGAGCTGTGAATGTGGCCAAGGGAGCTGCCCAAGGGGGCCTGGACACATCAAAAGCTGTCCTCATGGGCACCAAAGACACGGTGACCACTGGGCTCACGGGGGCAGCGAATGTGGCCAAGGGAGCTGTCCAGACAGGCCTGGACACATCAAAAGCTGTCCTCACGGGCACCAAAGACACGGTGACCACTGGGCTCACGGGGGCAGCGAATGTGGCCAAGGGAGCTGTCCAGACAGGCCTGGACACCACCAAGACTGTGCTGACCGGCACCAAGGACACCGTGTGCAGCGGGCTGACAGGAGCTGTGAATGTGGCCAAGGGAGCTGCCCAAGGGGGCTTGGACACATCAAAAGCTGTCCTCATGGGCACCAAAGACACGGTGACCACTGGGCTCACGGGGGCAGTCAATGTGGCCAAAGGCACAGTGCAGACTGGACTGGACACCACCAAGACCGTGCTGACCGGAACCAAGGACACCGTGTGCAGCGGGCTGACAGGAGCTGTGAATGTGGCCAAGGGAGCTGCCCAAGGGGGCCTGGACACATCAAAAGCTGTCCTCATGGGCACCAAAGACACGGTGACCACTGGGCTCACGGGGGCAGCGAATGTGGCCAAGGGAGCTGTCCAGACAGGCCTGGACACATCAAAAGCTGTCCTCACGGGCACCAAAGACACAGTGACCACTGGGCTCACGGGGGCAGTCAATGTGGCCAAAGGCACAGTGCAGACTGGCCTGGACACCACCAAGACCGTGCTGACCGGAACCAAGGACACGGTGTGCAGCAGGCTGACAGGAGCTGTGAATGTGACCAAGGGAGCTGCCCAAGGGGGCCTGGACACATCAAAAGCTGTCCTCATGGGCACCAAAGACACGGTGACCACTGGGCTCACGGGGGCAGCGAATGTGGCCAAGGGAGCTGTCCAGACCGGCCTGGACACCACCAAGACTGTGCTGACCGGCACCAAGGACACCGTGTGCAGTGGACTGACAGGAGCTGTGAATGTGGCCAAGGGAGCTGCCCAAGGGGGCCTGGACACATCAAAAGCTGTCCTCATGGGCACCAAAGACACGGTGACCACTGGGCTCATGGGGGCAGCAAATGTGGCCAAGGGAGCTGTCCAGACAGGCCTGGACACATCAAAAGCTGTCCTCATGGGCACCAAAGACACAGTGACCACTGGACTCACAGGGGCAGCGAATGTGGCCAAAGGCACAGTGCAGACTGGCCTGGACACCACCAAGACCGTGCTGACCGGCACCAAGGACACCGTGTGCAGCGGGCTGACAGGAGCTGTGAATGTGGCCAAGGGAGCTGCCCAAGGGGGCCTGGACACATCAAAAGCTGTCCTCATGGGCACTAAAGACACAGTGACCACTGGACTCATGGGGGCAGCGAATGTGGCCAAGGGAGCTGTCCAGACAGGCCTGGACACATCAAAAGCTGTCCTCACGGGCACCAAAGACACAGTGACCACTGGGCTCACGGGGGCAGCGAATCTGGCTAAGGAAGCCATCCATACTGGCCTCGACACCACCAAGACTGTGCTGACTGGCACTAAGGACACGCTGTCCACTGGAGTCTCCGGGGTAGTAAATTTGGCCCAAGGGACTGTCCAGACTGGTCTTGGTGCCACACAAACTGTATTCAGTGGCAGTAAAGACACTGTACACAGTGGGCTGACCGGAGCTGTGAATGTGGCAAAGGATGCTGTCCAGGGGGCCCTGGACACCACCACATCAGTGATTATGGGCCCCAAGGATGCCATGTCCTGTGGGCTCAAGAGGGCCATGAATGTGGGCAAAGGGGCTGCCCAGGGCAGCTTGGATGCCACCAAGAACATATTGGCCAGCACCAAAGAGGCAGCCTCTGCTGGGCTCGCTGGGACAGGGAACACGGCCACAGGTGCTGCCTACGCTAGTCTCAGCACTGTCCCTGGTAGCCACACCGCCACCTGGGAAGAAGCCACCAGCTGCCAGGCCTCAGACAAAAGTGGGCAATGCACTGCCTTGAGTCCCCAAGAAGTCCTGTCCTCTGGGGCCTCCAGCTTCTCAGACCCGCTTGCTGCAGGCCTGCAGTGGACTGGGGGACCTGTGGCTGCCACTGGAAGCCTGGCATCTGATGGGGCCACCCCCGGCGGTCAGCAAGCAGCTGCTAGCTTCGCGATGCTGCGGGACGAGCTGGAGGGGCTGGAGCTCTTCCAGCCCCTGAGCGCTGAGGAACAAGGTGAGGTGATGCGGGGATGCGCACCCTCTTGCCGTGGGTCCCCGCGTGGTCTCGCTCCAGTGGCGTCAGGCTTGTGGCCTGGCTGAGTCGCCCCTTTCCTCTCCCCAGCCCAGCTGGCGGCCTCCGAGCTGGGGCCCAAGGTACTCACAGTGGACCAGGGGAGCTACTTCGTCCGGCTTGGCGACCTGGCCCCTAGCTGGCGCCAGCGGGCTTTCCAACACGCCCTGAGCCACGTGCAGCACCACCAATTCCAAGCCAGGGACGCTGTGGCCCAGCTGCAGAGCTCCTTCCAGGTGGTAAGCAGCCCCCCACCAACCTGGCCCAGCGCGGGCACCGCTTGCACCCACGCACGCGCACTCGCACTCAACTGTATGCGGTTCCTGGGCTCCCCACTAGGGAACTGGCCGTGGGAGAAGGAGAAGGGACAGGGACGGTGTGGGGACAGCCAGGCAGCGCCCAGGAGAGGCAGGGCCGGCGAGGTAGTGTATCCTTAAGGACAGGCTGGGTGTACTGGTGGCACAGAGAGGCGGGCCAAGAACCCAGGGCTGGACACGAGGATCGAGGGCGACTCAGCAGCACCTGGGGGCCAGGGGTCCCCCCACCTCTGCCAGCACCTCCCAGCTCGTTCCTGGGCCAGGACACCCCAGGCCCTGCAGGTGCTGAGCGGCGCCCCAGGCCCCGCCTGCCCCCTTGGATCCTGAGGCCTTGTCTCCCCGCTAGGAAGGCACCCGGCTCACACCTGTCACGAAACGCGCAAGCGCACAGTGGCAAACTGGTACTCGGAAGCATCTTTCCACCTTCCGATCCTCACAGCAGAGATGGGCAAAAACTCAGCACCAGCACCCTCACAAGGGGAAACTGAGGCCAAGCGCAGCCGAGAAAGGGCTTTGCTCGGGGAACACACCGAGGATGCTAGGCATGGAGCCCCAAGCCAACATTACTCATTCAATCATGCACAGTGAGGGACGCAGGCCCACAGCTGGCTGGCAGAGCTGCGGCTCCGGAGAATCAAAGCCGAAGGCCCCACCTGCTGGGGCTGCTTGAGGGACATGGGCAGATGTTGAGTATGTGGCAGCCTGCATGTCTGGTACCATGAGGGTCACTAAGGACAAGGCAGCATCAGCACTGGGGCTGTCGCTGTGAAAGGGGATACTCAAGGCAAGATCAAAGTGAGAGGTGGATCTGAAGGGGACACATTCCAGGTGGAGAGCGTGGCTGCCTATGCAAAGGCCCTGGGGCAGCTTGCAGCATGGTTGTGTGGCTGGAGCAGAGGGCAGTGGGAAGGGGACAGAGTGGCCTTGCAGGACAACAGGGAGGACTTAGGCTTTGGCCCCAGGGAGGTGGGAGCAGTGGAGGCTTCGGACAGAGGGATGGCCAGACCTGACAGGTGTTCTGGAAGAGAATCAGGCTGCACTGGGTGAGAAGCAGGTGAGATGCTGTAAGTATCTGGGAAGTGAAGGGCCTCGGGGGCCCAGTAGTGCACGCTGGCAAGGTGCTGGGGATGTTTCAGAAGTGGAGCCTCCGGGTCTGCAGACAGGTTAGACACAGGACGAGAGGCCCTGCTCCCCCCAGATGTGCAGCCTGAGGCCAGGAGGGAGGCGGGGAGCTAGGCCCAGCCCAGCATCCTGAAAACCCCCAAGTCCCCGCCAGGAGGCCGCCAGCCATCTCCCACTTTGCTCTCTCACCAGATTGAGAAAGCCACGAAGGCTCCAGGAGGGCAGCTGAGTGTGGACCAGGGCTCGGATGCCCCTGTGGAGGACGCTGGGACCCCAGAGGTGGGTGCGGCCCAGGCGAGCCCCGCCCCTGCCCTCCTGGGGGAGCAGGGGGTACCTGAGGTGACCCACCTCACCCCATGCTTCTGAATCCCACAGGCGCTGGCCAGGGTCTGCGCACTCGTCTGGCAGCTGCACACGGCCTACAGCGGCCTGGCTGCCTGCCTGCAGGGGCTGCCCGAGCACCAGCGGCAGGTGAACCGGGCGCGGCACAGCCTCTGTGATCTCTACAGCATCGTGTCCTCCTCGGGCCCCGGGGAGGAGCTGCCAGCTGAGCGCCTGGCACAGAGCCGAGAGGGCATGGACCAGGCGTGGCGCGGGCTGGACCAGCTGCTGGACGGCCTGCAGCACAGCCCGCCACTGGGCTGGCTGGTGGGGCCCTTTGCCCTGGTCCCCAACACAAAGCGGGTGTAGGCAGGTCTACACCTGCCTGCCTGGCAGGGTGGCCTCCTCAGAACATTCTTCCCTAAGCCCAGCCCCGCTCCCGAAAGTCTGGGCCCTGCAGGCTGGAGCTGGTCAGACCCCAGTGGCCAAAGGGGGCACAATCTCCGAGTCCCATCACCACGCCCAGGCCAGGCTGCAAGCACCCCGTCCCTTCTCTGGGTGCCCGACCTAGCCCTTCAGTCTCCTGCTGAAGATGGGAACCGAGCACCTGGTGGGCCAGCAGCAGACGTGGGCCAGGCTGAAAGCGGAGGGAGCCGGGGCTGGGGAGGCCACAGAATGCCGCAGGTGGCAGCCCACCTCCAGGGGCCCCAGGCATGGGCACGGGAAGCCCAGAGCCCTTAGGATGGCAGCATGAACACAACCACTGCCAGCTTCACCCGGCCAGGGCCTGGAGCCGCTGCCACCCCCCGCGACACATGGGGCCTGAAGCTCTGCTCCCCCTGCTTCACTGGAGCCCCGCTACCTGTGGCTGCTGGGGGTCAGGACAGGCAGCCCGCTTGTCCCTGGAGGGCCCTGTGAGTGCCAGGAGCTGGAGTGTCCAGCAGCCCCCGGCCACAGGCTCATGACAGGGCAGCCGGCTGTCCCGAGCCCTGCCCTTCCTTCCTAGCCTGACACGGGCTCCCCAGGGGCTGTGACAGTTGACAGCCACATGCAGAGACCAGGCCCAGCACCCCAGCTCCTGTCCCCTGAAACCACACAGGGACCACAGCTGGGGAAATCTGTCCCCTCCACAGCCATCTCCTGCTGGGACTCGAGACCTGAGCAGTGCCGCACGGGAAGAGGGCGCTGCCAGGCACTGCAGGCTCCACCTCCCCTGAAGCCCCTGACACCAGGGAGGGCAGGGAAGCCCCCAGGGTGGAGGGAAGGCCACACAGCAGGCTGGAGACAGAGCTGGGAGGAGCCTGGTCCCTGGGGACAGAGAGCCCACAGCAGCCCGCTGGTCCTGAGCTGGCACCAGGGATCGGGGCTCCCGGGGGCCCAGAGCCACCTTTGGCCCAGGTCACGCAGCGACACGGCTGAGTGAGCAAAGATCCTCGCTGACTCCCCGACCACAGCCCTCCATGGCCACCTCTGTCCCTGCCCAGCCTTCGGCCAGGAGAACTACATGTGAGGTCCCCCACGAGACCCTGCCTGGCCCACCGTCCTTGGCCACGCTGCCCATGGCTGCCCTGCATGGCCCCTGCCTGCTGCAGGGGCCTCTTGCCTTGACCAGTCCAGCTGCAACAGGAAACCCAGTCAATAAAGGTCAGCTTTTCATTAAAAAACCTTTATAGTCATTTCATGTCTGTCAGAAATCACAGAAATTAGGCAGAAAAAACCCAAGGGACAAATACAAACAAACAGCACAGCGTCTCCCCAGCAGTGCCCTGCCCTGGGCCGGGGACCGGGGACGGGATGGGACAGGACAGGACAGGACGGCGCCCGCCGCCCCTCAGCTCTCCTCATCCGGGGACTCCGAGTCCAGCTGCGCCCGCTCGCTCCCGGGCCTGTCCAGGTCGGGGCCCTCCTGCAGGCTGCTGGGGGCAGCGTGGGGTGAGACCGGGCGGGTGGGGGCCTGGACACCACCCTGCCCCTCTGCTGTCCCCGCATCTCCGGCTCCACGCATGGCGGCAGACACCCACACAGCAGCCTCGGAGCTGGCTGGGGACACCGCCGGGGTCCCACCAGCGCCCCACTCACTCGTTGTGCAGGTCCTCCGAGGAGCTGCGCCGCAGGCCGCCCTCCAAGTCCTGCCCGTCCTCCTGCTCCTTGTCCTCCACGCTCTCCTCCTTCGGGGCCGTGGCCTCACCGTTCACGGGGGCGGAGAGGTCTGGGGGGACAGAGGGCTGCTGGTGCACTGCCCGGCCGGCTGCTGGGCAGCCCCGCCCGTGCCTGGACTCTGCTCGGGGCTCCCGGCCAGCCCGACGTGCGCCCTCCCCCTGGGCACTCAGCAGGGCAGCAATGCCACCTGCGGGCCTCCCTTCGAGGGCCAGGTGCGTGGGAGCCCGGGAGCTCGGGGCTGCGGTCCCCAGGGCCCCAGGACGCACTGCAGAGCTCCCGCCACCCACCCACGGCCGGGCTGGGCTGCTCCTCCGCCTTCTCCTTGGCAGCCTCCTCCGCGGGCAGCTTCTCCTCGGCCTTGTCCACCTCGGCCTTCTCCTTCTCCGCGCCAGCTCTGCTGGCCTTCTGCACCGCCTCGAGCTTGGGCCCCAGCACCCGCGACTTGAGCCGGGTGTAGACCTCCGCCGCCTTCTCCATCACCTCCTTGTTGGCTTTGTAGCGGCGGATCTGGCGGGAAGGCTGGTCACCGTGTGGCTGTGTCTGTCCCCCAGGACCTCCCCACACAGTGGGCCCCGCCGCCTGCCCCCTCCTGGCCCCTCTACCTTCTTCAGTGTGGCCACCACATCTGTGTTCTTCTGCAGGATCTGGGAGGTCACCTGCAGGGTCCCCAGCTCCTCCAGGGCGCTCAGACACCTCTTCACGTCCTGCGAGGGGGAGAGTGAGCCCGGCTAGGGCACGGGGGCCACGGACCCACCGCTGTCTGCTGGCCCTGCCGACCCCGCGAAGGCCCTGCTGAGAAGCGGGGCTCTGCGCCCCACCCAGGGAACCAGCGCCTGCCCGGGACCCCGGCTGCGACCCCGGCAGCGGGCTGGTGTGGGGCTGCTCACCCCGGGAGCCCTTACCGGACTGTCCACCTTCAGGGCGAACTTGACCTCGCTGTGCAGCTTCTGCAGCTTCTCTTCCACGGAAGGTTCTGCGCAGGACACAGCGGGAGGTTGAGGCGAGGACTGCAGGCCCGGCCACCGGTGGCCAGGCGGGGTGGCCAGACCCCAGCCACAGGCGCCCATCCACAGGCACCTGGGAGCCGCTGGGCCCGGCCAGGGCTGGCCAGGGAGCGGTCAGCTGGCCGGCCTGGCATCCTCCCAGCAGCCTCCGCGCCTCCTCACCTTTCTTCTTCTCTGCCCTCCTGTCCAGCGGGGGCCCCTCTGACCGCTTCCGGGTCCGCTCCACCTTCACGGGCCTGCAGGAAGGGACCCTCAGACAGGCCCGGCCACCCTCCCACAGCCTCCGGGCACCCTGCCGCGCTCGCCCAGGCTGGCGGCCTCCCTGGTTCTGCGAACGAACTACAGCCGTGCAGAACCCTTAGCAGGTGGGGGCACAGCCTCGCACCCTGGCACCCCTGGAGGCCAAGTCTGAGCCCTGCCCGGGGTACTAATGACCGAGAGACCCTCTCTCAAAATAAAACCAGCGCTCACACCGGGGGCACGCTGTGACCCCGGCACTGGGAGGCTGAGGCAGGAGGCTCCCTGTACATCCGAGGCCAGCCTGGGCTGCACAGGGAGACAAAAAGCCCAGGCTGGCGGGAGATGCAGGCAGGGCAAACCCTAGCTCCAATCCCTAGTAGGAAGGAAAAATCAACTTCCAGCATTCTTTCTCACACTCACGGTAGCGCTGGTTATGCGAAACCTGGCACACGACTTGTTAAAAAGCACTGGTGCCCCTCCACGACACAAGGCCTCACTGCGCCACACCGCGGGGCCGGGCTCCGGGGCCCTCTAGAGAGGAGGGGAGGAAGCCACCGTGCTGGCGCAGGGTCGCCCGCTGGCACCATGGCCCTGAGGCCGGAGGACAGCTCTGTGGGGCACCCTGGGGACACAAGGGCTGAGTGCTGTCACTGGCCTCCACCTGCTGCATGCCAGGGCCTCCGGTAGGCCCCAGTCCCCAGTTTCTGAAGACACTGCCCAGTGTGCCCTGGGGGCACCATCACCCCTGAGAGGAACCCCAGGCCTAGGGTGACTGAACCCAGGCCGGGGCTCTCGGAGCAGAGAGCGCCCTGGTGCCGAGCACAGCCGGCCTGGGGAGGGGCAGGCACCTGCTGACCTGGCCCGGGGCTTCTCCTCAGGACGCCCTCTCTTCTCCTTCTGGCCGGGCTTCCGCGTCGGCTCTGCGCTCTGGGGCGGCAGCTTCTTGGTGGATTTCTTCCCCTGCGGCACCGGAACAGAGCAGGGCTCTGAGCAATGGGGGAGGCGCTGGACCCAGCCCCACGGCCCTGCTCTGAGCTTGGGGGCCTCGGGGGACAAAGCATCCAGGGCTCCGCCCACGCAGGGTACAGCCACCGCAGTGCTGCTCGGCAGCTCTGGATGCAACAGCGACTTGTTCTGCCAGGACCTGCACCCCTTATGACAAAAAGCGGTGACCCGGAGGGGCACTGTTCTTTCTGTGCCTTGCAAAGAAGGCAGAGCTGGTGGGCACCGCGGTGCCTAGGACGTCAGACTCCGGATCAGGCCGGAGGCTGGGGAGCCTGACTGGGCCCCGTTCTCAAACGGTGCACAGAGCAGGCCTGAGTCACCACTGTGCCTCAGAAGCCTAACGAATCCCATGCTCACCCACGAGCTGGTTCCCTGGAGCAGTAAAAGGTGCCATGAGTACCTAGTCTGGTCCTCCCTTCTCTGGCCTCCATGGCTCCCACCTCCTTGGGCCAAAGCCCAGGTTCTGTTGCTACCTGTCCCCTGCCTGCCTCCCAGGCACAGGGACTCCATGCCGCTCCTGCACTGTATGGCCTCCGTGCTACCCCAGGGCCTTTGCATGTGCTGTTACTCCTGCCTGGACTGTTTCCTGATTCCCCTTATGTATCACGCTTAAGTGAGGCCTTCAGGTCTCCCCCACTTAACACAGAAAAGGCGCAGAGGGTGAGACTCAGCGGAGCGGGCTTGAGCAGCCTTCCGAGGGCCCCGGGTAACATCCCAGCACTGACTCCCCGGTCACCTCCGGGCCTGCAAGGCCAGCTGCCATGGGGCTGGACCAGGGCTCCCTGCTGCTGCATCCCCAGCACGCTGACCAGAGCCACGTGGGTGAGGGCGGCCACCCGGGCACCAACCTCTCTCTCCAGGTCCGCTTCGGGCTCCGAGTCCGAGGACGACGGGGGGCCCCGGCCCCGGCCCTTGCGGCCCCGCTTCTTCACGGGCTCGTCGTCCTCCCTGAGCTCCTCCCCGCTGCTGCCGCCGCGCTCGGCCTCCCCGTGCTCCGCGCGCTCCCGCCGCCGCTCCTTCTCCTCCTTCTCCTGCTCGCGCAGCCGCCGCAGCTCCTCCTCCTGCTCCCGCCGCCTGCGTGCCTCCAGCTCGCGCCGCCGCTCCTCGTCCCGCCGCTTCCACTCACTGATGCGGTCCACCTCATCGCTGTCACTGCGCGGGGGGACAGACATCAGGCACCTCTGGCCACCGCGCTCCCGCTGCGCCCCCGCGGCAGCCACACCCACCTGTCGCTGCTGGAGGTGGACGGCGGCCGCTCGGGCTTCGGCTTCCGGCCTCGCGGCTTCGGGGGAGGCTTCTCGGCTACAGAAGAAGGTGCCCGCTGGTCAGCGGCCAGCTCCCCGGGCCAGCGCGCCCCGGCCGGCCGGGCCCTACCTGGCTTTCTGCCCCGAGGAGGTTTCTTAACGGAGACGTCGGAGTCCGAGTCGGAGGAGGACGAGGAGGACGAGGAGGAGGACGCGGACCTCGCCGCGGGCAGCGTGCCCTCCTTGGCCCCATCGGAGCCGGCTTTGGAGTCTGAGTCTGAGGCTGACGGCACCTTGCGGGCGCGGGGACAGGGAGGTGATGCCAGGTGAGGGCCAGCCAGACCCCCAGGGCAGACCCTGGGATGTGGGGGCTCTCAGCAGACAGAGGGACACGGAGGACGAGCAAGCCCTGGGCTGGACACCGCCTGCCCACGGCACCCACCCAGATGCGATGTGAGCCAGGCAGGGCGGACCCCGAGCTGCGTGTCCCACCCATGGCGGCAGGCGCTCCCCCAACCCCGGGCCCAGCGTGGACCTGCGCACTCTACCTTCTTCCTCCGGCCACCCAGGGGGCCCCGCCGCGGTGCCCGGGCCACGGCTTTCTTCTCGGGGGTGAAGTCCTGCGGGGAAAGTGCAGGAGCTGCAGGGGTGCTGGTGGCCACCCCCGCAGGCCGCCCGGTCCACTCCCCGGCTGCCCCTGCCCGACCCGCTTACCTGGTCACTGGTCTTCTCGGACTCGGACGAGCTCTCCGAGTTCTCGTCCTCGGAGGGCGACACGCTGGCTCGATCCCGGTCACTGGAGGCCTTCCGAGCGCGCTTGGACAGAGACATCTGCAAAGCAAGGGCAGGACGTGGGGCCGGGTGGGCACTGCCGCGCTGGTGGCTGCAGCTCGGGACTGTGTCTCTACCTCTGTGCTGTGCGCAGACGGGGCCGGAAGCCACCGTGTTACGCTCTGTCTTTAACTGGGACAGAACCAGCACCTTCACCCGGAGCTACGTCTCCAACCCCTTCTAATGTTTTTTTTTTTCCTTTTTGGTATCAGGAATCAAACTCAGTACCTCGCAGCTGCCAGGCAGGCGCCCTACTGCTGAGCTCTCTCCCCAGCCCCTACCCTGTTTTGAGACAGCGCCTCACTGAGTTACCCAGGAGGGTAACACATTGCAGGTGGGCTACCCAGGTGGGCTCCACCTTGCAACCCTCCTGCCTCAGCCTCCCACAGTGCTGGGAGGTCAGGCGAGCACCACCACAGGCGGATCTAGCAATCGTGGAAATGGAGCAGAATTCATTCACAGCACGTCACTGGCTGCTTCCCAAACACTGGAGGCTTCATCTTAATGTGCTATGCGAGGAAACACTCCCACTGCCAGGGAGAACGAGGACACAAACACGACAGTGTCTCACTGGTCCGGCGGGCTCAGAAACCCCACAGACGGTGGCGGTATTTCCTCCTAGCTTCACGTTGCGTCAGTTACAGCGAATGTGGCTCATTGCTTCAGAACCAAAACCAAATTTTATCTTCCACAGTAATGGGCTGGGGCAGCAGCTCACTGGTGGGGCTGGTGCCTGGCACACTGGGGTCATGATAAACAGGAAGGAACTGCCGCTTTCCAAACAATGTGCTGGCATTCTAGAACTTCCTAGAACCTGCTTCTTTCACTGAACCAGAACACTCAACAGCAGTAAAGCCAGCTGCACTGGGGTGCGCGTGGAATCCCAGCGCTTGGGAGGCTGAGGCAGGAGGGTCACCCGGGCCAGCCTGAACTCCCCGGAACAGAGAATGCATTCAGGAGAACAGAAACCAACACACTCCCATGAAAATCTATACAGAAATGTCCACAGCAGCGCAATTCCCAATTACCAGAAGGTGTAGAAATGACCTAAATGGGGGCTGGGGATTTAGCTCAGTGGTACAGCACTTGCCTAGCAAGTGCAAGGTCCTGGGTTCAATTCCCAGTAACCGCAGAAGAAGGAGAAGGAGAAGGAGGAGAAAGAACTTAAATTAAGCAGTAATTATCTAAAAATATGCAATGACTTTATAGAACTGACCTGAATGGCCCATGGCCATAGACTAAATGGATAAAGACGATGTGAGCCACAAACACACTGGAATATTACTCTTGTCAAGAAAAGGAGTGAGGCTATGATGCCTGGTACAATGTGGACGGACCTTGGGGACATCGTGCTAGATGAAAGACACCAAACATAAAAGGACACACAGTGTGGGTCTCCGCAGACATGAAGCATCCAGGACAGGAGGTGGGCTCCTGGGTACCAGGGCTGGGAGAGGGCAAAGGGGTAACACCTACTTGGGGGATTCTTCAGAGGGGGATGCAATCTTCGGGAATTAGACAATGGCTACACAGCACGGCAAATAAACTGAAAACCGCTGAACTGTGTATAGTTTGTTTTGGACACAGGGTCACTGTGCAGTCCAGGCTGGCCCTGAACTCAACTGTGTAGCCCAGCTGGCCTCAAGTTCATGGCGACCCTCTTGCCTCAGCCTCCCCAGTGCTGGGATGACAGGCGTGCACCCAGTCTGACCACACCCAGCCTCAACTATACACTCTGGAGGTGTGAATGTCGTGGTATAGGAGTTTATGAAGCCTGGGAATGGTGGGTACACCTGGGAGGCTGAGGCGGGAGGATCACCGTGAGTTCATGGCCAGCCTGGGATACACATCAAGACCTGTCTCAAAAATAACCTTTTTGGCTAGGTGTGGTGGCACATGCCTATAATCCCTGCAATGCGGGCAGCTGAGGCAGGAGGATCACCTTGATTTTGAGACCAGCCTGGGCTACACCGTGGGTTCAAGACCAGTCTGAACTGCATAGCAAGACCCTGTGTCAAAACAAAACCAAAACAAAGCACCAAAAGCCAGGCGTGGTGGTAGATACCTATCATCCCAGTACTCTAGGAAGCCGAGACAGGAGGATCATTAGGTTTGAGCCCATTCTGAGAAACTCAGTATCTCAGTGAGACTCTGCCTTACAAAACAAACCCAGGCATGATTGAGCAAGCCCGGGATCTCAGCACTCAGGAGGCTGAGGCAGGAGGACGGCCCCAAGTTCAAGGCCAGTCTGCAGTATGTAGCAAGACTCTACCTCACAAAGAGCAGAGTGAGGCTGAGGGGGAGGTGGAGGCACGGGGGGGCTGGCGGGAGGGACCAGGGGAGGGGTGGGGCGGACCTCGCAGCTCGGGCACCGCACCTGCCCGGCCGGGCCGGGGCCAAGCGGGTCCCGCCTCACCTGTACCTTCAGGGCCGATGGCTTCCGTTTCAGGCCACTGTTGTCGCTGCTTTTGTCAGAGTCTGAGTCGCTCTCCATCCTGTCACTGGCGGCTGCGGCGGTGACGGCTGTGACAGCCATGATGCTGCGGTCCTCCTCCTCGTCCGCGTCGCTGCCGCCCGCAGGGTCGGCTTCTGGGGCCTCACTCTCGGAGGAGCTCAGCGGCTTGGGGGAGGGCCAGAGACAGTGTCACGCAGGGACCAGGGCTTGGCTTCCTCGCTGCACCGGGAACCGAGGCCCAGAAAGATGCGGGAGGTGGAGACAGGGGCCAAGGCGCCAGAGCTGAGGCCACCATGGTGTGGATAAACCCTGTACAAGTGACTTCAGCGTCGCTGTGCCTCAGTTTCCAGAGCCGAGCAAGGGGTATCACAGAGTTTTCACCTCCCAGACCGTAGCAAGGAACACATGGAGGTCAGGGTGCACGCTTCGGCAAGAGGCCTGTGAATGTCTGATTCTCTAAAAGTCTTTCCTTCCCTTTTTGAGACAGAGTTTTGTTCTGCAGGCTGGCCCTGACCTCACACGGCCCTCCTGCCTCAGCCTCCTGGGTGCTGGGATCACAGGCACGTGGCCACTGCTGGCCCTGGCGCTCTCAGGACACCTGCTCAGAGCGGGATGGCCGCAAGCCAGCTACGGGGTTTGGGACGCGTCCTCTGGGCTGGCCGCGTCACCAGGCTCGGTGAGGACACAGAAGGGACCGAGGTGCGATCCGGGAGCCGGCGGGTGGGCGAGGCAGGAGAGGCTGAGTCCCGCACACGGCTCCCAGCCCGGGGCCTGGCAGGAAAAATGCACGAGCTGGGCACCGAGCCCTGAGGAGCGAGTGGCTGTGTGTGGCAGGGGGCACCAAGAGGCTGCGAGGAGCTGCCCGGCCCGTGGGCTCCCCTGGGCTCACGCGGTGCCGGGGTGGGGTGTGCGCACCGTAGAGCCCAACAGAAAGCTGGGTGTGGGGGGCACTGCACTCGGGGAGGCCGGGCAGGAGGATCGCAAGGCCCAGCCCAGCCTGGGCAACTTAATCACCCGCAGGACCTTGCCTCGTTGCCTCGAAGTAAAGAAGTAAAAGCGGCTGGCGCTCTAGCTCAGTGGGGGCACCCTGGGTTCATCTGCGACACTGCGGGAGGGAAAACAAAGAAAACTTGCAGAAGAAATAAAGGGGATCAAGATGGAACACACGATTCCAAACCACGAATGTGTACTAATAGAGAAACAAGGTTTTAAAAAAGCACTGCGGGAGGCTGAGGCAGGACGGTGGCAAGTTTGAGCCCAGCCTGGGCAACCACTCAGCGTCTTGGTGAAACCCTGCCTCCAAACGAAGGCTCAAAGGAGCCTGCGGGCGGGCTCAGCGGGGAGGGCCGAGGCAGGGCGGAGGCAGGGCGGGGTTAGGCCACAGCCCCTGGAAACTACTGGGATGTCTCTGCAGGGACGAGCTAACAGGGTGCGGAGGAGCTATGGAGTCACACAGAACCGCCCCACAGCGCGGCGGCCGACAGCGAGAGCACCGTGCCGAGAGGAGCCAGCACCCGGGACGCAGCGCGGCCTCCGTCTCTGGGCTTCTCACCCTGAGCAGGCAGTGCAGCCCGAGGCAGACCCTCGGCTGCCGGGGACGGGAGGGTGACAGCTGCGCTCTCCCTGTGGGGTCGGGGGATGGTCCAGAACTGGACGGTGGGACACCGGAGCCCGGAGCCGGATGGAAAGGCACTAAGGCCGCTGCAGTACGCCTGAAGACGGCTGTTCCGGCGCAGGTCCAGGGGTGGAAGCCAGGGCCTTTGCTCTGAGCTGATTCCAGGCATTCTAAATTGCTTTTTATTTTGAGAGGGTCTCACTAAATTACACAGGCCGAGTTTGAACCGGTAACTGTCTTGCCTTGCAGAGTGCTGGGAGGACAGCATGCCAGCTCACTTTAAACAAATGTCCTTTATTGACTGAGCGTCGTCCAGGCTGGCCTCAAACTCATGGCGATTCTCCTGCTTCAGCCTCCCGAGCCTGGGAGGGCAGGCACACACCACACACTCACGCCCGACAAAAATAACTCCTTAAAAACGTGCACTGCTTCGGGGTGCTGACGGTCTGGGAGGAGGGGCTACAGGAGGACACGCTTGCTGGCCCCGAAAAAGCCAGCGGGAGAATGAACAGAGGGCGCCAGATCCTATGAGAGGTGAAGAGCAACCACGGAGCCAGGAATGGGAACACAAGAGCCAGGCGTGTGCCAAGGGGTCCCAGGCGCGGCAGGGGGAAGGACACATGTGGACAGCGCGGTGCCCAGCAGTGCCCCCCCCCCCCGTGGATGCACCCAGCACAGCCAGGGGCCAAGGCGGGAACCCCAGCTGTGCCCCTGGCCCCTGGCTGCAGGCGCCCCTGGAATAAAGAGGGGAAGGCTGGAGCCCAGGCCGCCCCCAGCCCTGCTTAACACAGAAGGGAAATGAGAACCAGGTGTGGACTGCATCCCGAGGCCTGGCAGGCCGGCCCCCTGGCCCGCAGTTCCTGCCAGATTAAAAAGGATAATAGTTAAATAGGTCAAGGTGGAGAAAACTGTGCCCAAGCAGATTCGCACCTTTCCTCCAGAGCTGCCTGGTGGGTGGAGAAGGCGGTGCAGCGCGCTCTCCTCACAAGGGGAGGCAGCTCAGAGAAGGTGCCGCAGGGCTGGGCCAAGGGCCTTTTGCAGGTCGCCTCCCAGGGAGGCTGAAGCAGGAGGATCCCTGTGAGTTCGAGACCAGCCTGGGCTGCAAAGTGGGCTCAAGGTCAGCCTGAGCTGCACAGCGAGACCCTGCCTCAAAAAGACCAAACAAACAAAAAACCACAGCCTTTCGGCTGAGCTACATTCAGAACTGGGTTTTCAGTTTCTTTTTTAATTTTCAGACAAGGTTTCAAGATGCTAAATTGCCCAGGCTGGGCTTGAACTGGATCCTCCTACCTCAGCCTCCCACAGTGCTGGGAGGACAAGCCTGAGCCACCACACCTGGCTCACCATCCTGATTTTGCTGATAAAGATACAATCTGAGAGCATTTAAATAACAACTCAAAAAACAAACAAACCACAGAGCAATGGGGCTGGGGATACAGCTCAGTGCTACAGCGCCTGCCTGGCAAGTGCAACATCCTGAGGTCAATTCCCGGTACCAAAAAGCCAAACAAAGCAGCATGAGCACCAGAGGTGCTCAGGTCATGGGCGCAGCCCTCGTTAAAGGTCCCCCCGCTTCTGCAGAGCTCCTAACCCAGCGTGATCTGAGCTGTGCCTCTACAGCCCTGTCCATCAGTCGGGAAGGACGTGTGTCCTCCATGGGGACACTGAGGCTCTGACAGTGCCAAGGCTTAAGTGGTGACTGGGGACCCAGCTGGAACAGCCTTGCAGCAAAGGTTTGGGGCAATGTCACCCATGCAGCGGCCCGGAGGACGTCAATGCTGGCAGGGCAGATAAGAACCCAGAAACCAAAAGCCTGAGCCGGCCACTGCCAAGCAGGCCAAGGCTCACTGGGCTCGTATGAGCGGTGGTGGAGAAGAGGTGGCACCCTGCCCTCCCTCCCTGGCGACGGCCCGGCCACTCCAGGAACCTGACCGCTGTCCTCCCAGGCTCCCGGACACCCCGTGAGAGGTCCACAGAGGGTCTACACTGGAACCCAGGACCACCTGTTCCCATGGCAGGCCCCAAGCCCACCCCATCCATAACTCTGACCCCAGCTGGTCCCAGACAGGAAAAGAACCCCAGCTGGGCGGTCTCGAGGCCCGGGCTTTGGCACCAGCTCAGCGCTGCTGCTGACGACCTTGAGAACCCTAGACTGCATCACCACCAAAAGACAAGGAGGCGTTAAACAGGACCCTGCTACCTCAACGGCTGTCAACCCTAAGTGACGCTGTCCCCCAGGAAGCACGTGGCAATCTCCAGACACACTTGCCACCAAGACTGAAGGTGGGGCCAGCACACGGCAGTGGGCCACAGGGAGTGGCCTGGCCTCATCGTCCCAGTTGGTGGGGTACAGGACTAACGCTGAGGGCCCCCACTGGGCAGTCATGCAATGTCTACAGGCCTCAGTCTGCCCACCAGTGCAATGGGTGTATTTCGGACTGCTGCAGGAACCAAAACACAATGCCAGGAGCCCTTTTTACCAACTGGCTGGACAGGAGACAAGATATAGGCCTCTTGTGTGCTTTTAGGGCAACAGCTAACAAGCTCCTGCAGGGATTGATGCCATCCTGTGTGTCAAGACAGGATAATGATGAATGAATACAGCGAAGGTAGGACTATGTGCTTAGGGGAAAAAACCCTACGTGTGATTACACACGTTACACAGGACATGGTCGGGCGTGCCTATAATCCCAGCTACTCAGGAGGCTGAGGCAGGCAGATCTCAAGTTTGAAGCCACTCTACGAAAACAGCCAAGACTCTGTCTCAAAATACATAAATACAAGACAAAAATGAATCCCCAGAGGTACGTGAGGAACTGACATCTGACAATGTTGAGAGGGAAACAGAGTCAACAGGAGGCAAGAACGGGAAGCAAGACTCGGCCACTTTGGGGGCTGCTTTCACCGAGTGCCCCTCGACACTTTTAAACGTTTGAAGTCTGCGTTTCTGCTCGGAACCTGAACTAAGAGCTGGAGCACTGAGAGAGGCTGCTTGTGCCTGCCTGAGCACCCACCACGTCAGATGCACGGGGCCAGGGCTGGCGGGAGACAGGAGGGCCACAGGCTCCGCCCACAGCGCTGCATCTGCAGGGCTTGGGGCGCCTGCATACCTCTGGACGGACGGACGGAAGGACGGACGCACGGCTCACAGAAAGCCCAGCTCCCCGGTGCTCCTCTGCGGCCGGCTGGATCTGCGTGGGGCCCCCTGAATCTCAAGTATTCGCAACGTGAGTTTGTTTCCCTTGAGGGCAGGCGGTACGCAGTCAGCAGGCCATGGGTGTCCAATAAATACTAAACGGTGCAATGATTCACCAGGAGGGAACACGCTTAACACGTAACCAAAGAGACCTTGGGCCGGGGCCAGAGGGGATCTCATGCAACTCGACTGCCTTGGAGATCTTCCGAGCCTTGCGGGCAGGCTGGGGTCACGCACAGCCTAGGAAAAGTTGCTGGCTGGCAAACCGCGGTCTCCCCAACACAACGAGGTAATAAAGTACACAGCATGCCCCGGGCGCCTAGGGAGCCTGCCTTTGCACAGGGGGCTGCTGAACCATCAGTGCTCAGGAGGCAGCTGCGAAGTGAACCCCAGTAAGTTCGGGGGTATGGGTTCTCAAGAGCACACAGCAGTGTCAACACAGAAATGCCCAGGAGTGCTCAGAGGGGTGCTCAGGCTTGGACGATGGGGGAGCCCACCCACACTACTGCAAGACCAGAGTCCTGAAGGGGACCAGTGCTGCCTCCAGCTGTCCCCTGGGCCAATTTGGTGACCATCCAGCTCCTGCTCACCAAGTCCATTCTGACCACGCCAGTGTCACACCTGCCTCCCCCAGGGACCTCCAGCTCCTGCCCCCAGTGCCTCCAAAACGGTCAGAAGCAGCAGTTCAAGGCAAGCCCAGAACCCCAGTTTGGCCTCCCCAACCCCATCTCGCCCTGAAACACCTGGCGGGGGCCTTGCCGCCAGTCCCCCTGGCCTCTGGCAACTGCTCTGACCCCTCCTTGCCCAGAGCATCAGCAGACACCACGTGCCACCACCGAGACGCTGTCACCTCTGTGACTCCTGACATTTTTTTTCCCATCTAAGAATTATCATGTCAGAACCCCTGCCTAGTCTGCCGAGTCCCAAATCTGGCAATCACCAGAAGAGACCAAGAGGTTAGTAAATCAAGTTTTCCTTAAAAAATAAAGGTTTTATAAGACCATAAGAGCACCGTGAGAAATTCAGGCCCAAAAACCCTTTCGTAAATGGGCAGGGGAAGAAACATTGAAGGGAAGGCAGGGAAACGGAAAAAAAAAAAAAACAAGAATCAAAGAATCCAGTTAGATCCTGTACAGATCCACGTTCTTTATGAAGGATGAGATCATTATGTATATCTAAAATGTACCAATAAAACCTGACAGAAATAAAAATTCAGGCCCACAACAAAGGAATTCTTACTGCTCTGATATTACAGCCCTCTGTCCCCACCTTCAGGGGACACTGGGTGATCTCAGGGACACGTGTGGCTGTCACACCTGGCGAGCTCCTGGCATGGAATGGGTGGAGGTCAGGGTCACTGCTCAGCACCCTGGTCACCCCCAAAGGGAACGACCCATCGAGGTGCCCAGGCGGTGAGACTCAGACTTCAAAGCTCTTTTTCCTGGGAGTCATGGAAAAGGCCTCTCGGGTGCCAGGGCGAGCAGGCGCCCTCCCGCCTCGGGCCCTGCAGAGGCGCCCGCTGAGGCCCCAGCCGCGCGTACTCACCGGAGGGGCGCTGTAGCTGGCGTGGGGGTCGTTCTGGATCTCCCAGAGACCCTGGTTGAAGCCTTTCCTCTTGTTGGGCTTCCCATACTTGTCTTTGCACTTGTCGTACGGGAACAGGTCCTTGGGTCCCAGGAAGGCTCTAGAGCAAGGACCCCAGGTCGTTGCAGGTGAGCCGCCACCCCGGCCGAGCACCAGGTGGGAACCAAGCCCCGGGAAGGACACTTACGTTTCATGTGTACCGAAGAAGAAGATGGGGTACTTGTTGGGTGGGGGCTTCACGGCACCATCAGCAATGTCGTCGATCTGTAAGGAGAGGCCAGTCAGGGGCGGCTCAGGGCGAGGTCCAGGAGGCAGCTTCACACACTGACCCCAGAAATCACCAAGAAACCAGCCAAACTGCTTGGAGGAAAAGCATGATGGGAAGAGAGACGCCTTCAGCTCAGCGAGACTCATCACCTCCCCAGTGGGAATCTGCACGTTTCTGCGCACCCCCCATTGCAAACCTGTCCCCCTCCCAAAGTCACCTCCCCATCCCAAAGAAAGCTGGCCCCTGGTAGGTGCTTCACCTGAACAAAGCTAAATACAACCCCATGGAGCAAATGGGGGGGGACGTGGGGGGACATGTCACTCAGCTTCTAGAAACTTCCAGGACCCCCAGTGAGACCCCTCCTGCAAAGAGGGCATCAGGCAGGAAGCTCCCAGGGGATGCAGCTGGCAGCTCCAAGGATGCCGAGGGTGAGGGGTGGGCTGCAGGAGACAGGCCTGAGCATCCAGGAAGTCCCACCCTCTCCCTGCAGGCAAGGGCTCCAGCAGCTGTCAGTCAGCTCCCCACAGGAGGCCAGCAGCCCCTTCACTTCCAATCAGGTACTTGGAAATGTTCAGGGTTCTCTGAGCTGCAGAAGGGGGGTGAGGGGAGGAAAAAGCTAGTGCTGGGGAAAGGAGGGAAGTGTCAGGAAAGTTTCAGAGCTCTGGTCTCCCCCAAGACAATGAACGTGTTCAAACCCAGCTGCAAGGAGCCCGCAGGTCCCAAATAATGCCTTCCCCACCCTCCCCTCCAACTCCTGCGTGGTTCCTGGAACCTTCCCTGCCCCACGCACCCCACTTCCTTCTCTGAGCTATTTTTTCCACCTTGGACACCAGCATCCTGATGGGTGCTCCACCCAGAAGCCCCCCACCCCCAGCAAACGGAGTCAACCCAAGGACCAGTCCTGCATGTCTTCCGGCACTGCCCCTCCCCTCGCCTGCCCTGGCCCTGCCCTTGACCCCTGGTGGAGGCCACCGTCCGACTGCAGCAGCCCTCAGGCCCCCCACCTCCTGTGCTGCCACTCATCAAGGCTCCTCTTCAGCCCCGCCTCTCCATTGCTCCCCCCCCCCCCCGGCACCCCCAAATTCCTTCAGCCCCGGGGTGACTGGAGTCCTAAGACCCGAGGATAAATGCCCACTGCACACTGGTTTGACTCCTCACAGGGCCTAGAACCCCACCCACCGGCACACCCCAGTCTCCCAGGCTCACAACCCCTTCAGAAGTGGATAGGCCCTGGATCCCACTTTCCACCAAAGGAGAACCCCAAACGTGCATGGCCCAAGCCCCCTTCCCCGGGGCTCATTCAGAAGACGGCCTTTAATTTTAAGCACCATGGAGAACCACCCCCTCCCCCACCAAACAGCTCCTGCACCCTCCTCTATGGGATACGCGGGTCCTCACAGGGAGCCGGGTCCCAGGGCGCCCCAAGAAGCCTTCCTTATTCTAGTCTCTGCTGCCGGTGACCTTGTCCACAGCCCCCGTCCCATTCCACTGCAGGACCCCCTCAGCATCTCGGCCTTGACACTCGACCCTCCTCCATCACCGCATCGCATCCCCATCGCCCCTTGGTTTCTCTGGGTCCCACAACGAGATCCTTCCATTAGGAACACTCCCGTTATATCGAACCCTTTTTCTGAAACCCAGGTCCCTCAACTCCCTGATGGCTGACCACCTCCTTCAAACTCCGAAGCAACCCCTCAACATTCCGAGACCTAACGTGAGCACCTCTTCCCCGAAGCCCCAATGTTCCAACCCCCCGAAAACCCAGAACCCCATATTGGGGTCCTCTAGAACTCCGACTCCCCACAACTCGGCCCCCTCAGACCTCTACCCCCCCCCGAACCCCAGGACGCTGTCCCCTCAAGCCTCCGGTTTCCCAGACCCCAGAACGTGGCTCCCGCAGACCTCCGATGTCCCAGGAACCCGAGAACGCGACAACTCAGCTCTCAGACCCCTCAGAGCCCGGGCGCGCGGCCCCTCAGGCCCGGGGTCTCCGCTGCCCCACCCCCGCGCCCGGCCCATCCCCCGCGCAGCCTCACCCGGGCCGGCCAGTGCGGGTAGCCCTTCATCTTGGCGAACACTAAGTCCCCGGGCTTGAAGGCGTGCGGCATGCTGGCGGCGGGAGGCCCAGGCCGCGGGAAGCGGCGGCGGCGGCGGCGGCGGCGGCGGCGGCAGATACAGCAGCGGGAGGCGAAGCTGGGGGCGGGAGCCAGACGCCGAGGGGGCGGGGGCGTTCGCACAGGCAACGGGCAGACGCGTACTTATTGGATTCGGCGTCGCCGGAAGTCCCGCCCTCCTGCTGCCAGAGGCCGGAGATGCCGTCACTTAGGACCACGTGCCGGGACAGAGACGCGCGGGGGCCAATGGGATGAGAGGTTGGCGCGGAGCAAGATAACGGGATTGGATAACGGGCCGAACTAAGGGGCGTGACTCAGAAACCTGACGGGAGGGGGAGGAGGTTATGGGAGGTGAAAGGGGAAAGGTTTGAGGAGCTCGATCAAGGCAAGGCGCTTGAGGAGTGCAGGGGTGGAGTTTAAAAGGGGAGGCGGGACAGAGGAAGCCACAGCAGGAGGTGTATTAATAAGGAGCAGACCATTGGATATCGCAGGAAATGTAGAAAACCGCCTAGGACAGCCCCACTGCTCATAGGAGGGACTTCAGGTAGCAAAGCAGGTGATTAAGTACCCCAGAAAAGCGCCCCAAGGTAAAATGCAAACATTAGCTGCAAAAGAGAAAAGGTTCAGCTCTGAATACCTTTGCCAGCCCGAGGGGGCGGGGCTTGGGGGAAGGGGCGGGGCCTCCAGTTTGGGGTAAACAGGCACAAAGTGGCACCGAATGCTCATCTTTGTATTTATGAAACTTTTGTGGAGCACCAACGATATGCTAAAGCCACAAAAATACGCAGTATACATGTAAATTCAGTAAAAAATTGAACCCCCGTGTCCAAATCACTTAACCGCTCTGTGCTCACCCAATCTGTAAAATGGACCTCATCATGGTACCAATCTCATAAACTCACAGAGATCAAGCCATTTCCCTAGACGCCAAATGCGCTGGCAGAACTATGCCTGGCAATTGACAAACGTTAGATGATTCTCACACCGTGATTCTGGCTGCCAGGAACTGAGGTCTAACTGGGCAAAGAAACGTTTTATTTTTTTTCTCTTTTTAAAGTTAGGATTTCTTTTAAAGGAGATGTGATAGCGGACACCTGTACTTCCAGCACTCGGAAGGCTGAGGCAGAAGGATCGCAGTGCAGTAAGTTCGAGCCCAGCCTGGATACATAGCTAAAAACCAGACTGGACTGCACAGTGAGAGACCTTGACTCAAAAAAAAAAAAAAAGGACTGATTCCAAGCAAATAAAGAGAAAGAACACGTGTACTTGGGACACCACTAGGGCTTCCTGGAGGAAGTGAGTTGAACTGGAGACCTGCAATACTATTAGAAGTTGGCCAGCAACCCACTTGGGACCTTTTCTGTCTCTCTCTCCCGACAGAAGTTTCTTTCTCTCAATGAATATATTCTGTTCTTTTTTTATAATTTTTTTTTGTCTTTTTCCTTTTTTTTATCGGCACCAGGGATCGAACTCACGACTGCTTGCTTGCAAGGCAGGAGCTTATGCCGCTGAGCTAAATCCCCAGCCCCGTATATTCTGCTCTTAAAAAAAAAAAAAAAAAAGATGTTGGCCCAAATGGGACTGGTGGTGCGGATCAGTGACTGACAGGTCACGAGGTCCTGGATTTCATCCCCAACACTACAATAATTAGAAAGAGGAGGAAGAGAAAGTGGGGAGGGGAGAGGGGATGTGGAGCCCGGGATGATCCACTGAGGGCCAGGTGTGGTGGTGCAGTCCTGTAATCCCAGCACTCTGGAGGCTGAGGCAGGAGGATTGCTACGAATCTGAAGCCAGCCTGGGATACAAACTGAGTTCAAGGCCAGCCTGCATAGTGAGACCCTAACCTTGTCTCAAAACAACAACAACAACAACTTACTTTTTTTTTAAAGTCCACCAAGGACCTTTTACTTAAAGCTTTGTGAAGCTGAACTAGAAGTTTAGGTTACAGGTGCAGGTGTAACTGCGTGACAGAAGGCTTCCGCAGCATTCACAAGGCCCTGGCTCTGATTTCCAGCACCACAAATATGAACAAAGGGAGGAAAAAACTTCTTGGAAAACCATGGGACGGCATTAGATCTCAAAGCACAAAGACTATGCGCATGTGTCAGGGATACTGGGGATTAAACTCCGGGCCTTTGCAGTGAGCTACAGGTTTGAATTTGTAATCTTTGTGCCTCAGCCTCCCAGGATTATTGTGTGAGCCATCACACCAGGTTTAGACTTTTATTTTTTTTTTTTTAGAAATTCAGTTCTTAGGTCGTCTACTCATGTTGAAGCCTAACCCGACCCCCAAACTACACAACTGTGCTGCAGATGGGGCATAAGAGGGGTCGTTAAGGTTAAATGATGGCGTAAGATCCAAGGCAAAGGGGCTGGGGATTTAGCTCAGCAGCATAAGCGCCTGCCTTGCAAGCGTGTGGTCGTGAGTTTGATCCCTGGTACCGGTAAAAATACAAAAAAAAAGAAAAAAAAAAAAAAGATCCAAGGCAAATCCATGCCAACAGGAGCCTTTAAAATTAGGAAGAGTTGGCTGGGGATTTAGCTCAGCGGTTAGGGTTACTTGCCTTGCAAGCAGGCAGTCATGAGTTCGATCCCCGGTACCGATAAAAAGGAAAAAGACAAAAAAAAAAGGAAAAAGACTAAATAAATAAATAAAATAATATAAAATTAGGAAGAGCTGCCAGAGTGAGCCCTGCAATGTGAGTGCACGGTGAGAAGGCCTCACGGCCTCTGCAAGATGGAAAGAGCCTCTCCAGCCGCTGCCCATGGCTTCAGACCTGAAGCCTCGCAAAGGATGAGAAAATGTTCATTGTTAAGCTGGGCGTGGAGGCGCATGCCTGTCATCCCAGCACTTGGGAAGCTGAGGCAGGAGGATTGCTGTGAGCTCGAGACCAGCCTGGGCTACACAGTGAGCTCAAGGCCAGCCTGGACTGCATAGCGAGACCGTGTCTCAAAAAGACAAAATGTATTTTTTTTGGAGACAGAGTCTGACTGAGTGATTGAGTTGCCCAGGCTGCGTTCAAAACTGTCAGCCTCTTGGTTTAGCCTCCTGGGACAACAGGCCAGTTTCACCATGCCCGGATTATTTCTGGAGTATTTTACTTATATTTTTGTCTTTGCTTTTTTTTTTTTTTTTTTTTTTTGGTCTTTTTCATTTTTATCGGCACCAGGGATCGAACTCACGACTGCCTGCTTGCAAGGCAGGCGCTTATGCCGCTGAGCTAAATCCCCAGCCCCTATCTTTGCTTTTGAGACAGGGATTTGCTATGCAGTTCAGACTGCCCTTGAACTCACAGTGATCCTCCTGCCTCAGCCTTCCAAGTGCTGGGATGACAGGCGTGTGACTCCATGCCCATTTCTTCTGGAGTATTTTAAAGAAAGCAAATTTCCTCCCATAAGCACGATAAAACACATCTCTGGTGAAACATATTTGTTAACATAGCCACGCCATTATCACTGTGGACTGGTAACAGCTCCTGTATTCAAATTTTGCTGGTACTTTCAAACATGTCCTTTTGTGTAACAGTGGCAAACCTGTAACTCCAATTACATGAGAGGCTGAGGCAGGAGGATCTTTTTTGGGAGAAGGGTCTTGCTGCGTAGTTCAGGCTGGCCTTGCACTCACTATGTAGTCCAAACTAGGCTCAAACTCAGGGTGATCCTCCTGCTTCATCTTCCCAAGTGCTGGGAGTATACGTGGGTACCATCATATCCCACAGAGACAGAAGAATTCTAAGCTCGAGCCCAGGGTGTGCAACTTAACAACTCAGTGACACCCTGTCCTGAAATAAAACACAAAAGGCTGGGGTGTCACTGAGGGTTAAGGCGCTTGCTTAGCAAGCACAATGGCTTCCCCAATCCTGTTTCATTCCCAACACCAAATAAACAACGAAAACTGTCCCGTTACTGTTCCTGCCTGTCTGATATGGTCTTTTCCTATAACAATTTCTGCCCTGAATTCCATTTTCTGTACGCTTTCCCTCTCCTCACTTCCAAAAAAATTTCGTTCTCCAGGTGGGCAGGGAATTGTGTTTGCCTCACTCGGCTGCCGGGGAGTCACTCCAGTAATATCACAGCAGTGAAGCATGATACTGTGGTGTTTTACTGAGAACCGTCTAATGGCACGATCATCGCTACCGTCCTAGGGGACCTGTGCTATTCTGAGCCTAATTTCACAGACAGGAAAAGGAAACCCAGGATGGTTAAATTCTGGGCTGCCCTGGTTTCTTCTGAGACCCATTGCACGCTTTGGGAGAATCTTCAGCTTTAGGGAAGTGTCTTAGGGCTCAGGGCCCTCCATTCTTCATCTGTACTCCTGATACCCACACGCCAGCCACCCTAGAGAAAGCCCTTCGAGGCTGGATGCCATCTTGCCAGGAAGCCGCACGCACCTGCCTCAGGGTCCGCCTGTCTGCCTCCAGCCCCTCAGCTGAGCTTTGGCTGTCTCTCTGGGTTCATTTGTCTTCAGGGCCCAAGTGGAACCTCCGGGGCCCAATCTGTGTATTCTTTTCAACAGGGTGCTTTAGAACCAGCCGCGGTGGCATTCGAGGAGGCCGAGGCAAGAGGATTGCAAGTTTAACACCAGCCTGGACAACGTGACGACTTAGCAAGACCCTGTCTGAAAATGAAAAATAAGCAAAGGGCTTGGGATGTCCCCCCAGCGCTAAGGCCATAGGTTCCATTTCTAAGTCCGGAAAAAACAGTAACAAAAGGAGGGTGCGTGGGGTGGTTGCTGGAGTCCAACAACCAGGTTGGTGGGTGCCTTGAATGTCCTCTCATTGAATTGGGACTTTGTTACATAAGCGCTGGGGAGTGAGAGAATGTTCTTCAGCAGGGCAAAGGGCAGGGCTCCTGCTTTTTTGCTAGGGCGGGAGTCAACCCTTTGGGAAGCCAGCAGAAGACAGAAGGAATCCCGCTCGTCGTCTTAGCAACGGATGGGGGGGAACCACCGAGACGCAACCCCAGAGTGCAGAGCGGACGTCTCAGACCAGTGAGGGCGGAGCGCTAGAGAGGCGCGCCAAGCCGATTGTCACGTGGGTGGCCGCGCGGAGGCGGGACTTCCGGCGCTGAGGTGTTTTCTTTCCGGTTGTCGGGGCCTGCGGTTCTTCCCTACTGGGCCTTGTGCCCCCCCCAACCCGCGCGGCCCCCCGCCGCCGGGCTCGCCGCCACCATGAAGAAATTCTTCCAGGAGATCAAGGCTGACATCAAGTTCAAGAGCGCGGGGCCCGGTCAGAAACTCACAGACTCTTCAGGGTGCGTGACTGGGCGGGGGCCTGAGGCGGGCAGAGAGGGGATGGAGAAAATCTTCACGGTTGACCAGCAGGGCGAGGCTGAGAGGTCGGGGACGAGGAGGGGCGATCGGTTTGGGCGGCTGGGCGATCTCGGGGCCGCGAGTGTAGGGGCGGAGCATTGGAGTGTTGGGGGAACTTGGGGGCGTGGCCTGGGCGTGGGCAGAGGTTTGGGGGCGTGGTCAGCCGGGGGAGCGTTGAAGGAGCCAAGAGACTTCCGGGCGGGAGAAAGGGGGCGTCCTGTGGGAGTCCTGGGAGCGGACCGTAGTGGGCCGAGAGGGGTAGGAGTGGGGGAGGAGAGACGCCGAGGGCGGGACAACATGGGGCGTAGGTCTCCAAGGAACCGGCTGAGGAATGGGGTAAGAAGGTGGGAGCCCTCTTCATAGCGCCAGCCTGGCGAGCGCGAGGGGGTGAGTTCGATTCCTGGTACCTGAACAAAAGAAAAGGGTGGGAAGGGGCTGGTGGAAGGTGAGGATGGCAGGGGTTCGGGAAGGTGGGGACAGTAAGACACCCCGCGGGGAGGTGTCCAGGTGAAGGCGGGGTCCCCAGGGTTCTGGAGAATCTTGGTGACCGCTGATGTGGTGCTGCGCCTGGAGGAGCAGGCCCAGCCCAGACTCCGGGATGCTGTGCAAGGTTTGGCGGTCCCCTTAATAAGAGATCACGTGGGAGAACCCGAGAAACTCTGTGATGTCCGGAAAGGTGTTGAGGGTGGGGTGCTGGGGGAAGTGGGGAGGTGGGAGCCTGGTGTGTGAGGGGTGCATGAATGAGACCCCCTGGGGTGCTCTAAGATGCCTCTGAGAAGGTGGTGTTTGAGCACGTGAACATCGGTCACTGTGTCTGCAGCAGCCCAACCTCCTGTCCCTCCCAGAACCCTGGATGGCGCATCTTGGGTAGATGACACAGGAACACTAGGACTTTGCAGAGGGGACCTGATGAACCTGTGTGCAGCAGGACAGCAGAGGGCCCTCTGTGAACAGAGGGAAGGAGACTTTGGGGCCTTGTTGTGTATGCCGGGGGAGGGGAGCGTGCAGAGGGTTGGCCATGGCCTGGGTCTCAGAAGGACCTTACCGCCGCTCAGGTCAGCAGAGTCCCTGCCAGGTTGAGGGAGGTGTCTGGGATACTCAGTATCCAGGAATCACTTCCTCACCCAGAGGTCCTGAGAGGACCAGAGAGAACTGGACAGGCTGAGGGGCTGGGGTCGGTGCTGCTATGTATCTACGCTAAGCTTGGGGATTTCACAGTTAGAGCTCAGGAGCCATCCTAGTGCCGAGGTGGCGGAGCTGCTTGGGTCTGGAAAGGTCCCCAGGGATAAGAGGAGAGGACCCCGAAGCTAGCTGATACCCACCACCTGGGCAGACAGGAGATGAAAGCTGTGTCACATCACAGCCTGGGGACAGCTGTGGAGCAAAGTGCTGGGATCGTGGAGTTTCCATGGGTACTGTGACGGGGAGCACCTTGCCCTAACTGTTGTAAACCTCCCGAAGTTTGTGTAATGATTCCTGAGCACCCGGAGAGTGCATGGGTCATAATTTTTTTTCGAATTCGAGACCTCATGGGGGCACAGATATTTGAGACAGGGTCTTGGTAAGTTGTTAAACTGCCCAGGCTGGGCTTGAACTTGTGACCTGCTTGCCTCTGCCTCCAGAGTGCTGGGATGGCAGGCATGTGCCACTGTGCCTGACTGCATTGTTAGTCCTTTATATAGACAGGGGCACAGAGGCCTGGCTGGGGGGAGATTGTTCTAAGAGGTGGATGTACCATCTCCTGTGCCTATGACCCCCCCCCCATCAGAGACCCTCGCAGGGACACGGGGCAGGGCAAACGCTGTCCCATGATGGCTATCACAGGAGGCTGCTCAATGCCCCCACTCAATCTCTGTGCAGGGAGAGGGCCCCCAAGGAAAAGGTGCGCCCATCAGCTCCCCAGCAGCCCCGACAGGGACCCACTGATGAAGCACAGATGGCCGCTGCTGCTGCCCTGGCCCGACTGGAGCAGAAGCAGCCCAGGGCCCGAGGCCCCACGTCGCAGGACTCCATCCGGAACCAGGGTGAGGGTCAGCTGCCCTCAGGCTGGAGTGTGAGACCTGAGCTTTGGGCGGGTGCAGTGAATGCACAGCCAGGAGAAGGTGGCAGAGGCTCTGCAGTGGCGAGCGTAGCAGTACATGTGACATGCTAGGGGCAGGGGGACAGGGACAGTTCTGGAGAGAGGCGGGTGTGCGGTCAGGAGGAGGCGAGGGATGGATGCAGGCAAGGCCCATGGGGAAGTGGCCCTGGCCCCTAGGAGCATGGGCCAGGGAGTGGGCCTTGAGCCCAGCCCAGCCCTGCACTCTTTGCAGTGAGGAAAGAACTTCAGGCCGAGGTGACCGGCAGTGGCAGCCAGGAGGCCCCAGGGACCAATACGGTGAAGCATCTGGGGGCTGCAGCGGGGTGGGGAGCCCTGTGGTGAAGGGCGGGTGGCTGGGGCAGTGGACGTGCGGTGGGGGTGCCCTGTGGGGCGGCAGAGAAGGGAGGGAGGACGCCTTCCACACTGGGACACCAGGCCCCTCGGCCAGGAGGACCCCTGGCTAAGAAGGGAAGGCTGGCAGCCGCTCCAGGGGCTCGGGAGAGCAGCGCGCACATCCGGGCTCAGACGCTATTGCCGCAGGGAGCCGAACCCATAGAGGAAGGTTCCACCCAGCTGCCGGTGTCCGGAGTGTACTTCACCTGCCCGCTCACGGGGGCCACCCTGCGGAAGGACCAGCGGGATGCACACATCCGGGAGGCCATTCTGTCGGTGAGCGCGCGCCCCAGTACCCAGGCTGGCCCGGGCCCAGGAGCTCTGCTGGTTCCTGCTTTCGTTTGTGCTCCTGGTGTCTAAAGAGGGGACATCTTTTCTTTCTTTCTTTTTTTTTTTTTTTTTTTTTTTTGGTCTTTTTGAGGCAGGGTCTCACTGTGCAGCTCAGGCTGCCTTGAGCTCACTTTGTAGCTCAGGCTGGTCTGGAACTCGCAGTGATCCTCCTGCCTCAGCCTCCCGAGTGCTGGGATGACGGGTGCGTCACCACATCTGGTTTAACAAGAGGGGACACTACATGTGTGCCACAGAATCATCTAGGCTACTAGAGCCTGGAGAGAAGGTGGCTCCCCATGCCAGCCATCTCGGCCTTGGGGTCCACTGTGAGTAGGTTAGGTTGTCTCTCAGGTGCCCCTTGGGGACACAGAAGTCTCCCACCACTGGCTCTGGTGGCCACGTGTTATATTTAACGTGGAGGTGGCAGGCTGCCTGTCAGCACAGGAGAGACTTTCCTTTTGGTTTTAGTCGGAAATAGTTTTACAGCTTAATCCCAGCACCCAGATGAGGCCCAGGCAGAAGGGTTAGTCCTGGCCCGGGCCCTCCCGAGCCCCTGCCTCACGGTAAGGAGTACAGAAGGCTGGGGTGCAGGTCAGGGAGAAGCCGGCTTTCATCCCAGTACTGCAAACAAAAAGACAGAGCACCCAGACACCCGTTACCGAGGGTCTGCGTTTCCAGTGGCTGTCAACACAAGGTCCTAGCGTCCCCTGCAGCCCTGGACTCTGTCCCTGTCCATCCTCCAGGCTGGCAGCGCTGGGCCAGGCCGCAGCTGTCCGCTCTCCGTGCCCTCTCCTGGGCCCTGTGCTTGCATGGAGGGTGCCTGGAGAGGCAGGTGCCCTTCCTGTGTCAGGGTCCCCCGTGACTTCGCAGGCCTTGGCCTGTGGCTGCCTTTGTCTGGCTGGGTGTCGTCCACCTCCACGAATTAGCCAGGCCGTCACACTAGCGCCCCAGTCGCTTGCCCGGCCCTCTCTGTTCTCCTCTGGGCGGCTCCCTGGGCTGCATCCTGCGTTGTCCTGTAGGTCTTGAGTAACCTGAAAGCCACTTGCTTTACTGGCCATTCCCAGCCTTGTGCTAGTCAGGGCCACACGGTGGAAACAGTTCTCCATGCCGCACTGCACACCGCTGATTCAGATGCCAGAGCCAGGGTGCGGGCACGGAGCATACTCTCGGGGTGATCTGGACACCTCTCGCCAGGTGACTCCTTCTGGGCCGTCCCAGTTCACAGTCCCTCCAGCAGGGTTGCAGGGCCCCTGACCTGATCCTCACCAGAAAGGCTGGTGACACCAGTGCCTTGGGGAGAGGCAGTGCAGCCCCTTGTCAGGCCGGGTGTACGTGTCCCCGAGGTCCTGTCTTGAGTGTTTTCTGTGCCCTGCAAGCCCCTCCTCTTGCTGATCCATAGGCGTGTTGTATGCACTGCGAACCTTAGGTCCCCTGCTGGCCCGTTCTGCTGGCCCCATGTTGTCCCTCCGTCCCTTTGCCAGGTAGGAACTTAGGTCTCTGTGGACCCATGGGTGTCTGACTTGGTGGCTTCTGGGTCCCGCCTAGGACCTGCCTCGCCCAGCCCCGTGCTGAATTGAGCCTCGGTGCTCCTCCCGGCCCCTCCTGCTCCGTCCTGTACGCTGCCCCGCCTGCCCGGGTGTCCCCAGCCCTGGCCCTGCAGTGTGAGGCGGGGGCTCTTCCTCAGCCCGGTAGCACAGGCGCCCCAGTGCTGGCCTTTGGCACCGACCACCTGTGAGGAGAGCCCTTCGCAGGGCTGCTGTCCTCCCCTCCACCACCCAGCCTGGGCCATCATGCACCACAGAAGAGGGTGTGGTGGCTCTGCCTCGGTGTCCCGTCCTTGGGGTCCTGCTGGCATCTGGGGCTTCCAGGGTGTCCAGAAGCAGCCAGGCCCAGGGGCGGGGCTGGGCTGCTGGTTACTTCAGTTCTGTGTAGCCATCAGGGGACACAGACTCGTGTGTGCCCCTCTGCTACTTGCCTGCCGTGTGCCCTGTGGGCCAGGGTGTGTCCTAGAGGCTGCGCAGCGGTGGCAGGTGTGGGTGCTCTGGCCCAGGGCGCAGGGCTGGGGCTGCTGGCTTCTGAGGCTGGAGCGCGCAGAGCTCTAGCCACACCAGCTCTGGGCTGGCCAGGGGAGCTCATCCGCAGCCTGGACGCAGGCTGGTCCCCTGCCGCAAGAGTGCCGTCAGCCGTGGTGCGGTCACTGCCCTGTCCCGGGCGGCCGTGTGAGTTGGCAGCCTCAGCCTGACTCCCTCCCCAGCACTTCGCCACCGACCCCGTGGCCGCCTCCATCATGAAGATCCACACGTTCAACCGAGACAGGGACAAGGTGAAGCTGGGCGTGGACACCATTGCCAAGTGAGCAGGCCTGGGAGGGGTCGGGCAGGCTGCCTCAGTTTACCTGCTGGTGAGACAGAGGCCCCGAGGAATTTGGGGCTCCCTTGTGTGGCACTTGGGAAAGGGCCTGGCGAGCGGATGGGTGGGCCCGGATCTGCCTGCTGTCCGAAGCCCGGTGATGTCTGTCGCCTGGCTGCGTCTGGTTCTCCCCTGAGAGCCTGCGGGGATCCCTCTGTGCCTGCAGGTACGGGAGGGCTCCCGTGGGACCCTGGTGGGGCCATCCGTCATATGGCATCCACAGGATGACTTTTAACCCCGTGGGGCCGGGAGGCTGAGGCAGCAGCGAGCCTGTGCCCGTGCCGCCCTCCCAGGTACCTGGACAACATCCACCTGCACCCGGAGGAGGAGCGGTACCGGCGGATCAAGCTGCAAAACAAGGTGTTCCAGGTGGGCGCTGAGCCCGGCCGCTGCGGCCTAAGGGTCCCGAGGCCGGCGGGCCAGGTGGCGGCTCCCTACCCAGCCACGGGAGGCTTGAGATCGGTTCTCCGAGGACACATCCACTGGGAGAGGGTCGCACAGGCTCACACGGGGCCCCCTGGAGAATGGTGAGGTGCAGCCACCCTGCCTCCACCCTGGTGGCGGGTGCAGGTGCCGTCCCTGGAGCCTGGGTCCCTGCTGCTCGGCTGCAGGCTCTGCCCCCCCCCCCGCCCCCCCAGGCTCGGGGCTTTGCAGCCCGGTTTGCTGGGCAACTGCAGTTTTCCCAACGTTTGGGAGGCTGAGGCAGGAGAACCGAGTCTGGGCTCAGATAAGAAAAGTGGGAGCCACCCCAGCATGCGGGCCGGCTGTGGGGCCGGGCCGGGGTGGGGTGGGGATGGCCCGGCCGAGGAGTGACTTCCGGGCCCCCCAGGAGCGCATCAGCTGCCTGGAAGGGACCCAAGAATTCTTCGAGGCCGTTGGCTTCCAGAAGATGCTGCTGCCCGTCCCGGATCGGGGTGAGCACGCGGGGCGGGCGGGGCGAGGCTGGTGCCCCAATGGCCGCTGACCCCGCTGCCCCGATGCCCCGCAGAGGGCGTGGAGGAGGAGGCGGCGGAGTTCTACGTGCTGGGCGAGGCGGCGCGGGCGCAGCCGCAGGAGCTGGCGCGGCACCGGGAGCGGCTGCTGGCGGCAGAGCCCGTGCGGGCCCGGCTGGACCGGCAGCGCCGTGTCTTCCGGCCGTCGCCGCTGGCCTCGCATTTCGAGCTGCCCGCGGACTTCTTCAGCCTCACGGCGGAGGAGCTGAGGCGCGAGCAGAGGCTGCGGTAGGCGGCGGGCTGCGCCCGGCGGGGCGGGCGGGCGGGCAGCGGGCCGGGTGACAGCAGCCCTGTGCGCACAGCGCCGACGCGGTGGAGCGGCTGAGCGTGCTGCGCACCAAGGCCATGCGGGAGAAGGAGGAGCAGCGGGAGCTGCGCAAGTACACCTACACGCTGCTGCGGGTGCGCCTGCCCGACGGCTGCCTGCTGCAGGGTAGGGCCGTGCGGTCCGGGGGGGGGGGGTCGGGGGGGCCAGGAGGCCGGGGGCAGCTGTGCCCGAGACTCCCACCTGCACCACCTCCCACCTGCACCACCTCCCACCTGCACCACCTCCCACCTCCCACCTGCACGCCGGGCCTGGCGCTGACTGCGCACACCCTCAGGGACCTTCTACGCCCGGGAGCGGCTGTCGGCGCTGTACGAGTTCGTGCGAGGGGCCCTGCAGAGCGACTGGCTGCCCTTCGAGCTGCTGGCCTCGGGGGGACAGAAGCTGGCCGAGGATGAGACGGTGGCCTTGAACGAGTGCGGGCTGGTGAGTGGGGCCCGCGGGCTGGACAGCCGTGTGTGCCACGCGGCAGCCGGGGAATGAGGCGATCTTCGGGGGGCGCCCAGGAGGGGCCCGGCCATGTTAGGACCCTGCCGTCGGGGCTGCCCCAGGGGGCTGAGGCAGGGTCTGGAGTAATTTCGGGGCTTAGCGATGCCCCCGCCCGGCTTGCTCTGTGCGCTCCTGGCTGTCCCCGCCCGGAGTGATGCTTCTCCTGGGAGGGGGGGCAGAAATGCCTGAGTGCAGGTTGGCAGGGACCTCGGGGGGACCGAGCCACTTGGTGGGGACGCCTGGACCTCAGCCTGCTGCTGGGCTGTCCTGATGCAGGTGCCCTCGGCCCTCCTGACCTTCTCGTGGGACGCGGCCGTGCTGGGAGACATGAGGGCGGCGGGGGCCGAGCCCGACCCCTCCGTCCTGAAGGCGGAGCTCCTAGACTCCATCGAGCAGCTCTCCTGAAATAAAGGCGGCCTTGGCTTTCCCTGGCTCTGTCTTCTGGTCTCCTGTGCCTGTCCCAAGCTGTGGGGCAGGGTCGCTGCTGACCCACTGAGGCTGTAGATCCAGGCTCACCCGGAGACCCAGACCCTTGGGGTGCCACGGGGAGGCACTGTGCCCATGACCTGGGGCCCAGGGTCACACAGGTGGGCAGAGCCACTTGGGCACAGGCACCACGAGCTGTGCGTCAGGTGGCCAGGGCAGACTGGAGCTGGGGACACCGAAGGGAGGTGCTGGCCTGACAGCACGGGCCTCTGATTGCTGACTTAAGGACCTCAATAAACAGATTTGGATGTGGACCACTGTGGTCACTCAAAACTGCAGGGTGGCTGTGCAGGTGGGGCTTCTATACCTGGATGCCAGCCCGCACCGAAGCGAGGACCCCCCCTTAACCCTCCCCCCCCCCGTATTTACCCTATTAGTCCTGTCTGGGGCTAGGCAGAGAAAGCAGTGGATGAACCCACTAGTGAACACAGAGGCACGCTCGGGAGCCAGGGCCTGGGGTGCACAGGCCTGTCCTGGGCACAGCTCCCAGTGGGAATTTCCTCTTCAGACACTTCCCGGCAGGGCAGGTGCCACTCCCCCCAAAGGGCCTCAGATGTGTAGCCCTAGCGACCGAGGTTCAGCCTAGTCAGCCCTAGAGAGTTCCTGGCCCGGCTTCACTGTGCTCTGCAGGATGTCACCCCTGACATAGCAGATGGTGAGGAGGGGGCCACGTGGGAGCCAAGGAGCCACCACAACAGTGCCCGGATCCTGACCCATGCCCTTCCCGGCCTGTCCCTACAGCTGCAGTCCGCAGCCAGACTTGGGGGTCTAGCGACCTTAGCTGGCTGTGGGGTGCTCACCCTGTCATGGGTTGGGGTGTCGCGGATCTCCTGTCCTTTGCCAGTTGTGTCTATGACTCCCTTCCAGATTGTCAGTGCCCTGGCTACCCTGGCTTAAGGGCACCCTCTGGGGTGGGCTCTGCCCGCAGTGGGATGCCCTGGGGCCCCACTTTGGTCAGGTGGGGGAACTGGTGTGGGCGAAGGCAGGTGGGCAGCTGCCCGAGAGCTGGCTGGGCAGCCTCAGCTCTGCACAGGGCACCAGCCTCTCGGGGAGCAGCTGCCACAGGAGCCTGTGCCCCAGGTGTGGACACGGCGCCCAGCATGGCCCCTGCTGGCCAGCTGCTGGGACGTTACAGCCACCCTCCCCGAGGTGCCCAGCGTGGATGTCACTGAGTGTGGACCCTGGACACAGCACCTCAGCCACCCAGGTGCAGGAGAGATGGGCCCTCACCCCACCCAGCTCAGCGGAGCCAGGACGGGGTACCGAGCTGTTCACACAGACCACATGTGCCCCCCAAGCCCCGGCGCGGAGGAAGACAGCAGGCGGGAGGAGTTCAGTTCATTTACATGCACGTGTCCGACCTGTGCCTGCGTGCCCGGGGCCCAGGCGGGTCACACCTCGAGATAATGCTTTATTAAAGGTCAGGTTAATACACAGCTTTGGGAGGGAGATTTGTACAAATGTCCAGAACTAATCAGGCAGCCACAGAAATCCACCAACTCCTGCGGGCCCGGGAGGCCATGCAGCAGACAAAGTGCTCTGTATACAGGTGGCCACGGGGTGCAGGAGGCAGGCACCCAGTGGGCCGGCGGGCAGCGGTGCCTCGCTGGCGCCCACCCCCACGGTGCCTTCGTGTTGGGAGCAGGAACCAGGGGTCTGGCAGCGAACGGGTGTGGGAAACCACACACTGAAGCTGGACCTCAACCAGTTCCTCATCCTGCAGTGACCTCAGCCTTCTAGACAAAGCATCGCGCTGATACGAACCTGGCAATAGCTTCATAACATAAAGAAGTTTCTCCTGGGCCCAGGAACATGTTTACCTTGGCTGCATGCACAAGAAAGTGTCCTGAAGTGACTTGTACTGCTCTTTGTTTTGAAACACTATAAAAACTTTGGAGTCCTTTAATAAATCGCCTTTTGCCTCCTGAGCAACTGGTCTCCCTGCGTCTTCAGCCTCTCGCCTGACTCCTTCCCCGCGCTGGCCGAGGCACCTTCGGCTCCAGCCACGGTTCCGCATGGGTCCTGAGCCTCTGCAGGGGACAGAAGCTGCTGTTCCCGGGGCTCCGCACTTACAGGCAGAGTCTTCTGAAGTCACTAAGTGGCCAGGGCTGGGCTCAAACCTGCACTCCTCCCACCTCAGCCTCCCAGAGTGCCGGGGTGACAGGCGTGCCCCCCAGGGCCCTTCCTAGGTGTTCACCTGGACCCTCCCTCCCAGTACCTAGGATGTCCACAATTATGCAGTCGCTATCCTCTTCCTCCTCCTCCGTGTCCCCCTGGAAGCCATCCATGTCCCCGATGCCAAGCTGCACAAAAGGGACAGAGAAACTGTCAGCAGGGCAGGGGGCACCCCCAGGCATAGCCTCTGTGCTGTGACCCCTCCTTACCCTGGACGGCCTGGTGTAAACTCTGAAACCCCGACCTCTGAAAGCTGCCATCATTAACCATCGCATCACAGAAGCAATTTATGACTTCTGGGTTTCCGGTTTGGCTTAACAGAGAAACTGACCCAGGCGTGGTGCACAATCGCCTTCGCGGCACCCTGGGAGGCTGAGGCAGGAGGGTGCAAGTTCCAGCCCTGCTGCTAAGTGAGCAACTTCTTAAGATGGCCTTGTTTCAAAATGAAAACACAGAAAAGGGCTCGGGTGCGATCACTGGGAAGGTCCTGGGTTCAGTGCCAATACCCTCTCCTTTTGGGGGGCTGCTCCACACACTGGCTGGGTCTGTTCATTTCTGTAAATAGCTGAGCACTCGGCAGGGCTCAAGCATCTCTGGCACCATCACCCATCTGCTCAGGCTGGCCGGGCCCCTTGGTGATGGCCAAGGCTGAGGGAGGAGAGGGCCGCAGGCTCCTCCCGAGTGCTTGCCTAGTGTGCATGACACTTGGGCCAGCGCTGTGGCCCCCAAATCTGCCTTCTGCTTGCCTAGAAGAGGGGTAACAGACAATGGGAGGTCCGGTCTGCACACCGGCTCCTTGCCCTCCTGGGGTGCAGGGCCCCTGAACCCTGGCCGCAGCTAGTGCTGGGGATGCCCAAAAGCAGGGACTCGGCCTCCTACTGGGTCAGTAACACCTGAGGACCCCGCGCTGGACTCTGGAGCACTGAATGAGAACCCTAAGGAACTGGACAGTGGTCAGAGCACTGGGACATGCAGAACGAGACTGGCTGAGGTGACTGTGCCCACCCGCGTGGCCTCTGCTGCACTCACACTGCAGTCTGTGTGCCACCCTACCACCTGCAGCTGGGCCAGGCCTGTGGCCAGGGAGTGGACGCAGGGCAGCATGGCCTGTCACACAGCCCGAGGACACTCCAAGACCCTGAACAGTGCATTCCCCAGGGCCTCTGGAGAACGCAGGGCCCCTGCTCCACCGGGCTCCTGCCTGCACTGTGCGTCCCTCCGGGCCACTGACCCTCGGACAGGCTCCTACCTGGGTGCTGTGCTGTGGCTGTGCCAGGTGTCACAGACACCCTGCAGGGGACGCAACAGGCTCCCCAGCCCCTGCTCCCACCCCCTCGCCCGCACCCGGGCCGAGGCTCACCTGGCCCTCGTGCCTCCGCTTCTTCATGAACTGTGTGATGCACATGCTGCCCGCCGACTTCCTCTTCAGTGACACGGGCGGCCCCTGGCCGGGGGGCGTGGCAGGACTGCCGCCACCGCTGCCCCCGCCGTCCTCGCGGGGGGCCGAGGGCACCTTGGTGATGTAGCTCCAGCGGCAGGGCACGGGCAGGTGCTCCTGGTTGAAGCAGCGCAGCACCTGCGGGTGGACGTACCAGCACATGCGGAAGTCGGGCCGCTTCTCGTACACCGAGTTCTCCGAGATGATGCGCTTGAGCCTGGCCTTGGAGGGCACGGCGGCGGGGTCCTCGGGGGGCGTGTGTGGGCCCATGGGGCTGGGCGGGCTGCCGGCCTCCCCGATGCTCAGCAGGCCCCGGCGGCAGTGCTCCTGGAACTCGCGGATGATCGCCTTGCTCCCGTTCACGTTGCCGTGCAACAGGGGCAGCAGCTGGGCCAAGACTGGGGGGACAGGGGACACGGGGGAGGGGTGCTAAGACATGGGTGCAGGGCTACCCGAGCGCCCGTGACGGGCTTCAGCTGCAGGGAGCTTTTAGGATGGTCTCCCACAGGGTGAACCTCGAGGCTTCCTGCGTGGGCCCCAGAAGTACCTCCAGCCCCACGGCAGGCGAGGCTAGCGCTGGCTGGATGTCAGCACAGCCACCTCCCCCAAATCCCCGAGACGGGCTGGAACCCAGGGCTCTGCCCTGAGCGTCCGTCACCCCCAGCCTGGCCAAGTTGCTCAGGCTCGGCTCACACTCGCACCCTCTGCCTCCCGAGTGGCTGGAATCAGGTCTGCAGCACTATGTTGCTGACCATGTTTAGCCACTAGCTTCTCCTCTGCTTCGGAAAATCACGGCGACATAGCTGTGCCCAGGGGTACTGTGTGCTGTATCCTGGGACGGCATCCCGGAGGCCCCACTCACTCTGCTGGTCCCGCTTCTCTCGCCCGGAGGCCTTGGGCGCGGGCTTGTCCTCGGTGGGGGCCGCCTCCAGCAGGCAGGCCTCGAACTGCTGCAGCACCTGGAGGTCGGCGGCCGGGCAGTGCGCGCCCCCGGCCCACACGCAGCCGATCCACAGGGGCTGCAGCATGCGGACCCGCTTCCCCTTGGCCAGGAACTCGTCCCACTCCTTGGCCTTGAGCTTCTGGCGCACCTTGTGCTTCTCCGGGTCCGCACATTCCTGGCGGAGAGGTGGGGAGACTGCTCAGGGTCCCCGCTCCCCTGGGCCCTGCCAGTGCTGTAGAGGCCTCGGTCGGGTCAGCCACACCCACAGATGAGCCACAGCCCAGCCCCACGCTGCATGGACAGTGAGGTGTGGACTGAAGCCCGGCTGCCCTCGCACTCTGACCCTCCTGCCTCGGCCTCCCCAGTGCCGGGCTTCCTGGCGCCCACCAGCAGCCCTGGCTCAGAGAAGGTCTCGCTAAACCGCCCAGGCTGGGCTGGAACCGGCTACCCTCCTGCCTCAGCCTCCTGGAGTACTGGGACGATGACTGTGTGCCTGCCCTGTCCCTCACCTCGGTCACACCTTCATCATCGGACAGGTACCCATGGGGCACAAAAAAGCCATCGTCCTCATCTTCATCCTCCCCCACTTCATCGTCATCATCCTGTAAGGAGGGGATAACTTTACCACATGCGGGACACAGAACCCAAACTGCATTCAAAACACACGCGTGGGGTCCTGGGTGCGACGGGCTCGGGCCGGATCAGGGCCCAGCACCGCTCGCCCGTGGGCTCCTGTGCATGGGGGCCCAGCGGCTGCTGGGCTCACACGTCTGCTCCAGCTGCCCGTACCCCTTCGCTGTGGGACAGTGACTCCCCGGGCTCTTCCTCTTCCCACTCCTCGTCGCTGTCCACCTCATAGTCCAGGAGCTGCTGCAGGGAGACACGGGTGTCACCGAGGCCATCGGCAGCGCACAGGAGCCCGCGCTGGCGCCGGGGGCCAGGCGGGGCGCACCTTGTCCTGGGCCCAGGGGTCCCGCGGGCGGATGACGGCTGTCTTCTTGCTCCAGGTCCCCCAGTAGGCCGGCCGGTGGTTCTCGGAGAACTGCAGCAGCTTCATGCGGCCGAACCTGCTCCTGTCGGGCACGTCGCCCTTGCCACTCTCCACGATCATCACCACATTCCTGGGGGCCACACGGGGCTTGGACGGGTCCCGCCACCTTATACCCCAGGGCTCTCGGTCACCTCTGCGGCCACCCTGACAGGACAGCGACCCTGACTGTCCCCAGAGCAGCGTCGTGCAAAGGGCAAGGCCCCAAGGTGCCCCAGAGCCGAGGTGCCAGCACCCAGCAGGGCTGTGACCGCGGCCGACCCGAGAGCAGTGCACTATGCGGGGTCCCCAGGGGACGGGGAAGGCGGTCCCAGGGCTCCCTCTGGGCAGCGGGGCCCAGCCCTGGCGCCATCAGCCTCACCTGTTGCCAGCGACTGCGGCCCGGCTGCAGAGTGCGGTGGGCCCGGCCCGGAGTGGCCGGCGGCCCCTGAGGTCCTCCAGGAAGGAGAAGTCGCCGCGCTGCTGCTGCAGGAGCTGGTCCAGCCGCGCACACAGGTCCTGGTCCAGGCTGGCCCGGCACTGGGGCGCCAGCACCATGTGCTCCTTGATCTCGAAGGGGGCGAAGTTCCCACAGGAGCCAGCCAGGGTCTGCAACGGGGAGCCCGTGAGGCTCGGCCAGCCCTTCCAGGGGCAGGACGCACGGGCGCTATCAGAGCCACAGCCATGGCGGCCATGGGCAGCTAGAAGCCCGCACTTGGGAGTTTAGGGACACGCGGGCACACGGAGAGCCCAGAGCCAGCTGGACCGTGCGCAAAGACCCTGCTCAGCATCCTCCTCTCCAAAGGACAGGAACAAAAACTCGATAGAACGCAACAGCACAGCCAGCCACACACACGCACGCACCCCCACCGGGTTACGAGTCAGCACTAGCAAGTAAGCCAGGAGGATGCAGTTACAACCAGGACACGAGGAGGCTTCCAACGAAAGCCAGCGCCCTAAAAGGACAAAACAGGAAGCTGCGGGCCTGGCGGCACAGCCCGGATGGCAAGTTATGCCGGAGGCCGAGGTGGGAGAAGGCTGGTCTGGAGAAAACACTGACTCGGACACCACGGAGCCAAATCAAAAGACCTGGGGTGGAGGTGGGCACAGAGGCCCTGGGGTCAACGCCCAGTGCCACAACAGCACGACAACCACGCCACCACGGGATGGAAGAGGGTCCTCGGGGCCATGACGAGGAGCGAGGCAGGGAGCAGGGCCGGTGGGGCAGGGGGCCAGCAGCAGCCTCGCTCCAGGACCCGCCGGCCATCGGGGCACCTGGGTGCGGGCCTTGCCCCCGTCCCTTCCCTCACCCCCTGGGGGCCCTCGCTGGTCACCCAGGCGGGGCTCTGCCTTGCAGCCCTCCTGCCTCGGCCTCCCGCAGCTCGGCACATGCTGCCAGGGCCAAGCTGCCCCCAGCGGGCACCTCTTCCAACCCGCCACTGCTGTCACACAGGCCTTTCAGGAGAGAGCGAGTGACCAGATACTGAACTTCAGGCTTTCAAGCAATGGAAGCGCTAGGGCTTCCCACAGCTTCCCGGCACAGGAAGGGAGGTGGCCGCCCCGAGGGCGCCCTGCTCACCTTGGGGGCCTGCGGGGTCTTTGGTTTCTGGAAGAACCGGGTGATCTCGGCCTTCTCCGCCTTAATGCGCTGCGGGTAGAGGAGAAGCGCACTCAGCTCCGGGAGCTGCCCCGGGTCTCCCAGGCGTGGGCCAGGGCTGTCCCTGCGGGCGGAGGCGCTGAGCAGGCGTGAGCAGGACGCCAGCCTGACATGCCCGACGGGGCCGCCCTCCTGCCGCGAGCGCCCAGCTACCTTCTCCTCCTCGCGCAGCCGCTTCTCCTCCTCCTTCCTCCTCTTCTCCTCCAGCTTAGCCCTGGGGACAGCAGAGCCCGTGTTGGCCACTGCCCGCCTTGCTGGGGCACCGAAGGCCGCCCAGCCCGCAGCAGCCAGGGCTGCACTGGGCGGTGGCCGTGACCCTCTGCGCTATGCCGCTTTGCAAGGGAAAACAGCAGACGCGCAGCACAGCCAGGTGTGAGGGGCTGCGTCTGTCGCCCCGCGCTCGGGGAGGCTGAGGTGGGAGGAGGGCCACCGGGCGCAGCCCAGCCGGCCGCATACAGTGACCCCGGTCCCCACAGAGACAACCCCAAGCCTGGAGTCGCAGTGCTATGCCCAGCCGGGGCTCCACACCCAGCACCAACGGCCAACACAGTGAGCCCTTGGCGGGCGAGCGCTGGGGCTCGGCGGCGCCCGCGCCCCGCAAGCACAAGGCTGCGAGTTCGAGCCCCGGGACCAGATACACCAAAGCCCTCCGTGTCCAATTCTGCAACTTAAGACATAAAGGATCCGAGGCACGCAGCGATCACAGGACGCCAGGCCGGGAGCGGGGGAGCCGGGGAAGGGGCCCCTGCTGTCCCCGGGGTGCGGGCCACACTCACTCCAGGGCCTCCTGCCGCTCCCGGCGCCGCTCCTCCCGGCGCCGCTGCTTCTCGGCCCTCTCCTGCTCGCCCTTGGCCCGCTTCTCCCGCCGCTCCTTCTCCCGCAGCTCGCGCGCCTCCTCCTTCCTCCTCCGCGCCTCCTCGCGGGCGCGCCGCACCTCCTCCTTCAGCTTCTCCTTCTCTTCCCGCAGTTGCTCTCGGTCCTGGGACGCGGGCGGGCACAGCTGAGCCGCTGAGCCGGGCCACCGGGTGACCCCCCGGGCCTCGCGCCAGCCCCTGGAGCAGAAGGCGGGGGCAGGGGCGGCCTGAAATACCCGGGGCTGGGGACGCGCTGGGGTGCGGAAACAGAAACCAAACCGCGGTGGGGAGCGAGGGCCCCCGAAACCCCGGGAAGCCCTGCCACGGGGTGACGCTGAGCCCTGCAGCAAGTGGCTCCGGCTTCCAGCTCCAGGACACACACAGTGCAGAGCTGGCACAGGCAGGCGCGGAGGCTAACCGGCTGCAGATCCAAGCCCAGCCCGGGCAGCGCAGCAACCTGCACCTACTGACTGCAGGGGCCGGAGGAAAGTCAGGGCCCAGCCGCCTCTCAGGGGACTGTCAGCCACAGGGCCAGCTCTGCGCCTTTTCTGTACTCTTCTCTTTTTGGAGACAGCGTCTTGCTATGTAGTTGAGCCTGGCCTAGAGCTTGAAGTGATGCTCCTGCCTCAGCCTCCTGAGTGCTGGGACCACAGGAGTGTGCTAATACCATCACTACAGCTTCTAAAGCTCACAAGTAGCTGGATGTGGTGACACACGCTTGTCAGCACAGCTATTTGGGAGACTGAGGCAGAAGGATCCTAAATTCATATTCAGCCTTACGAAGTAAAAAATGGAGGACCAGGGATATAGATCAGTGAGACCTTGGGTTCAATCCTCAGGACAAAACAAAAACAAAACCCAAAGCTTGGAAAGGTTGAGAAGTTGGGCCTGGTGGCACACGCTGTCATCCAGCACTCAGGGAGCCGAGGAAGGACCGCTACAAGTTTGAGGCCACTGTGGGCTACAGAGGAGCGAAGGTCAGCCTGAGCTGCACAGCAAGGTCGTCTCCCACACACAAAAACGGAACCCCAATCAAACCAAAACAAGAAAAAAGAAAAGAAAAAGGTTCAAGAGAACCTGACACCACAATCTGCAGACCTGATTTCACAGGTCTAACTGACATAAGCCTCGGGGGAGCCTGTTCCTGTAACTGAAGCCAAATGAGAACTGGAGGCTCCCCGCCCTGCCCTCCGCCCCATCGGCCAGGAAAGGGTCTCACTCTCTGCAGCTTCGGCTTGTTCTTCTCGGCAGAACCTTTGACACACTTCTTGGTTATCTGAAATGAAAGATATTTACATGTATTTACGTATTTATTAAACTGTTTTTGTCTTTTTTGAGACAGGTTTTCCCTATGGAGTCCAAGCTGGCCTTGAACTCACTTTGGACTCAGGCTGGTCTTGACCTCACACGATCCTCCTGCCTCAGCCTCCCGAGTGCTGGGGTAAGAGGCTGTGCCACGCGCCTGGCCTTTAAACTTTACTTTTAAATATGGATTGTTCCAGGCACATTTCTCTGGGGACCTCATGATGAAGTCCCTAGGGAGAGGGGAAGACAGGATGAAGAGGCCACCACTATGAATGTGTTTTCTTTTCTGTGATGCTGGTGGTGGGGAAGCGGTGGTCTGAACCTAGGGACTGTGGATGGAGCTGCATTCCCTAACCTTTCAATTTTTTTTTAATTTAATTTTTTTTTTTGGATACCACTTTTGAATTTTTATCCCGAGACAAGGTCTCACTCAATTGCTGAGGCTGGGCTCCAGCTTGTGTTCTTCCTGCCTCAGCCTCCCAGGGCGCTGGGATCGCAGACATGTACTACCATGTCCAGCTAAGAATGTGCTTGCAAAACAAGAATCACCAACTCTTCCCGAAGACGTGTTCTCAGGCAAGAGCACGGAGCCTCTCTGGGGAGCACACACTTGTGCATGAGAAGAGGGGAGCGGAGGGGTGGGGCAGCACGGAAAGGAAGGGCTACTGGGAAGCTGGCAAACGCGGAAAGCAGAACCACGGGCTGCCGGGTGCAGGGGGACCTGCAGCAGGTGAGGTGAGCCCTGCCTGTCTGAAGGGCGAGGGCTCCATAGGTGGAGGGCGCGGCCGGGGTCCTCCCGGCATCTCTGGCATCTCTGGAGGAGCTGACGCCGGGAGCTGCTAACTTTTCAGGCAAAGTCTGAAATGTCACCGTGCGTGCACCGGTGTGCCTTCAGGTCTGGCTGGGCTTCTGCTCGCTACTCTCCCCTGGGGCACCACGCCTTGCCTACTGGAAGTGGTGCGGGCCATGGAACCCAGGGCCTTGCACACGCCAGGTAAACACTCACCACTGAGCTGCAGCTCAGCTTTCCATGCTACAAAGTAAAAGTTTAGGGGCAGGCCGGGGTGCTGGCACATGCCTGTAACCCCAGCATTCAGACGCAGAGGCAGGAGGATGAGGATCGCTGCACGTTGGAGGCCAGCCTGGACTGCACAGGGAGACCCTGCCTCAAAAAGGCAACAGAAAAAGCTTGGGACATTACCTGGCGGGCTGGTGGGCCACTCTAGGGTCCCTATACTCTAGGGCACAGCAGTCTCCATCAGGTCAGCAGGGATATGGACAAGGAGCCCCTGGCCCCAGCCTCCTCGTGTCACCCAAGACTCCCACCAGCCACATGGAAGGTGCGGAGGTGAATGGGAAGAGGGGTCAGGGCTGGGAGGAACCACCTCTGGGCTCCTGTTAGACCGGCAGAGGCAGCCCAAACAGAAGGTGGAGGCTGAGTAGCAAAACCAAAGACATCAACAGCCCTGGAAAGGGTCCCATGGGTCAACAAAACTGTCCCAGCAACTTGTTCACCTTGGAAACCAAACCCCAAAGGACCCCCTCACAGGCGCCACCTTTGCTTTGAGGAGGGTGAGCCTTGCCACTTGCTGTTGGCAGCCGGCTTGTCACCAAGGGGACGTGGCAGAGATCTGCATCTGTCCCGGGCAGGTGGCGACAGCACCCGGCCTTGGGCGGCCTCACTAAGGGGAGGAAGAGGCCTCTGTCTCTCCGAATGTATTTCCCGTGTCAAGCCGGTGGCCCCGGCTCACCGTTAGTCTGAGGTGACTGCCCACCTGCTGCTCTGGCTACGTGACCAGCAAGCCCTGGACTCACAAGAACCAGCTCGGGCAGCCCAACTGCCACCTACTCCCAGCCCAGCATCACCAAGGCTTCTCTGGGCACTAATACACACGCGCGTGCACACACAGGCCGCCCTTCGTGGTCTGATAAATGTCATCTCCCGCAAGCCAGGCCCCGTGTCCAGCGCTCCTTCTCCTGTGGCGTGCAGACCCGCACAGTGGCCCAGGCCTGACCCAGGCTCCCAGGGGAAAGCGCCGCACACTCGTCCTCCCGCAGAAGGCAAGCCGGGCATCCACACTGCAGCACGCAGCCTGGAGGAGCCTCTCAGGCTGGGGTGCTTCTGATTTTCTCAAAGGGCAGGCAGCAGCTGCTGTGGGGGCGCTCGGGCTGCCAGGCACTGAGCAGCAGGCAGAGACAAGGTGGGAGATGACCCCAGAGTGGCCTGCCCATGCTGGAACGGGAAGCCTCTGCTTCTGTGAGCCGGGGGGGGGGGGGGGGGGCGGGGGGCAGCCCTCCGCTCCCGGCAGCCTGGGGCTGGGCAGAGGAGCACAGGACAGTCATCTTGGGGCTCAGGCTGAACACAGGAAGGACTGCAGAGATCATAACTGAGGCTCCTCCCGTCCAGCACTAAGGGCGCCCAAGACACCCCTGAGTGACAAGCAGACACTCAAGAGGTTGTGCATTAGGTGAGGAAACACCACGACAGTGTCACTAGGTGGTCTCTCCGACGCTGAGGGGGACAGGTGACACAAGGTCCAGCCTCAGGGGAGACCAAAGAGGACGCTGCTGCAGACCACGGTGCTTAAAAGCGAAAGAAGAGGGCCGGGGATTTAGCTCAACAGCCTAAGTGCCTGTCTAGGAAGCATGAGGTCATGAGTTCAATCCCTGGTACAAAAAAAAAAAAGAGAGAGAGAGAAAGAAAAAGTGGCCCCGTGGGCTCCACAGGGATTTGCTTCCAGGACCCCAGTGGACTCCAAAATCCTCCAAACCTCAGTCCCTTAAATGTCCTTGGAGAACGTGGTCACTTCTGGAAAGTTGAGGGCATGGGGGGAGCACTCAGGGGCGGTGCTGCACTGTCTGTGGGGGGCCAGTACTGACGCTTTTTTTTTTTCTCATTTTTTGGGGTTTGATTTTGGGTTTCTGTGGTGCTGGGGATGGAACCCAGGACCCTCACACTGAGTCTCTAAGATGTCCATGCTAGCCTCAAACTTGAGATCCTCCTGCCTCAGCCTCCCAGAATCCCAGTATATCCAAGGATTTCTGATGCCCGATCCAGGGCCATGGAACCTGCAGAGATGGAGCTGACAGTAATCCGAGGATATGGGAACTGTCCTCGAGGCCAGGGCTCATCTGGCAGAGAGGCAAGGCGGGCTCCAGCTGCACAACTGGATCCCTGCGCATTTACGCAGTAATTTGTCGTCACCAAGAAAACAGGCCTGATTGCAAACACACTGGAGAAATGCTCAGGGCTCCCACACTAATTAAACACCCTGGGGCGACCTGAAAAGGCTGTTCTAAAACTATTGTTTTTCAAAGTGAAAGTGCTCAGACCCTAGAGTACTTAAAAAAAACGACCGACCGCCCCTGAGCTTCCTGGGAGGGAGAGCACAGCAGGACTCACTTTCCAGTATTCAAATCAAGAAAAGCAAAACAGAACAGCAAACACTCCTGGAGAGTTCCAGTGATACCCCGGGAACTTGCAAGGGCACATTCCTTAGGTATCACATGCAGGGTGAGCATGTAAGCCCCAAAGAGGTGACAAAGACACCCCCACCCCCACCGCACTCCGTGGCAGAGAGAGTTGACAGCAAAAGAACTTCCCAAAGTGACCCCCACCCCTGCAAGGCAGGAAAGGCTTTAGAGTTGGGTACCAGTGGAAGAAACAAACAATCAGGAAACACAACAGAAGCCAGAGGCAGAGGCAGGAGGATCTCCTTTGAGCACGGCCTGGGCAACCTGTGATGCCAGGAAACCCTGTCTCAATAGGTAATACAGGGCTGGATGGAGCTGAGTGTCAAATCCATCACTGACTGCCCCGTATCACAAAACAAAGAAAAGGAAAAGGAAGAGGAATTCAGCAAAGCGGGCCCTCGGGATGGAAGTTTGCAAAATCTCCCGAGGGCACACAGGAAGTTTTCAGCTGGGGGGAAGATGTCTGCGTTTCAGGGCATCTGGAGAGCTGGAGGGGGCGCTGAGCACCAGGCCTGGCACCTCACATGCTCGCGTCTATGCAGGCGCCTAGCTCGGCGGTGCAGCCCTGGCCTAGCGTGGGAGATGACCTGGCCTCAATCCCCAGGTCTGAAGAAGAAAAACTCAAATGCACATTTCCTTACTCTTGGTACACAGGCTCGGTTGCTCGAAGCAGTTTTACTGCTTCATGACAAGATTCAACTGTGATTTAGCTTCAGAGGTAAAAAGCAACTTCCTGAAAACATCCTGAGTCCTGTGTCCATGCTAACTGGCTGCGATTAGCTGCTACTGGTCACATGACTACAGTTCTGCAAACTGTGGCAAAAGCCCAATGAAGAGGCAAGCAAGGATGGGGAGAACCAGAAGGAAGCTAAGCCCCTGCCTGTGAGCCAACAGAGCTGGGGAGAAAAAAAAAGCGCCCCACCCCCTCACCTCCAGCACCAGCTGATTGGGAGGAACCTTACTGTTGGACTGACTCTGCAGGCCTACAGCCAGTAGTCTGAGCAACTATCTGGAGGATGACAATACGCAGTAGAATGACCACCACAGACTTCCTACTGTCCCATCACTGCGTCATTCATTGTATTGTTGTTTTATCCCCTTTAAAATTAAATTTTAAAGAAGATCCAAGCAATCCCCTGTACAGAAAACGGAGGCCAACAGCAGGAGAGATTAAGGCCCTGGTTTTACATCCTTGCTGGGATATTTCAGTCAGCTTCACTAATATACAAGAAAAGCCGGGCTCTTTTTCTTGCAGATGCTGGGGGGGTGGGTGGTACAGAGGATTAAATCCGGGGACCTCCCAACCAGCTCTATCCTCAAGCCCTTTTTAATTTTGACTTATTTACTTAGGGTAGTACTGCAGGCCCCAGGGCATTCTCACTGAACTACAATCCCAGACCTTTTTACGTTTTGAAACAGGTCCTCACCGAGTTGCCAATGTTGGGCTCACACTTGAGACCCTCCTGCCTCAGCCTCCCAGAGTGCTGCGATGACAGCCCTGTACAGCCAGGACCAACTGGCTTTTATTTATTTGTGACATGATCTGGCCAAATTGCTCAGTCTGGGCTAGAAACCCAATTCTGCTGCCCCAGATTCACCGAATGCTGGACTTACAGGAATGGGCCTGGATGCCTGGCTTCACTTCAGCTCACTTCTGTTCTTTTTCTTTAGTGCTGGAGACTGAACCCAGGGCCTCACTCACGCCAAGCACGCACTCTGCTCTCCAGCTACCCCGTCAACTCTCATTTTATGTGGTCTCATTCAGTCTTCCAGGTTGGCCTTGAACTTACAACCCTCCTGCCTCTGCCTCTGCCCACAGCGGAGTTCAGTTATTGATTTAGTTTATTGCCTACAACCCCCAGCAGGGGAAAGCCAGAACAAGAAATAGAGCTGTTCACCGGGTACAAACCAATCAACATGATAAAACCAGCAGCCTTACCATATACCACTAATGGGCCAGGTGGGAAGGGTGTCAGGAAAGCAATTCTATCCATAACACGAGAAAACCGAACATCCAACAATCACTGCTATCCAAAGCGGTGATGAACGTCTGCGGTGAAAATTTCAGAACACTAAAGAAACAAACGGAGGATACCAGAATATGGAAAACCTCCTGTGTTCATGGACTGGCAGAATATTGTTGAAAAAACATCTATAGATTGAATGCAATGCCCACCAAAATACCAATGATGGTCTTCACAGTACTAGAAAAAGACAACCCCACAACACAGAAGACCCTGGATAGCCAAACCAATGCTACGCACAAAGAGCAAGGCTGGGGCCGGGGATTTAGCTCAGTAGCACAAACGCCTGCCTGGCAAGCCCGAGATCATGGTTCAATGCCTGGTACCAAAGAAAGAAAAAGGAAAGAAGTGCAAGGCTGAAGCCCAGCATAAGGGCACATGCCTGAAGCCCCACCACTTGGGAGGCTGAGGCAGGAGGATCAGACATAAGAGAAGCACTGCAAAATTAAAGGCCAGCCTGGGATACGCAGCTAGATGCTGTTTCAAAACATCAACCAACCACCAGCCAAAGAAATAACGAATAGCTTGAGATATAGCTCAATGCAGAGGCCCTAGGTTCAAACCCCCAGTAACATACACACACACACACACTCAGCAAGAATATAGAAAGCAAGATGGGCTCGGTGCTGTACATCTGTAATTCCAGGACCGGGGACCCTGAGGCAGGAGGACTGCCACAAATGCAAGGCCAGTGTGGCTCCATAAGTGAGTTCAAGGCCACCCTGGTCTATATAGCAAGACCTTGCCAAGACAAAAAAAAAAAAAAAAAAAGGCCACGCAGGGCGGTGCACACTCGTAATCCCTGCGCTCAGAGGGTGAGGCAGGAGGGTTGCTGCAAGTTCTCGAGCAGCCTAGGCTACACAGTGAGCTCAAGGATAGCCGTAACTGCACAGCAAGGCTCTGTCTCAAAAACAAACAACGGGATACAGAGAACAACAATAAATGAATAAATGCTGGCAAAGATGTGTATGTGTGGGGTAACAACCCCCTCTCCTGCTGCGGGGAATGTGAGTTACAGATTAGCGCAGCTGCTGTGGAAGCAGTGTGGAAGTTTCTCCATGAACCACTGCTAGAACTACCGCATGGCCAAGCCATGCCACGCCCTGGTATCGACCGAAGGAATCCAGGTCAGCAAAGCACACGGCCCTGCTCAGCCACATCTGCCGCAGCAGCGGTTTCAAATGGCCAAGATGCGAACCAGCCCAGGTGTCTAACGTAGGGACAGAGAAAAATGTGGGACACATTACACTGTGGACTACTGTTCACCACAGGGAGAATAAATGTAGTCATCTGCAGGAAAACGACGGACCTGGAGGACACAGAAGGTATTGACTGAACTCAGCTAAGCAATAGTGAGCATGTTTCCCCTATTATGCAGAAGCTAAAAAAGTGGCAAAAATGAAGAAAAGAAACGATCACTAGAAGACAGGAAGAGAACCAAAAGGAAAAAAAGAGAAAGAAGGTGTAAGCATGATGAGACGCTGATGTGAGCAGAAGATAGTGCACGCACTGACTCCTCCCCCGAAAGGAAAGCGGGACTGAGGAAGGCAAGAGGGGACGGACGGGGGGACGGACGGACGGACGGACGGACGGACGGGGAGGGAAATGACGAAAACTGTTCAGTGCCGTAACCAATAACGGGCGCCGGGGAAAAGAAGAAATGGGTCACTCAGAAACGTTTAAAAAAGCTGGAGATACAGCTCAGGACACAGCGCCTGCCTGGCCAGTGTCAGGTCACGAGTTCCAGTCCTGGTACCAAAACCAGAGAAGGCTAAGGGCACACTTGTCCGGCAGGCACCGGCCCCAGGGCCCCCGCAGTACTGCAAAAATAACACAATAAAATAGTCCTTTTGACATCAAAATTCAGTTTAAATTAAGTAGTCAAGACTTAACAATCTACCCCATACCCAACTTTACATAAAGATCAAACACTAACCCACCAAATCAAGCAATAGATTTGGGGAATATGGACTTATTTATTAGGTTTTTTTTCATCTATTTTGGGGGGTCTTTTTGAGGCAGGGTTTCACTATGAAGTTTGGACTGGCTTTTTTTTATCATATAAAGATCTTTTCATATTGATCTTTCTTTTCAACTTCTGAGTATTGATTTTAACTCAGTTTCTCCAGCGGGCTGGCTTTGAACTCACTTTATAGCCCAGGTGGCCTCAAACTTGCAGCTGATCCTTCTGCCTCAGCCTCCCGAGTGCTGGGATTACAGGCATGTGCCACTGCATCAGGCCTTTTTAGGTTTGAGACAGGTGTCCTCTGCAGTTCAGGCTGACCCTGAACGTACAGCAACCCTCCCGCGTGCTGGGGTTCCAGGCACGCACCACCTTGACTAACTGGAGTGATTTGCATAGTCTGTACCCAGCAGACCCAAGGTGTGAGTGATTAAGAACCAAAAAGGCAAAGCATGTCACCGAGACACCCTAAAGCCCAAGCACAGGCTGTTCTAAGGTGACAGACCCGAGTCAACACAGAGAAGCATGAAGACAGAGAAGAGCAACGTCACCTGCAGGCCAGGAGTGCACGGTGCACAGGCAGGAACGTCACCTGCAGGCCAGGAGTGCACGGTGCACAGGCAGGAACGTCACCTGCAGGCCAGGAGTGCATGGTGCACAGGCAGGCCTGGGCCTGGCATGCGCAAGACCCCGAGTTCCACACCCAGAAAACAAAAGCACACAAAGAAGCAAGTGAACGTTGTGTCCAATAACCCCTATGATACCTCACCACGTAGAGGAACTATTTCCAAAATGCAACCTAAGACAGCTGTGATCCCAAGCGTTTGGGATGAGATGCTCCAAGTGCAAAAGACACTTTTCTCCTGTTTCACCGCACCGAGGACTGAACCCAGGGTTTTCACGCTGAGCTGCATCCCGGCCCCTTTTGTTTTCAGACAGGCTCTTGCTAAGTCACTAACTTGGCCATCCCGGGCCTGAACTTGCAATTCTTCTGCCTCCGCCTCCCAGAGCGGCTGGGATGACAGGTATTTATTTTTGTTATGGTTTTGGTTTTTTTGCAGTACTGGGAATTAGTGCTCTTTAAAGTTTGAACTGCCCGGCCTGGGGTGGAGTCCCAGCCCTCCTGCCTCAGCCTCCCTGACAGCTCGGATGGCAGGTCAGCACCGCCACACCTAACTGCTGTTCACTTTCTCAGGTGACGGCTGTTCTGCCGGCAGCTGTCTCCATAGGATGCCCCATCGGACGTCTTGCTGTCCCTTCACTGGCCACTGGTGACCCCTTTCCAGCCCCCCACCAGGGGATCTATACTGGAACTAGAGGAAGAGACAGGAAACGAAGCTCAGGTGTGAAGTGAGGATCACCAGAATGGCTGAGCTGAAGTCACCACTACTTATACATGAGCCCAAGGCCAGCAAACTCAAATCTCCGGCGACAGCCGACCTCCTGCAGACAGCCCCGGCCAGCCCTGATCTGTAAGGACCCAAGCCTGCAGGCTTCTGACCTTCCAGAGGCCGAGTCCGCGGTCCCACTCACCGGCCGCAGCCCTGGCTCCCGCGGGGCGTACTTACTCTGCCGACGGGTGTGGGGGCAGGGGAGGGCCTGATGCCCCCCTGTGGCTCCTCAGGAGTGCTCGGGCCCTCGGGCGAGGTGACAGGAGAAGAGCTCGAGCTCGGGGATGACGAATGGCTAAGGACAGAGTCCTCCTCGGGACACGATTCCAACAGCTCGCTCTCCGATGTCCCACTCTTGTCCAGAGGTGTCGCGGGAGGAGACGCGGCACAGGGAGGCTTTGCGGCCAGGATGTCCTGCAAGACCACCACAGGCACCTTGCCTTTAAACAGGAGGCTGCTGGCGTGGCTCCAGGCGTCCCGCCCCACCTGGGGGCACACACTCGCGCAGCTGGGCAGCGTGGGGCAGCCCTGCCCGTCTGGGCCACCTGAGCCCCCAAGCTCCTCCTCTGTTTGGCAAGGAATGTCTGAAAGGGTCTCTTCAGGAAGCCCCAACTTGTCACTGTGAATGACCTTCAAGGGTCCCTTCTCTGCAGCCTCCTCTCCGAGCCCATTGACGGCCTCCCTGGGCAGGGAGGCGCTGGTGCTGAGAGGCCCGGGGGTCACAGTCCTCTCTGGCTGCTCGTTCGAGTCCTCCGTCAAATCGATGGTGACCATGTGCTGGCCGAGGCCACTTTTGACCTCACTGCTGAGGAAGCTATCTAAGGGACCCTTCCCATTGATGAGTTTCGGGGTGAAGTCCTGCTCAGAATCCACGGGACAGTCATTCTCCAGGATGTCCAAAGAGGCTTTCAGAGTGGCGACGTTTTCTGCCACCGAGGTCCCCTGGGCCATTCTGTCGTCCGACTCATCCGTGGCTTTCTCCTTGTGGACAACATTCAAACGCTTGAAGGGCAGACGGGCTGAAATGGACAGAACAGGCTGTGTTCCCACTGTGGAGCGGCACTCCGTCAGGACTCAGTACCCTGTGTGCGAGCGTGCCTGGGAACCAGCGGCCTTGCTGGCTCTGGGAGGGGACTCAGTTTTAAAACAGAGCTGGACACGATGGTTTACTCCTGTAATCCTAGCCCTCTTGGAGGCTGAGGCAGGAGGATGACAGGTCTGAGTGGACACCCTAGCCAGACTGTTTCAGAACAAAAGAGGCTGGCTGGGGATGGAACTGTGTGAAGGCCCTGGCTGCATGCTCAGTGCAGTCCATGAACTAAAGATGCTGGCAGCGCTGGGCTCTAGCTCAGGGACAGAGCAGGCTGCCTGGCTCGGGTGAGACCCTGGGTTCAATCCCCAGCCCGAAAAAGGACTAGCTGTGTTTTCAGTCTACATTTTTCCAGCATCCTGGTTAAAACCCAGAATCAGCCAGGCATGGAGGCACATGTCTGCCATCCAGCACTCGGGAGGCTGAGGCAGGGGGAGCCCCATGAGTTCAAGTCCAATCTGAACTATATGACTATGCCCTGTCTCAAAAAACCAAAACGCAAATAAAGGAAACAAACAAAAAGACATAAAAACCAAAAACTCTGACACACTTTTAGTGGGGATACTGGTAGAATTTTAAAGGAGATTTTCCTATCGCATCAAGATCCAGTTCAAATCCCAAACTAATTAATTAATTGATTGGTTTTTTTCAGTGCTGGAGAGTGAACCTAGGGGCCTTCACACCGAGTTACATCTGTGTCTTTTTTACTTCGAGACAGTGTTTTGCTAAGTTGTTAAGCTTTCCAGACTGGGGCTGAATCTGAGATCAGCTCGCCTTAGCCTTGCAGAGCCCCGGGACTGCAGGTGTGCACCTCCAGATTTGCTCACATGGGGGAAATCCCACTGGAAGGGATCGACAGCTGGTTCTCAAAGGGAAATACACCCGCCCAGGGGCAGAAAGACTTTTCTTTTCGGCCCCAGCTGTCAAATTTATTGCAGACACCTTTCTCCCAGCACCTGCTAGGTTTGGGCTGGGAATAAACAGTCCACAACGCTAAGCAGTGAGGAATTCCAGTGAATGAACTCGGAGGACCTCACATTCACTTTAAGGCCAAGTTACCTCTTACGATTTCATGAGATTGTATAACAGACAAAAAAAAGAGAACAAAACAAACTATTCCCTTTCTTTTCTGGGCAAGAGAGCGACCCCAGGGCCTTTACACTGAGCTCCACACCCTGCCTCTTCTTTCACACCAAGTCTCACTAAATTGCCCAGGCTGGGCCGTCGCCCTCCCGCTTATACTCTGTGTAAAACGAGGGTGTCCTTGGGCTCTACCCCTCTGTCCTTCTGTCCCTTCTGGGTGGAGACCTGCAGCATGGGATTCCCCAACATCCAACGTGCTAGCAGTCACCCCAGGAGGAGGCAGACTGCCCACCAGAGGCCAACTGCCCACTTTTAAAACTGGAAACCAGTTTTTTCATAGGACACCGTTGTTAAGGACTGCAGATGAAATCTGGGTGAAGTGGATTTGGGGACAATAGTTTTCCCGTATGAGAAGAGTTTACAACTGGAGCCGCTCTGTCCTCCAGCCACGGAGGGCAGACAATGTGTGCAGACATTTGTGGGTGTCACGACTTGCCCCTGGTGGGAAGAGGACAAGGATGCTGCAAAATTTCCTGCAGGACTCAGGACAGCATCCTGGAAGGGAGAAAAAAAGGCACAAAACACTCATGGAGCTGAGGTAGAAAGATGCTGCTCTAGAGGTGGGAACCTTTGGACTAGAAACCCGGGGGAACGATACTACACAAAAAAGGGATTCCCAAAGGCAGGCCTGGCGAGGAACACCTGTTATCCCACACTTTCTTGGAGCTGAGTCGGGAGAATCACACGTTTGAGCCCAGCCTGGGCAACTTAGGGAGCTCCTGTCTCCAAAAAGTAATTAAAAAGAGCTGGGAGGGTAGCTCAGTGCAAAGGCCCCGGGTTTAATTCCCAGTACTCCCCCACCCCCACCACCAAGAAAACAGAACACAGGCATGCTGCTGCACAGCTGTCATCCCAGCACTCAGGAGGCTGAGGCGGGAGGGTCACTGCAAGTTCTAGACCAGCCTGGGTTACAAAGTGAGTTCTTGGGTAGCCTGAACTGCTGAGCGAGGCCTTGTCTCAAAAACCAAAAAACTGAAAAACAAAAGACAGTTCATCACATATATGTAAATATTCCAAAGTGAGAAAATATCTGCAGGCTGGGGATTTAGCTCAGTGGCCAAAGCACCTGCCTGGCAACTGGAAAGTCATGGGTATGATCCCTGTACCACTCCCTACTAAAAAAGGAATCATCCAAAATCCCTAACCCTACTGGCCCCAAACACTTTGGAGTAAGGTATCTGCAAAAAGATGAATTGTTATTCTCCTCTCCAGAGGTCTAATAGTGCAAGATAACCATTCCCCTGGCCAGCGTTACCTTGTATCAGTTTCTTCACAGGAAAGCTTGGTCTGTCTTTACACTCCATGGCTGCAAATAAAAACATCCATGAATAAGTTACTAAGTGTTGGAAAAAAGCCAGCGAATATATACAGCACCAAGTCTGTTCAAGGTGGCCAGCAGTGGTAATTCTGCCCTGGCTACCAGAGGCATTTGGCAGTGGATAGAGGCCTATTTTGTTGTTGTCTGGAGTTGCAGGGACCAAGATGCTCTTCAAGTCTATCTGTTAGAGGCCAGCGTTACTCCTAAACATTCTCAAACACCCAGGTCAGGCTCCCCGATGAAGAATTACCATTCCCCAAGTGACTATACTGAGAAATTCTGCCCTGGTTATATCTTTATTTTATTTATTTATTTATTTTTTTTGGTCTTTTTCCTTTTTATCGGTACTGGGGATCGAACTCATGACTGCCTGCTTGCAAGTCAGGCGCTTATGCCGCTGAGCTAAATCCCCAGCCCTTGCCCTGGTTATATCTTTATGTTCTTTGTGAAAATAAAGAGTTCTGTTGATGGAAAGTTTTATGATGATGTCTCTCTCCACACAGAAGGCCAGCTGGGTCACAGCAGGGACTGGTGCTGTACACCCAGCACATAGCTTGGGGGGAAGCCGATGGACAAGTAACCGGGAAAACAAACGCAGACCAGGAAAGGTAGAGATGAAAGAAAACATCGGATCATCTATTCTACGGTAAATGTAACCCTGAAGTAAACTCCTCCACCCCACCCCTTGACCCCCACCAGAGGTGGCAAATTAGGAAAGGATTCCTTTGTGAAGGAAACACAGTGGAAGGCACTCTGAGCTCGGCAGGCAGGAGCTGAAGTGTTGGCAAGACATGAGCGAGACTATCTTCCGGCAACAAGAATAACGTCAAAAATCAAGAAAATCATCTAACAATAAAGTTGACACAGAACGGACATAAATAGAACAAAAGCTACGGATAGATACGTTTAAATAGGTTAACTGTAGATGCTCACATCTGCTAGGCGACGTGGCTTAGAAAAAGCTAGTTTAGGGGCTGGGGATTTAGCTCAGCGTCATAAGCGCCTGCCTTGAAAGCAGGCAGTCGTGAGTTCAATCCCCGGTACTGATAAAAAAGAAAAAGACCAAAAAAAAAAAGATTAAAAAGCTAGTTTAGTTATTTTGGGGAAACTACATATATTTTGTAAAAGCTACATCAGACCAGGGCCTTTTTTTTGTGTGTGTCTTTTTCATTTTTTTATCGGTACCGGGGATTGAACTCACGACTGCCTGCTTGCAAGGCAGGCGCTTATGCCGCTGAGCTAAATCCCCAGCCCCCAGACCAGGGCTTTGTAAAAAACCAAAACAAACAAACACAAAAAGCCCCCAAAAACTCAGCTGTCCACCACTGAAACTACCCACCCACTTTCTAACTCCCACTTACACCTGGAAAACAAGAAAAGTTACCTCGATTTTTTCCCCCTCCTCAAATGAATAATACATAATTTTTAGCCACTAAGATTTATTTTCAGGACAACCACCATGATTTGCATCTCTCTGATTCTTGATTTTTGGGTAAGAAACACCAGTTGTACCCAGAAGCAACCTTTGGGTGGATAATAAAATGGAACCCCATCCAAGAATCCGGACCATTCCAAGGCATATATGCCCTGGCACTTGTGTGTGTGTGTAGCATTACCAACTGCTCTTTATTCTGGGTTACATTCTTCCTAATTATACTTAGCATTAAAACATCCGGTTCTTTTTTACTGATATGGTGGTGACAAGCAGTATTTGGCTTTTAGTTTTTTTAAACTATAAATATTTTGACTTAATTAAATAAAAAGGGTCACAGCTCCATGAGTCAGTCCTCCTGATTTTATTTATATTAATCGTATGTCACTGAAATCCCAAAATCAGATTGTGCAAGGGCTCTCCCAATCTCTCCTCTCTCTCGGCTGTGTGGTACTGGGGATGGAACACATGGCCTCACATAAGCTAGGTAAGGGCTCCATCCCTGAGCTATTTCCCCAGCCCAAGGAGCAATGGTTCACCAAGCAGGGTGGGATGATCCTGTCTCCTAGGTGACACCCCTGGGGGTCATTTTTTGTTATCACAATTGTAGAGAAGGGGTTGCTCCTAGCCTGGAATGGGTAGAGGCCACAACGCTCTTCGGCACCCTAACAGGATGGCACATCAATAGTGCTGAGGCTGAGCAGCCTGGAACTAGACAATTCGATGTTCCTTTCCAGCCCCTAATTAATCAGACCAACACACGTTTATCGGCGCCTGGTACCTGCCAAACACTGTGCCGGGAGCGGGGGTTTCAACGTGGAGTCAAACAGGCCAGCCAGGCGGTCAGGGTTTCCTCGGTTCCCCGCCCCACGTTTCTGGGGGCGTGCTACAACGCTACAAAGATTCCTTCCAAGGAACACGGAGCAGAAAGGCGCTTTATATATCACACGCTACCCAGAACTCGCGAGTCCCAGCTCCTGGGCAATTCCCACCACACAAACCTCTTCCCTGGCCTTGCCCTTAACCGAATGGGCAGCGATTTCGGTTTCCCTGTGCCTCGGTTTTCCCACTTGCTGTAAGGTCCAACTTGCTTAGGGGATACAGATGCACCCGGGGCATCCGAAGCTGGCCCTTTTGCCTCTCTGCACCTCAGTTTCCCCTTTCGGCTACACTGAGCCGTCACTCACCACCCCCAGGGCGCCCTAGAAAGATGAACTGATGCTTAAGCGCCAAGGAAAGGCAAAACATGTATAAATACATGATCTCGGCGGCAACAATAACGTCAAAGAGGGCGCTCTTTGGGTGGAAGGGCCCCTAATAGGGATCTCAAGGCCCTAGGGACCGATCGCCCAGCCCGGGGCGCAGAGGCGCGTCCACCCCCAACCCCGCCGCACCGACCCGCACAGGCCGCGTCGCCCCTTCCCCTCAGCGCGGGCTCTAACCCACCTGGGGCCGAACCCCTGGCGCCCGGCGCCGCACACTCCGGCTCCTCCAGCATCTCTCGGGAGGCAGCTCGAGCTCCCCTGAGACGGCGGAGGTGAGGGCTCAGCTCCGGCGGCCGCTGCTGCTAGCCCTCCCGCCCGCGCCAGGTTGCCGCGACCGCCGCGCTCGTACTTGGCGGGAACCGCGGCGACTCCCGCAGCCCGCACGCTGATTGGGCGAATTTGCGTCACGTGACGGCTCACCTCGGGAAGAGAGGAGCGCCGGGAGCATCCTCGCGAGAGTCGTGGTTTCCTTTCCACCCTTGGGTAGGGTATTCCCGCGGGTAGGGGAGAGGCGGGGCTCTATTCCGGCGACCATTCGTTGGTTGGCGAGAGAAATTCTACGATTGGGTAGAGCCAATGTCAAACTGAGAACTAAGCACTACTATTGGCTAACTCTATGGGAGGAGGGCGGGGCAGAATACGTCATGAGCGAAGCTATTGACAACCAGAAATCGATTTAGAGGACTGAAGTTTTGAGTTTATCTTAAATTGTTAAACGTAAGGACTGCAATAAAAATTATGTTATTTTGTATACGAATAATATAATAGTATCTGCGTGGAGTTGTAAAAACATTTGGCATGCAACAAGCATATTTAGAGGGAATGAATGAATGTTTCTGCTTTAATGCTCAGTTTTGCAGGACTGCCCTCAGCAAGTAGTTTTTTTTCTGCCTGATTTCTACTAACTTTAAGATCCTTTTCTTTTTTCAGAAGCCTTTTTTCTCTTTCACCTGCAGTATGATCAAGTGCTTGTAGCACTTTTTTCCTCGAAAACAGCTGTGTTTATTAGTGCTACTTGACTAGTTTTGTTCATTAACTAGTAATTAATTTGTTTTGTGGTAGACTTGAGCCCACAGGCATTTTCCCACTGAACTTCACGCCAACCCTTTTTATTTTGAAACAAGCTCTTGCCAAGTGGTCTGGATTAGCCTTACCAATATTTGTCCGGAACAGATACATTTTAGAAACTCATCAGAATGAATGCATGAATATCATTTGACTGAACTGTATAGATGATGCAAATTAAAAGTCTCTCTCTCTCACACACACAAACACAGAAAAGTCTCACATAAAGCTAGGTGTTTACCTTGGTTAAGCAATGATTTCCAACCTTGTACCAAGATCTGGGTTCCATCCACACACCAGAAAATAAAGAGGCTCACATAGAAGAATAGAAACCTCCAGTGTCAGGTTGTGAGTTTTAAAATAGGTTTTCTGGTTGAGTGTGGTGACCCACACCTGTAATCCTAGGAGTCAGGAGGATCGCCTTGAGTTTGAGGCCAGCCTGAACTGCATAGGGAGATCCATTTTTTTTTTTTTTTGGAAAAAATAAAAAATAAATGTTTGGCACCAATGTAACATCTCAGAAGAGGAGGTAATGAGAAAAAAATTGGAATCTACTTCAAGTTCACAATAGTTTTGAGGTAAACTGAGTAATCAGTAAAATTGGTTGAGGAACAAGTTGAAACCCAGAAAATTCAGAGACATCACTTTGGACAAATCCGGCCATTACTCAAGGCCTTAGTTCCTCTGTCTGAACCATGAGGGTGCTTTCCTTTTCTGACATACTGGGATTTTATTTTTATTTTTTTCACACTGGGACTTTATAAACTCAGTTGAGCATATCAGAATTGCATGGGAAGCCTTTTCAAATTATTCATAATGGCTGCATCAGTATCTTGGGGTGTTCTTAGCAACCCTTTGATATTGTCCACTTCCTTTTGTTGAGGTGTTTGGAAGCTTCTCGCAGTCTCATCAGCAGTTTCAACACTGAAGTTCTCAGCATCTTCATTGTAATCAACTCCCTGTGATCCTCCTTCCTCAGCCTCCTGAGTGCTGGGATTATAGCCATGCACCACCACACCTGGCCATTCAATACATTTTTATCAGCAAGTTGATACAAAAATTCATATCAATAATGAATCAACTTAAAGAGACTTCCTGGGGGAGGTGACATTCCAAGTAGGCTCCTTTATATGCACAAAAGATGGAGGCAAGGCTAGGGTGAAAGTGCAAAACCAGAGAGCTGAGCACAAATTCCCACAGGCAGCAGGCTGCTAGCAGGAGACAGCGGAGAGCTAAACGGTTGAGGAAACCAAACTGGGCAGGTTTAGGGAGTTTGGAGTGTGTCGGCGGTGCAGCAAGTGGCCTTTAAACAGGATGGTCGTGCTCTGAATTGTGTTCCGAAAGTATCTTTCCGACGGCCTTACGGGCGGGGGGGGGGGGCGGGGGGGGGCGGGGGGGGATTGCACTGGAAGGAAGAGTCTGAAGTTGACATACCAGCATGGAAGTTAGTGGAATAATACAATCAAGGCCCAGATGTGTGACTTGGACATGGGACAGTGTGGGGAGCGGGGACTAAATACACAGAGGAACCGAGTCTCGTTGAGATGAGCAAGCAGATGTCTGCAGAATTCTAAATCTGAGCCATCTGGCCCCTTCCTTTTCTAACAGAAGCGAGGCCGGTTTCCTGAGACTGTAGGTCCACCTCCGCTCCTCTAGGGTGCGCTACAACCTCCATGGCTTCTCTAGGTCTCGCTATTAGATAGGTGACGCAGTGCGCGTGCGCTCTCCGGCCGATAGGGGGCGCGCGCGCGCGAAGACGGAGTCGGCGCGCGCCCCTGGCCGGCACCGGAAGTTGCGGTTGCCATGTAATATCCTGGGCTCGCGGGCGCGCGAGTGACTGAGGCGGCGCCGGGGAGGGCGCGGAGTTTGCCAGCGGGTGGTGCGGGCGGCACCAATAGGGACCGCTGAGGCACGCGAGGGCTTGGTGACTCCCGGAAAGGCTGTGACTTGAGCGGGGCCAGCGGTTTCCTCACAGTCCGGGCGGGAGGCCCGAAAGCGAGAGGCAGGCAGCATGTCGGTGGCCGGGCTGAAGAAACAGTTCTACAAGGCGAGCCAGGTGAGCGGGGGCCGAGGACGGGGGCCCCGGGCTGGCCGGAGTGGGGGGCCAGGCCCGACCCGGGCTCGGGAGGGGGACCGAAGCGGCGGCGCTGCTTCGCGTCCCCGGGCTGGGTAGGGGAGCCGAGGGTGGCGGGGGCTGCGAGGCGGCCGGGGCCGAGGTGGCTTTGGGGTCCCCGCGGGTCCTCGAGAAGGGTGGGCAGCGCGCCCCGAGGCCGGCTGGGGACGCGGATGCACCCTTTTCTGTTCTCCTGCCCCTCTCCGTGTTAAAAGTGGGGGGAGGGCGGGCAGAAGAGAAGGAAACTTCCATCCCCAGGCTGTGAGCCCAGGATTCTTGCCAGATAGCTCGGGGGCAGGGAAAATGTGTGTCTAGGCAAGTGTTTTAGAATCCTCTTGATGGACAAGGTTCAAAGTTGAATTGGAAAAGAGGGAAAAAAATCAGTTTCCATCCCTACCATCCTGCTCTTGCCAGACGGGGACTGTCACTGTCTCCTAATGTTCCTGCCCAAGAATATACAATGCACCTTACCTTGATTTTTTTTAATCTTTTAAAGTTTTTTGGTCTTTCTGAGACAGGGTCTCGCTATGCAGTTCAGGTTGACCTCGACACACTTTGTACCCCAGACTGATCTCAAATTTGAGGCGATCCGACTGCCTCAGCCTCCGGATTGCTGGGGTTACAGGCTTGTGGCGCTGCGCACAGCTCACCTTCCCTTTAAACATAAACAGGCACAGTGATTGGACACTCCAATGTAATCTTGTGTTTTTTTTTTTTAAACGTGTCTTGGAGATTACACTGGTGTCTCAATTGTGTTGACATCTGGAGACAGATCTGGGGACAGACCATTCTTTTGAGTAGGACTGCACTCCTGGGCCCTGCTGGGCATGGTGCACCATCCCTGGTTTCCACCTGCACTATGTCAGGAGCTGTCATCCTGTCTTGACAGCCAGAGATATCCGGAGAGAAATCACCTTGTCCCCTGAGCCTAAGCTTAAAAACTGGTCTTTCCTTCTCTCCCCAGAACTCCAGTGTTAGACCACACTTCTAGAACTTCTTGAATTTTTGTTTTTAAGCTAGAGTCTTGTTATATTGCTCAACTTGACCTCAGACTCCTTTAGCTCAAGGAATCCTTTTGCCTCAGCCTCCGAAGTAGCTAGGACTACAGTGTGTCACAGCTAGCTGAGTTTGGATCTTTTTAACAGGTGCATTGTAGTCCAGGTCACTGAATGTATAATTTGACTAGTTACCTCCCAGTAGATGTTTAAATTGTTTCCAATAACTTCCTGCTACAAACAGTTCCACAGTGAATAGCCAGCGACATCTTTGCTCCTAAGTAGGATTGGTTTTAGAATATAAATTCCCAGAAGTGGAATGCTGAGTCTAACACTACTAACTGCCTTTTCTGTGTGACAAATAGTTTTTGGAAAGTCCAAGATCCACTCTGTATCCAGAAAACTGGGCGAGTGTAAAATTCAGTTTACAGCATCAGAGCCAAGTGGCCCCAGATGTGCTGATTCCTGTTGGCCCATGCAATTAAGGACCTTGGGTGTGGAGTTTGTGTACATGGATTCCACAGAGGAATGAGCACTGGTCTCAGGAATGATTTGGGCTGCACTGAGCAGTAGGGCTGACCCGATAGTTTGGAGAGGCCCCATGCCTGTTCTCAGTAACACACACAGCTGGTGTCTCGCCGCTGGAGGAAAAAAGCAGTGACCCTGGGGGTTATCTAGAATAAAGATATCTAGGGTCTATCTCTAGACACCAGATGATGATTAAACCCTGGGGAGAGAGAGATTTAATCCAGAGGAATTCTAGGATTGTTGCTGAGAATACACTCCTTTGCCTTAGCAGGAGGGAACTGAGTGGGTTTTGTCCAGCAAGCAGGAGATTCCACAGCCCTGGAATGTGGGTCGCTTGCTGGGACTCTAGTGCGGTCCTTCCGGTGAGAAATAGTCACCAGAGGCCTCAGGACAATTCACGTACCCTGTGGTTCTCCCACATAGCGAGGTCTTTGGAGGCCCTCCCACGCCTAGTGTCAGGCCTGTGGGTGGCCCGTGCAGGCACCAGCATACTGTCTGCCCCAGGGACTTGCTGGATCGCCTGGGCTGCCCCCCCAGAACCTGTGTTATCTTTGGCGCCTGCATGGAGCTGTGGATAGCGCCACAAAGCCTGGAAAGTGCCGGCAGTTGGGACCTGGCCCCCATGTGAAGGTTCTGAGGCTCTGTCCCAAAGAATGAGTGCCACAGCCAAGGTTCCCGGAGCTGTCATCTCCATCTCCCCGCCAGTTCTGTGCTGAGCTGTCCGGAATACCCTGGCTGCCTTCCATCCTCTGGAATGCTTTCCAGTTCCCCCACATCCCCCTTGTTTATCTGGCTGGGTCTGTCCCTCTCTCCCTTTCTTCCTTCCTTCCTTCCTTCCTTCCTTCCTCCCTCCCTCCCTCCCTCCCTCTCGGCCACCCCTCATCTTCCCCTCAGTGCAGTCCCCTGAAGAAAAGTGAAGCCTCCGCTTGCATACTGAGGGCTGACATGCCTGGGTTCTCAGCCTGTGACCAGGTAGCAGACTTCAAACCAGCCCTCTTAACTGGTGGCGCTTATCTGGCCTAACGCAGACACATGCCCCTCGATACACAGAAGTATTAAGCCACACTTATCTCCCTGTAGGATGCGGGTCTCCCCCAGGGCCCGTCCTGGGAGGACACTGACAGTGTCTGGGGACTTGTAGGTTGTCACGATTTGATGTGTCGCTGCCGGCTTTTAATGCAGCACCACATCCTGTGGAGCATCGGGCTGACTCACCCCCGTCCCCACCCCGAGAATTTCAGCTCCAGCTGTCAGCAGTATGGCGTTGAGGAACTCCGCCTTTGAGGTTTGAGAAAAGCGAGGATAATTCAACCAAATCAACAACAAAAACCCCTACCAAGCCAGTCCTATGGTAGCTGCCTGAGTTCCTAGTTTTCAAGGGACAGAGAACCCCATGTGCCTGGAGAACGCACCAAGGGGTGACTCGCCTCCAGGGGTTTGAGATAGCTTTGGACAGAAGGTCCGGGGTGCTGCTTCTCCCGGTAATGCGCAGAGTGGCCCCAAAGGTCAGCGCAGAATTTAAGGAACCTGTTTGGAAAACAGGTCTTGGATGTCAAAGGCTTGTCACAGCGTCACAAGTTTGCACGTTGAGAAACAGGAGCCAGGTGTGGGCACAGCCAGAGCCTGGAAAGAAAACGTGCTCTCCAGAGGGGGAGGCTGTGGCAGCCACTCAGTCTGCGGTCCCGGGGCGGCATGGTGGATCGGGTTCCACAGCAGCAGTCAGCCTGGGCTCGCCTAGGAAATGTGCAGGCTTTGGGGACAGGAGATGGAGACCCGCCCCTTCCTCTTGCCCAGATAACCCACTTCCTCAGTGCTCCCTGGCATTTAGGTCTAGAGCTGAGGGACTCTGCATTTCCGGGGAACTGAGGAAGTTTTCTTACATATTTAAAAAATCTCCTGGCTAGATGCAGACTCAGAAGTTCCGTTTTGGAGGGGGGAGTGCTGCCTGCAGGCCTGGACCGCTTGCTGCTTTCCTGCTCCTCCCTGAGGCCGGACCACGTGGGGCTTGGATGGAGCTAGGGATGGATAGCGCCTGCCGCCTGCAGTGCTGGCCTGACTTTTTTTTTTTTTTTTTTTTTTTTTTTTTTTCCTTGCTTGCTTTCTTTCTGCCTGAAAGGAAGAGGGAGAATTTGAATAGAAAGATTGGCTGCTGAGTTAGGAGGAAAACTCAGGACTGCCCCACCTCCCAGGGCTTGTTTTCTTGTTTCCTTTTCTTTTGGGTGCTTTGAATGGAATCTGGGGCCTCCTGCACACTGGGCCAGTGCCCCAGGTGAGCTGCTCCCCTCCTCCATGGCTTTGAAGTGCAGTGATGCTCTCGAGGCCCAGGGTCCCAAGCACAAAGGGAAAGCTGGTGGGCGAGGCAGGGATCAGGGGAGAGCTGGAAGCTAAGACCTTGGGTTCCAGCCTAGAAAAAGCAAAGGGTGGGCTGAGCAGTGCTGGGCACATGGTTGGTGTTTTAGAACATTCCAAGTGCTGCTGCCTTGACCAGTGTGTGTGTGTGATTGAGCTTGAGGGGACCCAGGCCTTGTGCATGCTGAGCACACCCTGCCTGGCAGACCTACTGTTCAGACCTCATTCTGTGGAAGCACTTCGCTTTTGCTTTCCAAGAAAAGCGCTTGGCTTGTTAAGTGACAGGCACAGAATGAAAAACTACATCCGCCAGCCCTTTTTATTTTTAGTTTTTTTTTTCTTGGTACCAGGATTCAAACTCAGGAGCTTGCACTTGTCAGGCAGGTGTTATGTCAGTGAGCTCTCTTCCCGACCCCTTTATTTTTTATTTTGAGACAGAGTCTCACTAATTAAGTTTCCCAGGTTAGGCTTGAGCCTGTGATCCTTCTGTCTCAGCTTCCCATACCATCTTGCCCAGCTCACCGTGATGTTAAGATACCAAAATATAAAAAGCTGGGCATGTCAGTGCACACCTGTCATCCCAGCACTCGGGAGGCTGATGCATGAGGATCATTGCTAATTTGAGACCAGTCAAGACCCCAAAATACATGCATTGTAACCCTTTCCCCCCAGTGTGATTGGTACCTGTGTACATGGTATGGCAAGAGGGCCAGGGTGGGTATCCGAGGCTGCACCAAACACCCTGTGCCCCTGGAAGGTGCCCGCTGCACATGCTTGAGGGGGTTGGTCCTCACGATGTGTGTGCAAGTCCACGCTTGCAGGAATGACCTGACCCGGGAAGTGCGGCATTTGCTGCCTCGTTGTGACCCTCATGTGTCCCCCGCTCTCACCTGAGCCCTGGAGTAGGCACCTTCTGTCTGAGGTTCTCCTTCCACTCCTGGAGATAAACCCAGGGCCTCTCGCACAATTGGCAAGCGTTGAGCTACACCCTTAGCCCTTTTTATTTCATTATATTGTATTTTTTAACTTATGAGGGACATCCTTAGAACTTGAAAAACTTTGTTTATTGTC